CTTTTTTATTTGTTTGAAATAAATTTTATTTAATTCAAATAAATCATTTCTCTAGGTGTGTTTCAAAGATTTATTCACGATTATAAAATAAAATGTATGTAGTTCTACAATTATAAATAAAAATATAATTTTGTTTAATATAAAATGTGATTTTATTTCGAATTTATAATAACAATAATAATAATAATAATAATAATAATAATAATAATAATAATAATAATAATAATAATAATAATAATAATAATAATAATAATAATAATAATAAATAATAATAATAATAATAATAATAATAATAATAATAATAATAATAATAATAATAATAATAATAATAATAATAATAATAATAATAATAATATAATAATAATAATAATAATAATAATAATAATAATAATAATAATAATAATAATAATAATAATAATAATAATAATAATATAATAATAATAATAATAATAATAATAATAATAATAATAATAATAATAATAATAATAATAATAATAATAATAATAATAATAATAATAATAATAATAATAATAATAATAATAATAATAATAATAATAATAATAATAATAATAATAATAATAATAAGTCAAGACTATTTAATAAGTAAACTGTTTTCGAAGAGCCCAAAAATAATGAAGCTAAATCCCATAAAAAAAGAGGAAAAAATGTTGAATTTTAAGCAATTCGGATATTTGAATTTTTGATAATATTAGATAATTTAAAATTTTTTATCAAAGAGTCGAGGCTATTCAATAAGTAAACTATTTTCGAAGAGCCCAAAAGTAATGAAATTATATTTAAAATTGCACTGGAATGTCGTAAAAGTTTGACCTATAAATCATGGAAAAGGTATGGAATTTTAATTTCGGATTTCTGTAGGAATCTTGTTATTTATTTACAATAAAAATTTAAGTATTACTTACATATAGAATCTATTTCTTATTTAAAGTAGAGAGTAATGCAATTTAATATTCACTATATAAAGAAATAACAAAATAATAACAATACACAATATTTTATTTAATTTGAAAATAATTTTAATTTATGCACATTAATTAATTAATTAATTAATTAATTCATTAATTCATTAATTCATTCATTCATTCATTCATTCATTCATTCATTCATTCATTCATTCAATCATTCATTATAAATAGATAAAAGAAACTTGAACTCTTCATTTAGAAGCGAAATATTTAGACAAATAAGAAATATTCACTACTTTTTTTTAACGATCATCTTACTGACTTCTAAATAAATCAATATTACATTAAATATACATAATAAATTCACAATTACACAATAATAAGAATAACAATATTAATAATTATACTATAAATAAATTAATATTTATAAAAATTTGTAAAACACATATTCATATTACTAGAGCCATCTATGATTGTAATAGATAACCACAATTTAATTTAATTACCTTATAATAAAAACTATAATATAAATTAAAATAATCATAATAATAGTGATACTTATATAACAAAAAAATAAACATTTACTGACAAGTAATTAGTAAACAAACAAAAAAATTTTACTCAATAAAAAAATTGTCACTTACCATAACGATTTCAAATCTCGCGCACTTTCAAAATTCCCTAGGAAGAACATATTACGTAGATAGTAAACTCAGATGTTAAATTCTCTTCGATAAAATGAACATTCGAAGTTTTAAAAATTCGATCAAATTAACATTCGAAGTTTTAAAAATTCTATCAAATTAACATTCGAAGTTTTGAAAATTCGATGTAATGAGCATTCGAAGTTTTGAAAATTCGAACAAATGAACATTCGAAGATTTGAAAATTCGATGAAATGAGCATTCGAAGTTTTGAAAATTCGATCTAATGAGCATTCGACGTTTTGAAAATTCGATCAAATGAACATTCGAAGATTTGAAAATTCGATCAAATGAACATTCGAAGATTTGAAAATTCGATGAAATGAGCTTTCGACGTTTTGAAAAATCGATAAAATGAGCATTCGAAGTTTTGAAAATTCGATCTAATGAGCATTCGAAGTTTTGAAAATTCGACGAAATACGCATTCGATGTTTTGAAAATTCGATCTAATGAGCATTCGAAGTTTTGAAAATTCGATGTAATGAGCATTCGATGTTTTGAAAAATCGATAAAATAAGCATTCGAAGTTTTGAAAATTCGATCTAATGAGAATTCGAAGTTTTGAAAATTCGATGTAATGAGCATTCGAAGTTTTGGAAATTCGATGAAATGAGCATTCGAAGTTTTGAAAATTCGATGACATGAACATTCTACTTTTTAAAAATTCGATCTAATTAACATTCGATGTTTTAAAAATTCGATGAAATAAGCATTCGAAGTTTTGGAAATTCGATGAAATGAGCATTCGAAGTTCTGGAAATTCGATGAAATGAGCATTCGACGTTTTGAAAATTCGATGAAATAAGCATTCGAAGTTTTGAAAATTCGATCTAATGAGCATTCGACGTTTTGAAAATTCGATGAAATGAGCATTCGATGTTTTGAAAATTCGATGTAATAAGCATTCGAAGTTTTGAAAATTCGATCAAATCAACATTCGAAGTTTTGAAAATTCGATGAAATGAGCATTCGACGTTTTGAAAATTCGATCAAATTAACATTCGACGTTTTAAAAATTCGATCAAATTAACATTCGATGATTTAAAAATTCGATGAAATGAGCATTCGACGTTTTGAAAATTCGATGAAATAAGCATTCGAAGTTTTGAAAATTCGATCTAATGAGCATTCGACGTTTTGAAAATTCGATGTAATAAGCATTCGGAGTTTTGAAAATTCGATGTAATAAGCATTCGAAGTTTTGAAAATTCGATCAAATCAACATTCGAAGTTTTGAAAATTCGATGAAATGAGCATTCGATGTTTTAAAAATTCGATGAACTGAGCATTCGACGTTTTGAAAATTCGATCAAATTAACATTCGATGATTTAAAAATTCGATGTAATGAGCATTCGAAGTTTTGAAAATTCGATGAAATGAGCATTCTAAGTTTTGAAAATTCGATAAAATTAACATTCGACGTTTTGAAAATTCGATGTAATAAGCATTCAGAGTTTTGAAAATTCGATAAAATGAGCATTCGATGTTTTGAAAATTCGATGAAATGAGCATTCGAAGTTTTGAAAATTCGATCAATTTAACATTCGAAGTTTTAAAAATTCGATCTAATGAACATTCGAAGTTTTGAAAATTCGATGAAATGAGCATTCGACGTTTTGAAAATTCGATCAAATGAACATTCGAAGATTTGAAAATTCGATCAAATGAACATTCGAAGATTTGAAAATTCGATGAAATGAGCATTCGACGTTTTAAAAATTCGATGTAATGTGCATTCGAAGTTTTGAAAATTCGATCAATTTAACATTCGATGTTTTAAAAATTCGATCAATTTAACATTCGATGTTTTAAAAATTCGATCTAATGAACATTCGAAGTTTTGAAAATTCGATGTGTTGAGTAATCGACGTTTTGAAAATTCGATATATTGAGCATTCGATGTTTTGAAAATTCGATGTATTGAGCATTCGATGTTTTGAAATTCGATGTAATGGATATTCGATCGATTTGATTTTTGGGAGATTTCATACGACCGAATAGAGGTATTTAATATTTTTATACTATAAATTAAATTTTTAAAATAGGTTATGTTAAATTTCTTGAAATTCGAGTGCCATGTGCAAAAACTACGGTCAATAACTGTGACGATTGAATTTAAAAAATCATTTTCTGTAATTAATTATTAAAATCTCTTCAAATTGACAAAATATAATTTCTACGATTTCTACATTTAAAATTGACTCCGGGAATCCCTGAACAAATGGTTGAGACGCAGTTGCAAGTTGCGAGTGTACAGTTGGTTACCATGATTGTTGGTAAAGTTACTAGAATAAACCGGAAGTAAATGGGGTTTGTCTAATTTTTATCCAAACTTTTTCTCAATTTTACGATCTTATTTTCTCTCAATTTTGCTGATTTTACTAATTTAAATGTCCCTAAAATTCTGAACTAAAATTATGATAATATTCTTACTACATTTACTTTGAATTTGATCGCAAACAATTATTTTTTATAATTAAAAATTTATTTTTAATTAAATAAAATATAACATAGCAATCTATATTAATAATCGTTGCAATTTGAAGTTAGTTTATTGTTGTTGGCTTATTTGTTTCTTAACTTTTTAAAGATTTTTTCTTTTTTATTTTCAATTTTTAAAAAATAATATTTTAAGAATCATTAAATTCTTGCAAAGAATTTTATCAAAAAATTTGATAATAATAGAATTCTTTCGAAGAATTTTATTATCTCGGAAATTAATTAAATTCTCACGAGAATTTTGTTAAAATCTTTGAAAATTCTAATTAAAATTTTTTTTGAAGAATTTCTTTTTTTTGAAAATAATTGAATTTTTGCAATGAATTTTACTATTTTTATTAATAAAATTGAATTGTTTCGAAGGATTTAATAAAATTTTAGAAAATAATTTAATTCTTTCGAAAAATATTATTAAAAATTGAATTTTTTCATGAAATTTTTTTGAAAATAATTGAATTTTTGCAATGATTTTATAACGAATTAAGAAAAAAATTCAATTTTATTCTTTATAAAAACAATAATTTAATTTTTACAAAGAAATTTTATTAACATTTTCAAATATAATTGAATGTCTGCGTAGAATTTTATTATTCATGAAAATAATTCAATTTTTTTAAAGAATGATTTAAAATCTTTGATATAATTAATTTTCGCGAAGAATGTTATTATTTATTAAAATATTTTAATTTTTGCAAAGAATTTAAAAAAAATTTTTGAAATTAATAAACAATTTTTTAAAAGTTTTTTATATTTAAAAAGAAAAAGTTTTGTAATTTGCATAATAATAATAAATTGAATTGAATTGTATAGGGGAATTAATATTAAAAAAATTGAAGGAAGGAATTTAATAATCACAATGAAATAGCAAATAACGTACGAAATATTTTATTTTAAGCTTGAACGATACATATTGTTCGATTATCAATTAAAATTTATTAAACGTGTAAAGCTGTAAAGAATGTGACGAAAACGTGAAATGCGTGAATTTTAATGCGTTTTAATAGAGGTCTCTCGTTAGCCCTTCAATGATGATAATCCTGCTCTCATTATTTCATCTACCAAGAGAAGATTGCTGGCAATAACGGTACTGAAAAAATTTAAATCCAAAAATATTAATATTATAATTATTATTCTCTTGCTAATTTTTAATTTATTGCTTAAAAAAAATGTTGAACTTTTAAAGTTGAATTTTAATCGAAATTTGAATGTATGAATAATTCGAATCTTACCAGGAATTGATAATTTGTTTCTTAACGATATAATTATCGTAAATTCCGGCATCTGCAGGTTTCAGGGCTTCGCCTGACGAAAGATCTAAACCGACAGCTTCACCTAAAACCTTGGACTCTTCCAAAAGTTTTACAATACTGTCTTGGGCATCAAATCCACTATTCACGGCTATAAATAGAAAAATTGTTTTTTAATATTTGAGGGAATAAATAATTTTTCAATGATAAACGAATAGGTAGGCAGCAGATTCATTTGAAAAATTGATCGTGAAACTCACCAAGTACTTTAGGAATGATGAGCAAAGCATCAGCGTAAGCTTGAACACCTAATCTCTGTTTGCCTTTGACTTCATCCTTGAATTGATGCAAAGCACGGCTTGCGGCAATTTCAAAAGCTCCCGCACCAGGTATCACTGCACGATCGTCGATTGTGTTTTTGATTGCTCTCAAACCGTCGCGAACTGCGTCTTTCAATTGAATCAATGTGTACTTATTCGGTCCCTATCGAAACACAAAAAGTTAATTCATAAATAATTTTTCAAGTTAAATCTCATCAATGTTTTTAATTTAAAATAATTCTTGGCCATTGGAATTAAATAATTTTAAATTAAAGGAAGTATTTAAAATGTCATATTTACTTTTAACAGAACAGTCACTGAAGTTGGTTTCTTGCAATCTTCAACAAACGTGTACTTCGTTTCTCCCTGAAAAATAGAAAAAATCATTCAATAGTTGAATAAATTATTTAATTTAATTATTTTTATTATCTAATATTTGATTATTACCAATTAAATAATAATTCAATAGAATTATTTTCGGACAGTTAGTTTTTTTGTGATACTAAAATAATTTCAAGTGCAATGCAAATTAAATAGAAAACGAACCAAAACATGTTCGTAGACAAGTCCAGCCCAGCCAAGATTCTCTTCCGTTAGGTCATCGACGGAATTCATGGCAATACCTCCGCAAGCGAGAGCTAAACGTTCCATATTCCTACGCTTTGCACGACGTAGTGCGACAATATTTTCTTTGGCGAACATATCCAAAGACGGTGGGTCAATACCTTTCTGATTAATAATAACGAAAGATTTATCATTTCCATTGCAAACTTTTCTCTTCAACTCAATGATTTTCTTCACTCGGTTATCAATGAATTCGCGTTCAGCCGCTACGAGCTTCTCACGTTCTGCGGACGATTTGTAGAAGAAACCACTGTTTACCTAGAAAACATAATTTTTATTATTTATTTATTATTATTTTTCTTCGCGGAAATTCAATTATATTCAATAATTAAAAAAAAATCTCGTCAAAATTTCAATTATCTTTATAAATAATAAAACTCTTCTCAGAAATTCAATTATTTAAAAAAAATTTAATAAAATTCTTGGCAACATTTTAATTATTATCAAAAATTTTCCTCAATTTAATGATTTTCAATATCTGACATTTTAATAAAATATTCCGGAAGAATTCAATTATTTAAAATAAATTTTAATAAAATTCTAAACAAACATTTAATTACATTCATAAATAATAAAAATTTAACAGAAATTCAAGTATTTTTATAAACTTTCTCGAAAGAATTTAATTTTTAACACAAAACATTTACAACATTTTAACATTTTAAACAATTTCAAGAGAATTCTTTACAACAATTCAATTATTTTCATAAATATAATACAATATTATGCAGAAATTCAACTATTATTGAAAGTTTCAATAAAATTTTTCACAGAAATTCAATTATTTTCAAGAATTTTAATAAAATTCTTCTCAAAAATACAATTATTTTCATAAATAATAACATTCTTCCCAAAAATTCAATTATTTTCATAATATAACAACATTTTTCGCAAAAATTCAATTATTTTTATAACTAATACAATTCTTCGCTAAAAATCAATTATTTTTATAAATAACAAAATTCTCCCGAAAAATTCAATTATTTTCCAGAATTTTAATAAAATTCTTCAAAAGAATTCAATTAATTTTCAAAATTATGAAATTCTTAGCAAAAATTCAATTATTTTAAAGAATTTTAACAAAATTCTTCAAAAAAATTCAATTATTTTCATAAATTATAAAATTGTTCCCAAAAATTAAATTATTTTTATAAATAATAAAATTTTGTTTAGAAATTCAGAATTTTTCATAAATAATAAAACTCATCACAGAATTTTAATTATTTTAAAAAATTTTTAATCAAATTCTTCACAGGAATTCAATTATTTTCAAGAATTTTAATAAAATACTTCGCAAAAATTCAATTATTTTTAAAAATAACACAATTCTTCGCAAAAAATCAATTATTTTTATAAATAACAATATTCTTCGCAAAAATTCAATTATTCTTATAAATAACACAATTCTTCGCAAAAAATCAATTATTTTTATAAATAACAATATTCATCGCAAAAATTCAATTATTTTTATAAATAACAAAATTCTTCCCAAAAATTCAATTATTTTTATAAATAATAAAATTTTGTTTAGAAATTCAGAATTTTTCATATAAATAATAAAACTTATCACAGAAATTCAATTATTTTTAACAATTTTAATCAAATTCTTCACAGGAATTCAATTATTTTCAAAAATAATGAAATTCTTCGCAAAAATTCAATTATTTTCAAGAATTTTAATAAAATTCTTCAAAAGAATGCTATTACTTTTAAAAATTATGAAATTCTTAGCAAAAATTCAATTATTTTCATAAATAATAAATTTCTTTGCAAAATTCAATTACATATTTTTATAAATAACAATATTCGTTACAAGAATTCAACTATTTTTAAAAATAATAAAATAATTCCAAGAAATTCATTTATTTTCAAATTTTTTTTTTAAATCCTCTTTATTAACAAAATTCTTCTTCAACATTTAAATATTTTCAGGAATTTTAATTAAATTTTTTGTAAAATTCAATTATTTTCATAAATAATAAAACTTAATACATGTTTAATCAAATTCATCAAAAAATGTAATTATTCTTAAAAATTTTATTGAAATTCGTCAAAATAATTCAATTATTTGAAAATTAAAATAAAAAAAATATAAATTTAAAAAATTGAACTAAAAATAATTAATTAAATTAAATTAAATTAAAAAAATATAAAACATGAAGAAACTGATCAGTCCGTGTCGAAGACTCGGATTTATCGATTTCTTCATGTTTTATAATAATATTCTTATGAGTTTTTAAATTTCAAAAAGGTTTGAATTTGTAATTTTTGAAGTTTTTAATGCTTATAAAAAAGTAATGTTTAAATGTATTTATTTAAAAATGAAGTTATTTATTTAAATTTTCCCAGAATTATTCATTGAATAAATTCGAAGTTATTGTTGTTTTGAATAATTTTACAAATAAAGAATTTTGTAAATAAATGTAATAGAAATAATTATATTTATAATGAATTAAATTAATAATGAATTAAATTAATAATTAATTAAAGTAATAATTAATTAAATTAATATTTTGAGTATCTAATAAATTTTAGGGTGAATCAGAATATTTTTTAGGGAAAAAGTCAAAATTTTGTCTGGAAACCAGGGTAAAGTCAGGAAAAAAAATTAAATTTTTGTGGTAACCCTAAAAAAACAAAAATTGCGAATTCTATTTACCTCGCTTTTCTCGTATTCCAAACTGACGTTGCACGTCAAGATATAAGCATTTTCGACTCTCTTTGGCATGTCCGGATGTCTCGCCCCATGATCCATAACAATTCCCTTCACGAGAGTCGTGTCAGACGCGGTTCTATGTTGCATCTCCATAATTTCGACCATGTGCAGATCAATCTGATCGTTCGATTGCTTAATGGCCAAGACGGCGTCAACGCAAATTTCCGTTAATTTGTCAGCAATAGTTGGATGAATTTTAGTTCGCAGGGAAGTTCGGGCAACGTCAATTAGAAGATCTCGTGAAGGTTCGCCGACAATTTTCAATGAATCGAGAATTTCGAGTGTCTTCACTCTCGCTAAATCGAAACCTTCGGTCAATACTCGTGGATGAAGGCCCTCGGCAATGTAAAGTTCTGCTTGCTTCAAAAGTTCGGCGATTAATAGAACTGTGCTGGTGGTACCATCGCCTGTCATATCGTCCTGAGCTGTTGATGCTCGAGCAATTAGAGAAGCAGTTGGATGCTGAATTTGCATCTCTTGCAAGAGAACATTTCCGTCCTTGGTGATTTTTATATCGCCAGCTCCCGAGACTAACCTGTTGATGAGGAATTATAATAATTATTAATAAGATTATTTTTTAATAATATCATTTTCGAATGATTACATATTCAAAATTTAAAGAATTCATTTATTAAGTATATAATATTAAATATTCTTGTTTATTATTATTCCAAAAATTTAATAACATTTTTAGCAAGTATTTCATTATTCTCATAAATTTTCGACAATTTTGCTGAAATTCTTTTAAAAAAATAATTATTTTCAGAATTTTTAATAGAATTCCTTTAAAAAATTAAATTATTTTAAAAAATTCAGATAAAATTCTTCGAAACAATTCAATTATTTTTATGAATTGTAAAATCCTCCGCAAGAATTGAATTATTTTCATAAATAAGAAAATTTTTTTTAGAAATTCTCAATATTTCATAAATAATAAAAATGATCCCAGAATTTCAATAATATTTAAAATTTTTAATAAAATTCTTCACAGGAATTCAATTATTCTCAAAAATAATGAAATTTTCTTAGCAAAAATTCAATTCTTTTCAAGAATTTTAATGAAATTCTTCACAAAAATTCAATTATTTTTATAAATAATAAATTTTTTTTAGAAATATTTCAATACAATTTTAATAAAATTTCTCTAATAGATTCAATAATTTTTAAAAATTGTGTAATAAAATTTTTCTAAACAATTCAATTGTTCTTAAAAGTTTTTAGTAAAATTCTTTGTAAATTTCAATTATTTTCAAAAATTTGCAATAAAAATTATTTTAAACAATTTTATTATTTTTATGAAATTTATAAAATTCTTAAAAAATTCAAAATTTTTAGAAAAAATACAATTACATTAGGTATAACATACAAATAAAATTTTTAATAAAATTTTTTTCAAAACATTCAATTATTTTCAAAAATTCTGATAAAATTCTTCGAAACAATTTAATTATTTTTATGAATTGTAAAATCCTCCGAAAGAATTCAATTGTTTTCATAAATAAGAAAATTTTTCAAAGGAATTTAATCATTTTTATAAATAATAACATTTTTCGGAGGAATTAAATTATTTTCAATACAATTTTAATAAAAATTTCTGCAAAGAATACAATTATTATTTTTAAAAATATTATTTACATTCAATTATTTTCAAGAGTTTTAATAAAAATTAAATTATTTTCAACAGTTCTTATAAAATTCCTCAAAACAATTCAATTATTTTTGTAAATAATAAAATTCTTCTGAGAAACTCAATTATTTTCAATAAAATTTTAATAAAAATTTCTCTTACAGATTTAATAATTAATTTTAAAACTTTTAATAATAATTTTAAATGAAATGTATTTTAAAATTTTTTATTATTTTTACGAAATTCAATGAAATTCTTAAGAAAAATGTAATTATTTACAAAGACTCTAATAAAAATGTTTAAAGAATTTAATTTTCTATGAATAATTTTAATATAATTTAATAGGAAAATTATTAATTACAATTAATAAAAAACACGATTATTTAAAAAACTTATAAAAGAAATAAATTCTTCATCAAATTCAATTACATCCAAACTTTTCAGTGAAAATTATTTTTAAAAAACTCCATTATTTTCAAGAAAATTGAAATAAGTTCTTCAAAACAATTCAATTATTTTAAAGAATTTTAATAAAAATCTTGCCAAGAATTAAATTTATTTTCAATACAATAATTTTAATTACATTTTCTTGAGAGAATTCAATTATATTGAAAAAAATGTTGTTAAAATTCTTGAAATTAATTCATTTTCGAAATTTTTTGATAAATACTTTGCAAGAATTCGATGATTTTTAGTACATTAATTTTAAAATTGATAACATTTAAAATGGAAAATTATTTAAATTTAGGAAACAAAGAAGCAAACAGCAACTAACTTCAAACTGCAAACAGATTTCCGGAATACAACGATTATCAATACATAATATATATAGATATAGATTATTAATGTTCTTCCCTTAATTAAATATAAATAAAACCATTGACTGATAGTAAAAAAATTACATATATTAATTAAAATTATCACTCGGCAAAATTTTGATAATAAAATAATAATTTTAATAACAAAAGAATTGATTATTAATTGAATTTGTAAATTGAGTTCAAAGATCTAAGAAGTTGAAAAAGTAGAAATTCGAAGGAATTTCAATTGTAAAATTATAAAAGTAGTTCAAAAGTATAGTTAAAATGTGATTGCCATAAAAGGAGATTTTCGGAGAAGAACGTTAAGTGTATGTAAGCTGGAGGTTAGAAAGAGATGACAATAGTCAGGCACATGTTATTCAATGACTCAGGGTTTAGTGTTTTTTAAGAATAATGTGAAAAGCAAATAGTCCTGGAAATCGAAATAACGAAATACTTACATTTTCATTGTTCCCTTGGGTCCTAAATTCGTTTTCATCACATCCTGAATACCTTTTCCAGCCGAAACATTAATTGCCAGAGCTTGAGCAGCTCTTGCAAATTCGGCTTTGGGATTTAATAAACTGATAGCCGACATTTTTCTTCAATGTACTTTACTAAAAATAGTGAAGCAAGTTTTCTTAAATATTTTTTTTTATTCGAAATATAGACTTTCGTTGGAAATGTACAAATTAACAAGGAAAAGAGAATAAACAATTGACGAGAGAGAAAAATCAACTCACATGGACGTCGATAGTTTAGGTCGAATTCATATGTTAGTTTCTTAAAACCTCGTTCACATGGCCTATGAGAAATTAATTTTGATTTGATGTTGTTTTTTGTCGAACGTTAACTAGCCAATAGGAAACGCCGCTTACCGTTAGAGAATTAAAGGAGGGAAGTTTTGAATCATTTCCATGATTTCCAAGAAATATTTCCAAGAGAAGAAGTTTTGACATTTTCAAGGTTGTTACGATATTTTGAGGTTAGATGTAAAATTTTTTGTTTTTCGCGACAAACGGTGATTGAAAGATATTCGGCAAAAATATTGTATAATGACACTTGCCCTAAGATCTTTCTTTTTATTAAGGAAATTAAATAGACAATTAACACCAATAATTAAGGGAGCAAATGCTACAAATTTTCATTTACACACAACTCCAAGTAAGTAGCCGCATGCATTTCTCTTTTGAAAAATGTATGGCGCGAAAAATGTAAATTGACAAATTTTCCTTAGATTTTCGTGATTATATTCTTTAAAATACGTATGATAATTATTATAATTTTCGTTTAACATTACAATTTATCTTCAGGATACTGTCATGGAGAATTTGAAATGAAGGATCCTAAATCAGAGGATGAAGTGTGGGTAAACCTGTTTCTCACTTTCCAACAAGTTTATTAATTAATTATTAAAGATTTTTTATTTGATTTGAAGATTAGAAAAATAATTCTTGTTAATTTTAATACTGGGAGTTAAATTCTCTCAATTTGACAGTATTTGGATTATTTTTAGGGTATGTATTTAATGTATACTCAATTTTGATAATGTTTCGTTTACTTTTAGGGTTAATGTAACATTTATAGATAAGACAGGCAAAAAAGTGTCGATTAGAGGAAAAATTGGTGACAACGTTTTATATCTAGCTCATAGGCATGAAATAGAAATGGAAGGAGCTTGCGAAGCTTCTCTGGCTTGTACGACATGTCACGTGTACGTCAATCATGATTATTTAGACAAACTTCCTCCGGCTCAGGAGGAGGAAGATGATTTACTCGATATAGCTCCGTTTTTAAAAGAAAATTCAAGATTAGGTAAGATTATGTTGCTAAATTTGTTTTTTAAATAATAGTTAGTTATCAAGGTTGCCACATGTCAGAGAAATCAGGGAATTCAGGGAAAGTAGAATTGGTTAGGGAAATCAGGACAAAGTCAGGGAATTTTATTAAAAGTACTGGAAAAAATTAAATAAGATCATTCTGAATTTTAGTATCTAGAAAATTTTGAAACTATTTAAAAGATTTATTCTTCTTAAATTTATTTTTGTTTGCCTTAAAAACCTTAAATTTTTTTATTTATGACAATATTTAACACTTTACAGAATATGAAATTGAATTTTTACAGAAAAAATTCAAAAAAATTAAATTTCCAAGAAGAATTTTATTATTTATAAAGACAATTGAATTCTTGTCAAGAATTCTATGAAAAATTTTTGAAAATTATTGAATTCTTGTCAACAATTTCATCAAAAAATTTGGAAAATAATTGAATTCTTGTCGATTACAATCTTTAAAAATAATTGAATCTTCTCAATAAATTTTATTAAAATTGTATTGAACATAATTGATTCCTGCGAAGGAATTTATTATATTTTTTGAAAATTGAATTTCAAAGGATTCAATTTGAAATTTTAGAAAATTTGAATTTTGTATTAATTTAATTAGAAATTTTTTTAAAATTAGTTTTTTTTTTTAAATTGTAATTCAAATTCTGTTGAAATTAGTTAAATTGTTTAATATATATTTAATTATTAAAAATAATTGATTCAGAAAAGAGTTCTCTGAATATTGTTGAAAATAATTGATTTAGAGAAGAATTTTCTAAAAATTATATTGAAAAGAATTGATCTAGAGAAGAATTTTAGTTGAAAATTCTAAAAAATAATTGAATTTCTCAGAAGAATTTTATTATTTATGAAAACAATTGATTTGTTGTCAAGAATTCTATCCAAAAATTTTAAAAATAATTGAATTCTCTTAAAGAGTTTTATTATAATCTTTAAAAATAATTGAATCTTATCATTAAATTTTATTAAAATTGTATTAAAAATAATTGAATTCCTGCGAAGATGGAAATAATTGAGTCTTTTTGAAAATTATTACTTATAAATTATTAAATGAATAATTTTACATAAATTAATTTACATAATTTCTGAAATAATTTAATGTTATAAGAATTGCACTTACAATTTGTATTGTGAATTAATGAATTTCTAAAGTTTTCAATTTGAAATTTTAGAAAATTTGAATTTTGAATGAATTTAATTAGAAATTTTAGTTGAATTTTAGTTGAAAACTCTAAAAAATAATTGAATTTCTCAGAAGAATTTGATTATTTTTTAATACAATTGAATTCTTGTCAAGAATTCTATAAAAAATTTTGGAAATAATTGAATTCTCACGAAGAATTCCATTGCAATCTTCAAGAATAATTGAATATTATCGATAAATTTTATTAAAATTGAATTGAAAATAATTGAATTCCTGCAAAGAATTTTATTATATTTTTTGAAAATAATTAAATTGTTGTAAAGAATTTTATTTGTGGAAATAATTTGAGTCTTTATGAAAATTATTACTTTTAAATTATTCAATGAATAATTTTACATAAATTTACATCATTTCTGAAATAATTGAATTTTATAAGAGTTGCAATTACAATTTTTCATAAATAATTAAATTTCAAAAGGTTTTAATTTGAAATTTAAGAAAATTTGAATTTTTAATTAATTTAATTAGAAATTTTGTTGAAATTAGTTTTTTTTGGAAAATTTTAATTCAAATTCTTTGGAATTAGTTAAATTGTTTAATATATATTTAATTATTAAAAATAATTGATTCAGAAAAGAGTTCTCTGAATATTGTTAAAAATAATTGCTTTAGAGAAGAATTTTCTGAAAATTATTGAAAAGAATTAATTTAGAGAAGAATTTTAGATAAAAACTGTGGAAAGTAATTGAATTTCGGAGAAGTTGTAAATAATAGCAATTTTTAGAAATAATTGAATTTTGAAAAGATTTCAAATTAAAATCTTTGAAAATATGTACCTATTTTTAGTACTTTTAATTAACAATTATGTACAACTAATTTTTTTTAAAAATGTTATTCTAAATTTTTTTTGAACCTATTTGATTTTTTTATTGTTTAACATAATTTAATTAAAAAAATTATTATAATTTAAATGTACAGTAAAATTGAATTTTAAACAGGCGTTTTTCAAAATTAATTTCGGTGGACCTTCTTTGTTCTTTAAATAATTGGATTCTTAAAGAACTTGTCAAAAATTATTAACAAGCTAATTGATTCAGAGAATTTTAGTTGAAAATTCCAGAAAATTATTCATTTGGAAAAATAATAATGATTGAATATTTATTTAAAAAAGAAATTATTAATGTTTTTGAATAATTTTACAATTGAAGTAATTCGCAAATAAAAGTATTAAAGCATTTTTTTGAGTATCTAATAATTTTTAGAGTAAGGGAAAAAGTCAAAACTCTGTCTGGAAATCAGGAGAAAGTCAAGGAAAAACAAAATTGAATTTAATGGCAACCCTGAGTTAATTAATTAATTAATTTCTCAAAGGAAGAAATTCGAAAAAGAATTAGGAATTAATAGAAAATAAATTCTCTGTTTAGGTTGTCAAATAATTTTAACCAAGGAATTAGATGGTATCGAATTGGAATTGCCTCAAGCGACGAGAAATTTCTATGTTGATGGTCACACACCAACTCCGCACTAAGTCAATAAATACTCAAATATTTGTACATAAGATAAGAATACAATATTACTAACAACAATATTGTATATCATTTACAATTTACAAAAAAAGGATTTTAATTAAAGAATTTAAGAATTTCAATTAAATTCTCTACTTTTATAAATTAGTTTATTAAAATAGGAAAAAGGTGAATAAAAACCTCAAGTTTAAAGGAATAGACATATTTTTATTTTTCCTCTTAAAATGATTCATCATTTTGAAATGTGTTTAAAGAAGGTATACTGTGTATACTGGAAAAAAAACAAATTTCAAGTTTTCAAGCAGAGACTCATAGTTCTTGTATACATAGCAAATTTTTCTGATTTCACATAATTTCTTAATATATTTATTTTTCATACATCAGGATTATGGTACATATTTTTTTTTTTTTTTTTAATTACAATGATACAAGTTTTAGACATTTATGATATAATGTACTTTGTGGATTAAAATTTTACTCGTTGATCTTGCAGCTGTCATTTGTGCTCGCAAGTAGAAAAACCACGAGTTTCTAATCATTTTTCTCCTTCTTTGTTTTATTTAGACCTTCCCTGGTTCAAATTCAAATCCCTGCCAATAAAACATTGAAAATTGTGTAGGATTTTTGGCAGGCGAATTTTTTTTATTCGAAATATCCCAAATATCGGGACTTTTCGTAGGGAAGATTTTCTTCGTGTAATATTATTAATTATTTAATTTATACATGTATTGTGTGTCAATAATTATTATCGTCGTCAAATGTTTTTTTTTTTGTTTTAATCGTCACGGTTTTGCATGCACTATAATATATATAATTTCCGTGTCGATCAATATAATTATAGACACATTGCTTTTTTTACATTCACTCTCGACTCGCAACATTCTTACAGTTTAAATCGAAGCAACTTAAATTAATTTACAATCATCCATCCAGAAATTCATTCGCTCATCGCATATACTCGCAGTGCTGCACCTTTCAAGTTGATTACTTGCGTATTCTCATTTGGTAAGAGACATCACAACTGCGTTATTGGGAAAATAGTTTTGTTTGTTTTTTTTTTGTACTTGTTTGTTCGTAACTAAAAAATGTCAACAATTATGGTACACATTTATCATGTACACCGAGCGTGTGCTATATTTGCGGGTCAATGCAATACTTGAAAAACAAAAAAACCTTCTGGTAAAGCGACTACCATCGACGTCTAAACTAAATATTAGTTATGGCAGTAAATAATATTATTTACATGATCCCGTGCACAAATGCCAAAAACAAAAGTCTTCTGATTTGATAAAGTTGTCTCTGAATTCATTTCCACTACAGTGAAATTTTACGTTTGTCATGATACGCATCGTGTCATATCGACAAAAAAAAATTATACAATCAATGGCATGGAGAAGTTAAATACATATCGTTGAGAGCAACCTGAGTTTAGAAAAAAAATATACATAGACCGATTCGCATTCGTGATTTGCAATCGCTCTTATCAAAGTTAATACTTTTAAGTCAATCGCTTCAAAGTGAAAATAAAAATACTTTTTTTTTTCCCATGAAACGAGACTTTATTCATTTCTCTCAGTGAACTTTTTTTCATTAACACTGTGTGCACACGAGTGTACAAAATAATTTTTTTTTTTTTCATATATCTCTATATACGTGCTATCCTAATTGCAAAAGATGAGCAGTGTACTCTTCTGAGCCCGTAAGAGAACACTGGCATCTTTTGAAAAATACAAAAACTGTAAAAAAGTCAATACAAAAATTGAATACACTAATATTCATCTAAAAAAGCCTTTTCTTTACATCAACACTCGAGAATTATTCCCTTACACTCGTTTTAATGCGCTCTAAAAGTTAATGTAAGTATGACTTGCACCGCTGCACAACCAATGAAAGCAAAGTTCATTTTTAAAAATTACTTTTCATTTCTTTTTTCTTTCTTTTTCTCATTAACAATTTTCTAATCAACAGTCATAGTCGCAAGAAACATTTTTTTTTTGTCTTTCTTTGGTCGCACATTTTTCAACATTCCTTTTTTTATTTGTGAATTTAGAATATTATATGTAATTCAAAAATAATTTCCATCAACAAACAAGAATTTAATCAATTCCGAAAAAAAGCATTGGAGTTTTTTTTCACATTGTGATCACAATTCTCTGTAAAATTTCTCCTTTTTTTTGAGGGGGCGAAAACCTTGAAAATGTTTCAAAAATTTTTTTTTCGTGGAAGTTTCATTTTTACAAATACAATTTAATATTGTAAAATAGTAAAATAAATCGAATTTTATTATAATTCTAAACTTTTGAATGTTGAAAAATAAAAACGAAATTTATTTATTTCTTCTTTAAATTAAATTTTCATTACTATAATTTTGTCGTTACTATCAAATCAAATAATTAAAAAGTTTCTAGATGTAAAATTTGAGTTATTGGATAATTTTTATTGTAATCTATGAAAATATTTCGTTCATTTCAAACTTTTTGTTCGTATTTTATTTAAATTAATTTATTCTTAATGTTCCCAAAGTTTTCAAAGTTCGAATGAACGACAATATTTTCTATTGGACTATTTTTATTAAAAAATATTTTTAATATTTTTATTAAAAAATATTTTTAATATTTTTATTAAAAAATATTTTAAATATTTTTTATACGAAAAAAAACAATTTTCAACTGAGTAAATGTTCAATTTACATTATTTTGCAATTCAATAATAGTAATTTTTGAAAATATTAAAATAGAAAAAAATTTCGTTCATTTGATCATTCAAAATTTTAGAGTTATGATTTCTAATAATTTATAAGTTCAAATTGTAAATTTACAAATTAGAAGGTAAATTTACAGTTTACAATTTAAAATGTAAATTTGCAGATTACAATTTTAAATGTAAATTTACAGTTTAAAATTTAAAATGTAAATTTGCAGATTACAATTTCGAAGGTAAATTTAAAGTTTACAATTTAAAATGTAAATTTACAGTTTACAATTAAAAATGTAAATTTAAAGTTTACAATTTAAAATGTAAATTGAACCGCCGGATCGTAGAAGGGCATATAGCCCATTTGAATTACATTGGCTATATGCCCTTCTACGATCCGGCGGTTCAATTTAAAGTTTACAATTTTAAATGTGAATTTAAAGTTTACAATTTTAAATGTAAATTTACAGATTACAATTTTAAAGGTAAATTTACAGATTACAATTTAAAATGTAAATTTATAGATCACAATTTAACGTAAAAAAATTTTTTCTTACATTTTTAAAGAAAGTTTGTTTACATTTTTTGAAAACAAGTTTGTAATATAATTGTAAATTTTACAATTGTTAAATTAAAAATTAAATACCTAAATATTTATTTACTAAAATATTTTAAATATTTAAATATTTAAAAATACTTCTACAAAGGGAAAATATTAAACATTTTTTTTTTTGAGAACCGAATACATTGAATTGTGATCACAGTTTTTAGAATCTACAGCTCGGTGACGTTTTGTATTTTTAAGTGCATTTCACGCGTGAAATTTTTTTTTTTTTGTGTTTGAGTGTGTTTTTTTTAAATTATCTAACTATAAAATAAGAATACAAAGATGGCGAAACTTCAGCCTTGAGTTCTTCTGTAGGCTAAAGTGGAAATCTTATTAGTAGACTAGAAACGTACAGCAGAACCTAGCCCATTTATCTAGGAAATAAAAAAAGTCTTGAGAGCGAAATATAATTTGATACTTAAATAGAACACAGAGAATTTTTTTTTTTTATTTCAATTTTTATCTCGTGTGAAAAAAATCGAAACAAATTTTTTTTTAAAACTTTCATTATAGATTTTTATTTGAACTATTTAGATGAAAATATATTTTTTAAACTATTTAATTTTAGTTTATTAGACACTATTTTAGTTTTTAGACTTTTTTTATACTTAATTGAAAATAAAAAAAAATGTTAAAAATTAAAAACTGACTGAAATTCAAAATTCATCGGTGAGTCATTGTCAAAAAGAAAATTAACTAATACAATTTTTGGAAAATTGTACAATTTAAAATTTTTTAGATTCTTTTATTTAATTCAAATTTTTTATTTTCTTTTTATTGTTCGATTTTTCTTCGGTAGTTTTCGACAAAGACTGACGCACGTGAATTAGCTTAAAATTAGTTTTTAAAAAAATTGTTACCCGTTTTATTTGAAAGGCTTATTAAAATATTTCGATTTCAAAATAAAGAAATATTGAATTGATGCTTTTTTTAAAGCTTTCAGCTCATTGACTTTAAATCTATAAAGAAGCAATTGAAAATTTAAAAATGGGAATTGGTTGTCAGTTAAGCCATCTGTTTATATCAATATGCAAATCGTACTTTTAAACGTTAATACTGTACATTACGACGGAAAACAATTCCAATTACGCGATTTAGTCTAAATAAAATTCGTTGCAAAAATATTTTGGCACTGCAGCTCCAATCCTTTGATTTTATACAAGCAGTACTCATTTCTATCCAAGTTCACTAGGATTAATGTGTACAAGGTAAACGAAGACTTATTTAAAAAAAAAAAAATAAAATAAATATGATTCTCGTACTTATTAAAAATGCTTGTGCTTGAAAAAATAATAGATTGTCAAAAATGTAAAAATTCGCAAAAAAGGAAGTACTTGAGAGTAATGCCTCAAATCTCGAATATTTTTTTTACTTAAAAAAACTAAATAATAGAAAAAGAATCGAGACTTTGTATCGGCACTTTTTTTTTAATTTCTTCCGAAAAAATTTCCGCGCAATAACTTGAGGCAGTGCTCTTGATTAATTAAGAGTAAGTGCATTATGTCAGTTCGGTCTGCTTGTTTAGCTCTTTAACCACGTTAATGAAACCTAATGTTTCTAATGACGAGACTGAAAACTAAGCAAGCAGATCAAGTTTCAAAAAAAAAAATGACAAACATTTTTTTTGAAAATCGTTTAAAATATCAGATTTGAAAAAAAATTCGTTAACACGTTTTTGCGTTGTAATTTTTCAATTGACAATGTTTAAAAAAAAAATTCTACTTCTTGATTTACTTCCACAGCAGTGATCGAATCAAGACCCAAAAATTTCGAAACCTAAAAAATTGAGGAAAACATTTCCTGATCACAGTTACATGTGCGAATCATTAAAAAAAACGATCAACGTTCTAATTTTCTGAATAAAATTTCTACAAGAAAAAAACTTAACTTTACTTTCCTTGTGTTTTTCTCATATTAGATTCGAACACTGCTAGCATTGATATAATACTAACGAATCAAACATCAAGTATATTATAATACTCGAAGGGGGAGAGAGAGAGAAGAGAGAGAGAGAGAGATTTTTTTTGCGTCTCTTTCATCAAGTACATCGACATAATGCAGCAAGCTAACAAATGACACGAAACGTACGTAACATTTACATGTGAAAAAGGGATTAAATGCGTTCGGATTGTGCTTGGGTTTTCTTTTTCCTTTTGTCTCGTTCGTTATTTTAAAAAAAAAAAATTTGTAAGTCACCTTCTCAGTGATGACGTTGATGAATAAGCGCATGAACAGGTAGCTGCCTGCCCCTTTGGTATCTCTGACATCGTCCCAAATTTAAATCGTGACACTCATAGACATTGGCTATTGTGTTGCGCGATGAATTGTAACGCGACGATTCAACCAAGAACGGAGCAGAGATATCAAAGGGCTCCTCCAGTTATTCCATTGGATGATGACGACCACCGCAGATTCCACAGGACATTCCACACCAATGTACGGCTCTTAATGGAGGATAAATCCACAAGCAAGGAACAATCAACGACAGTAATGCTAAGCCAAGCCATCGGCGTCCACATCCTTCCTCCGTGCTACAACTAATTTTCAACATTTTTTTTTTTTAGTTATCGAAATTTAATTTTAAAAAAATAATCGAATTTAAGGGGAGTCAAAGTCGATGCGATTTTTATGGGGAAAACCCCATAAAAATCGTATCGTATCGACTTTGACTCCCTTCAAAAAAGAAATTCAAATTTAAATTTAATTAAAAAAAATAATCGAATTTAAAACGAAAAAGTAATGCGACGATTTATTTTTATTTTGACATAAAAATTAGAGATGAATTTCATTTGAAAAAATTATTTCTTGATTTTTTCGTTTAATTAATTTTTTTAATATACAAAAAAATTTGTCGTGACAAAAAAACGAATTACAGGAAGCAACAAAAATATTAACTTTCACTTGAATGCCAAAAACTTAAGATCAATAAATTTAAAAACTATTAAATCTCTATTTCTAAATATCAAATTTGAAAAAATTCTTTATGAAAATTTAAATATATATTCAATACAATTACAATTAAATTCCTCTTAAAAATTCAATTATTTTTCACAATTTTAATAAAATTCTTAGCAAAATTTCAATGTATTTTCATAATTTTATAAAATTTTTTAAAAGAAACTCAATTACTTTGAAAAATTTCAAAAACAATTCTTAACAATAATTGGATTATTTCCATAAATAATAAAATTCTTCAGAAGAATTCAATTATTTCCATAAATAACAAAATTTTACTCAGGAATTCAATTATTTTTAAAAATTTAATAAAATTCTTCACAACAATTCAATTATTTTCATAAATAACAAAAATTTTCTCAGAAATTCAATTATTTTAAAAAATTTAGTAAAATTTTTCAAAATAAATCAATTATTTTCAAAACTATTAAAATTCTTTAGAAGAATTCAATTATTTCCATAAATAATAAAATTTTACTCAGGAATTCAATTATTTTTAAAAAATTTAATAAAATTCTCCACAAGAATTCAATTATTTCTAAAAATTTAATAAAATTCTTCACAATAATTCAGTTACTTTAATAAATAAAAACAAAAATTTTTCTCAAAAATTCAATTATTTTTAAAAATTTAGTAAAATTGTTCAAAATAAATCATATATTTTCAAAACTATTAAAATTCTTTGCACGAATTCAATTATTTCCATATGTAACAAAATTTTTCTCAGTAATTCAATTATCAAAAAATTTCAATAAAATTCTTCAGATGAATTCAATTATTTCCATAAGTAACAAAATTTTTCACAATAATTCAGTTATTTTCATTAATAATAATTCGTCTTTTTTTGGAACAATTGAATTTTTAAACAACTTTTTCAAAATTATTAAGAATATTAATTATTAAGAATAATTGATTTACAGATAAATTTTAGTTAAAAATTACAGAAAATAATAATTAAAAGATTTGGAAATTTTAATTGTAAGTAATTTTAGTTATAAATTCTAAAAAATATAGTTTTTTGAAAAAATTTAATTCAAATTCTTTTTAAATTAGTTGAATTTTTAAATATTTAAAGGAAAAAATTCTGAATAAATAAATAATAAACTTTCGTTTTTTTTTAAATTGAATTTTTAAATAACTCTTTCAAAATTATTAAAAATTATTAATATTTGATTTACAAGTAAATTTTAGTTGAAAATTACAGAAAATAATCATTAAAAGATTTGAATATTTGAATTGTAAGTAATTTTAGTTATGAATTTTGAAAAATAATTTTTTTTAAAAAAATTTATTTCAAATTTTTTTAAAATTATGTAGTTGAATTTTTAAATATTTAAAGGAAAAATTTCAGAATAATTGAAATTTCGTAAAATAGAATTTTTTTAAATTTAAATTGATTAAAAATACGTTTTAAGTAAACTTTCGTTTTTTTTTTGGTTTGAATAATTGAATTTTTAAATAACTTTTTCAAAATTATTAATATGTAGATAATTGATTTGTAGGAGGATTTTAGTCAACATTTACAAAAAATAATTGAATAGTGAAAATCTTATAGCAGAAATATTGAAAAATAATTATTTACAAGTTTCGAAAATTGAAATTTTTCAAAATTTCAATTTTAAGTAATTTTAATTAACAATTCTAAAAAATGTACTTTTTTCAAAAATTGAATTAAAATATTTTTGAAATTAGATCAATTTTCGATTATTTAAAGGAAAAATTTTCGAATTTTTCAAATTTCGTAAAATGAACTTAAAACAATTGAATATTTTGATACGTATTTTAAATGAATTTTCTCTTTTTTGAGTAATTGAATTTTTAAATAACTTTCTTTAAAATTATTAAGAATAATTAATTTACAGGAGAATTTTGGTTAAAAATAGCAGAAAATAATTGAATAGTGAAAATGTTATAGCCGAAAATTTGAAAAATAATAATTCAAAGATTTTAAAATTGAAACTCTTGAAAATTTGGAAAATGTTAATTCAATTGTTTTGTTTCTGTTATCAGTTGAATAATTCAAATTTCGTAAAATTGACTTATCGGGATAAGGAGAAAAGCAGAACATTTTTCTGATAAAATCAGAGAAATGCGAGACTTGTAGTTATTGTCTAATTGACAAAATATTACTGCACCTGACAAAAAATTAAAAGTTTTCAAATTATTTTCAAAATAATTGAAAATTCCTGCGTAATTAATTGAATTTTTTCGATAATATTCTTTTTGAACGAAGAAATGAAAATGAAATGAAAAATATTTCAAATGGAATTTCATGAAGAACGGCATAATGAGAAAGAAAAGGAGAAGTCTAATTAACGAAGTGATAAAAGGTGATTAAGACCCATTAAATGTTGACTTCTCGAGTAATTTTAAAGACGTTTTCGCTTCAATTAGAATTGTACGAAGAACGTGAAGAGAATTAAAAAAGAAGTCAAAATAATAAAGAAAGAAATGTGACATAAATTGAAATTTTCAATGATATAATCAATAATTGAAATTTCATACCTGCACGGATTCTGGGCGAAATCTCCTTCGGCGTCACTCATACAATGATAGAGCATGCACTGTGCACAGGAGAGACAGGATACGGAAGCAATTCCACGTCTAATTGGATCTGGTGCGTATTCACATGAACCACGTGGATTATGTTGTTCCGAATATAATTCTTGGCAATGTTTACACCGAAAGCGAATATTACGTTTTGCAGTGTTTTTCGTCGGTTGTGAAACAATAATATCTGGTTTCTTCAAGGAACTGGTCGAATTACGTCGATCGAGTCGATCTGTTTTATGATCGTCAATCACAGGATACAAATACTCATGATTTAATGTCGTTAGTTGTACGTAGGGATAATTATCAGACGTCGTGTCAGCCGTTGACTCTAGAGGATGATGCGACAGGGGCACTTTCATTGATGATTCGCTAATATATGGTATTGATCTATGCGATCCCGAAAGATCTGAACAGTGAGATTGATAATTTGTCCTTCTTAATATTCCACAAGTGTCTGACGTTTGCCTTTGATCGCTGGGATCAACTGGTAGATTAAGAGTCTGAAATAAATAATCATTATTAGTTCATTTTTCACAAATGTGTATTCAAAATTTGATTATTTTATTTTATTTTTTATTTTGAAAAGTCTTACCATAAAAACATCATCCTCCGCAACGCCTGTTAGGTCATCGTTTAATGTCGTGTCAGCAAGACCTGTCAATAATTAATTTGTTAATTATTAATATTCAAAGAACGGAAATGATGAATTTAAAAAAATCGATAATTATTTAATAGCTTATGTTTTCGTTTTTTTTCTGACAAATTTACCAGGTACATTTTCAAATTGAAATGTAGAATTTTTAATTTTTCACCAAAGAAAGAAAAAAGAATTGTGGTATAAGGGTTGCCACAAAAAATTAATTTTGTTTTTCCCTAATTTCCAGACAGAATTTTGACTTTTTTCCTGACTCTAAAAAATATTCTGATCCCACTTTAAAAATTATTAGAAACTCAAAAAAATGTTCTAATACTTTTATTTGCGAATTTCTTTAATTGTAAAATTATTCGAAAACGTCAATAATTTCTGTTTTAAATAATAATTATTATTTTTCTATATGAATTAAGATTTTCAATAATTTTAAATCTCAAACTTCTTGAAATTTGATAATTTACAAAAATTACTAATTTTCTGGAATTTTAAACAAAAATTCTCTAACTCAAGTATTTGTTTATAATTTTTGATAAGTTCTTTAAGAATACAATTATTCAAAGAACAAAGAAAGTACACCGAAATTAATTTTGAAATCAAATAGTTTCAAAAAAAAAATTGAATTAAATTTTCTCAAAAAAAAAATTAGATGTATAGAATAATTATTAATTCTTACTAAAAATACACATTTTCAGAGATTTTAATTTAAAACCTTCGCAAAATTCAATTATTTCCAAAAATTGCTATTATTTGTAACTCCTCCGAAATTCAATTATTTTTTAGAGTTCTCAACTAAAATTTTGACATTTTCCCTGAATCTAAAAAATATTCTGATTCACTGTAAAAATAATTAGATACTCAAAAAAAGTGTTCTTCAAAATTATTTTTATGAAATTCTTACATACATATTAAACAATAAAAAATTCAAATAATTTCAAAAATATTTTTCAAAAAAAAAATATTTGTGCAGAATTGTTAATTAAAAGTAATAAAAATACATAATTTCAAAGATTTTAATTTGAAATCTCTTCAAAATTCAATTATTTGTAAACTCCTCTGAAATTCAATTATTTTTTACGGTTCTCAACTAAAATTCTTCTCTAAATCAATTCTTTTCAATAAATTTTCAGAAAACTCTCCTCTAAAGCAATTATTTTTAACAATGTTCAGAGAACTCTTTTCTAAATCAATTATTTTTAATAATTAAATATGTATTAAACAATTTAACTAATTTCAAAAGAATTTGAATTAAAATTTTCCAAAAAAAACTATTTTCAACAAAATTTCTAATTAAATTCATTCAAAATTAAAATTTCCTAAAATTAAAATTTGAAACCTTTTGAAATTTAATTATTTATGAAAAATTGTAATTGCAACTCTTATAAAATTCAATTATTTCAGAATATATGTAAATTTATGTAAATTATTTCCAAAAATAAAATTCTTTACAACAATTAAATTATTTTCAAAAAAATATAATAAAATTCTTTGCAGGAATTCAATTATTTTCAATACAATTTAAATAAAATTTCTCGATAATATTCAATTATTTTTAAAGATTGCAATGAAATTCTTCGGGAGAATTCAATTATTTTCAAAAATTATGATAGAATTCTTAACAAGAATTCATAAATAATAAAATTCTTCTTAGAAAATTATTTATTTTTAAAATTTTTAAGTAAAATTATTCACTAAATAATTTCTAAGTAATAATTTTACAATATTTTTTCAAGAATTACATTGTTTTAAATATATAATTGTCAGAAATAGAAAAAATTGAATGTTTTGTATTAAAATTCTTGATAATTTTTTAAGGCAAACAAAAAAGACTCAAAAATTCAGAATTTTGTTATGAATTATTGCAATAAAAGTTAAATTTTTTTCCACTTCTTTTAATAAAATTCCCTGATTTCCCTGATCAATTCTACTTTCCCTGACGTTTCCCTGAATTCCCTGACCTGTGGCAACCCTGATTATAATGAAATACTGAATGAAAACTTTGATACGTTTTTAACAAAAAAGAAAAAGAACATTTTTCCAATACGATTTCATGATGACAAAAGTAAACATTTGGATTCAGTTTATAAATAATGTATATTTTAATTTGAATATCGATTTTGTATATTGTTTGATATTTCAATTAGAGAATATAACGTGAATATAAACTGTTTATACAAGCTTCTGTATCAATATGTGTCTTGAGAAATATTTTCAAAATGTGCAGATGAATTAAAATTGAATTAATTGATCGTTCAATTAAAATCAAATTAGAAATTCGTGTGATTGTAGTTCGTTAGCGGCAAAAATATGGTTAATATTTAGTTAAGCTGTTCAAACTTAAAAAAAACTGTCGCAAGGAAAAAAGGGAATTTACACCCTTATTTGTCCATTTCATATTAAAGAGATTAAATTTGTCCGAAAATCTGCTATTGAAATAAATAAATTACTTTAAATCGTTATTATGCACTTAAAATCTATAAATGCTAAAGAAAAGGTATAGAAAAAACTAAAGAAATAAAAAAAAAACCAAAGAAAGAAAAAAAACATAAAAAACTATGAAAATCAAAAAGAACTTTTAGGAATGAAAATTCGGGACATTTCTGACCTTCTAAAAGTTCTTCAACCGCAGTTCGTACTCCCTTGTCAAAAGCACGTGCATCTGCAGCAGTTTGAAATGTCAGTCCAAATTTCTTCTCTCCTGTACGCCAGTGATGAAATGTAGGCATGACTTTGTTATATTCAAAATCTTTCTTTATAGTACAGCTAAGAACCACCTGAAAATTGAATAAAAAACGAAATTAGAAAAAGAAAATAAAAACAAATTGAGAAAATTAAAATGAAAACGAATTAAAAAATTAGAATAAAAAAGAAATAGAAAATAATAAAATAAAATCGAAAATAACAAAATAGAAAAATTAATATATTAGAATCATATTGAAATTGACGAAAAAAAGAACTTTGAATTAATTAATTCAGGGTTATCGCGCTTTTGCTCTTTTCAAATTCCCTGATTTTTCCAGGTTTTCCAGGTTAAAAAACAGAATTTTTCCAGGTTTTTAAAACGAAAATTATTCGAAAACATCAATAACTTCATTCTTAAATAAATATTTAATAATTATTTTTTTTATAGAAATTAAGATTTTCAAAAATTTGAAATAAAAAAACTTGTTACTTTCTTACTTTCACTTCTTCAAAAATTATTTTTATCATTACAATTATTCTTTTCTAGAATTTTCAACTAAAACTCTTCTTTAAGTCAATTTTTTAAAAATAATTTTTGAAAAAGTTCTTTGTGAATTTTCAAATTCTTTTGTTTACAATTTAATTTTACGAAATTCCGATTATTCTGACATTCTTCAATTAAATATGTATTAGAAATTAAAAACTTCAAATAATTAAAAAAAAATTCCATTAAACTTTTTGAGAAAAATTAATTCTACAGAATTCTTAATTACAAGTATGAAAAGTTTAAATTTTCAAAGATTTTAATTTGTGAAATTCATCTTTGAATCAATATTTATTAAAAAAATTCTACGAGTATTCAATTATCTAACTAAAAAAATAACTATTTTATTAAATAATTGAATGTTTATTAAAATTAAATTTTCATAAAGAATTTTATCAACAAATTTTTAAATAATAGAATTCTCTTGACAAATTTTAATACAATTTTTAAGAATAATTTCATTTTTTGAGAAATTTGATGAAAATTGTATTACAAATAATTGAAATAATTTAAACAAAATTTTTTAAAGACTTTAATTTGAAACCTTCTCAAAATTCAATTATTTCTAAAAATTCACGTTATAATGCATTTCATATTCAATTATTATCTAAAATTTTAACTAAGTTTCACTTTTAAATCAATACCTATTTATTAGAAAATTATTATTTATTAGAAAATTCAACTATTTAAATACAAAAATAAACAATTTATTAAATAATTTATTCCTGATAGAGAATTTTATCAAAAAAACGAAAACTAATAAAGAAAGTGGAATTAAAAATCTTCGAAATTCTGCGATAAATTCTGTTATTTATGAAAATAATTAAATTTTTGCATAAATTTTATTAAAATTTTTAAAAATAATTAAATTCCTGTAGAAAATTGGTAGAAATTTAATTATTTAAAAAAATATAATAAAATTCTTATTTAAAATAACAAAATTCTTTGCAGATCTTCAATTACTTTCAGGAATTTTTAAAAACATTCTTTGCAAGAATTTAAATATTTTCGTTAAATACAAATTTTTGCAGAAATTCAATTATTTTCAAAAATTTTAATAAAATTCTTCGCAAGAATTCAATTATTTTTAATAATATCAACAATTTCGTAGAAATTCAAATATTTTCGAAAGTTTTGATAAAACTTAAAAAAAAATTTATTTTCAATTTAATTTTAAAAAAATTTCTTGATAAGATTCAATTATTTTTAAAATTTTAATAAAATTCTTTAAAAGACTTCAATTGTTCTTGAGAATTTTTATACATTTCAATTCAATTATTTTCAAAAATTTTAAACTAAAATTCTTCTTTAAATTAATTATTTTTAATTATTTTTGAAAAACTTCTTTGAAAATTTTCGAATTTTAAGTGAAATTCATATTTAAATGAATGTTTATTAGAAAATTCTACGAGAATTCAATTTTTTAAATACAAAAATTAAATTGTTAAAAAGAATTTTATTAAATTTTTTGAAAATAATTAAATTCTTTTAAGAAATTTAATTAAAAATTTATTGACAATAATAATACTTAAATTCTAATAAATAAATTATAGGAAGGCTTTTAAAAATAATTGAATTTCTTTGATGAATTTTAATAAAATTTTTAAGAATAATTACATTTTTCGACAAATTCGATTAAAATTGTATTAAAAATAATAGAAATTCTACAATGAGTTTTATTATTTATGGAAATAATTGAATTCGTGATAAAAATGTTATTCTTCATGAAAATAATTGAATTATTGTGAAAAAATTGGTAAATAATAGAATTCCTGTGACTTTTTTATTATTTAATTTATTAATTAAAAATGGAAATTTTCTACAATTTCAAATTAAAACGTTTTGAAGTTAATCTATTTATGAAAATTGTAAACGCAACTCTTTTAAAATTGAATTAATTTTGAAATATTTAAGTAAAATTAAGTTTTCAAGAATAAACACAATAAACAATTTTCCAGGATTTCGATCAGAAATTCTCTGACTTTTCCAGATTTTTTCAAGGTTTTTAAAATTTCCTGACATTTCCAGGTTTTAAGGTTGCGTGGCAACCCTGTAATTGAACAAATTGAATGACTCACCGACTGATCTGTAATTCGTTTCCCAAAGATGAGGTATTCGTGTTTTCTTTTCGGTGCACCAGGTGGTGAGGTACCGGTTGATGCATGACCCTGGCTATTGGTGTTCGTACTTGTTGTTGTTTGCGAGGAATTAGTCGTTGAAGGTGCCGGGGTGATGGTAGTTGTTGGTATACTGGTGCCATTTGTTGTGCTAAGTTGGTGTCCACCACCAGGTACAAGTCTCCGTCTCACTGAAACATTTGCCAAACCTCCACCTCCCAGGGGTACCCAACCTCCGGAACTGTCATCCCTTGTCATCACCTGTGCCCGTACCCTCACCAAATAATTACCACTGAAAATTAAACAAAATCCCACAATTAGTTCATCACAAATTTTCATCAAATCTTCTCAATTTAATTAAATTAATCTTCATAAGAAATTATTATCAAAACACTATAGAACTGTCAAAATTTTATCAAATCGCCAACTGACAAATTTTTATCAATTAAAACAAAATGTAATTATAAATACAGAACGAAATATAATTATAAATTTAATGAGATATAATTATAAAGATAGAATTAATTATCCAATATAAATAGAAAAAGTGAAAAATCGAAACACTTTTTATTAATTTGTAATTAAAAAACAAAAATTGAAAGTGTTGTAAATTAGTTAAAAATGCAACGAATTTTCTAAAGGATTATTTTTCTTTCTATCTTTCAAGTCTCACAAATTTCATCAACATTGGAAAAAATACAACTTCCTGAAATTAGTAATTTAGAACTTAGAATATAGATTAAAAATTAAATTTTCTGGTTAAAATAACAATATTAGATATCATATGAAATAGTACTTTATCGTTTTCATTAATGTCTTTGGTGCACGCAATTAAAATTAACTTTATTAAAGATAAAATGTTTGAGTTCAAATTAAAAGTAAAGTGTATTTTTATAGCCAAACTAAGCAAGTGTTTTGGGAGCAAAACGGAAATACACTTCAAAGGGAACATTAAAAATAGAAACGTATTCTCGAAACAAATTTACAAAATAACGTGTTTTCAATCAAGATAGAAACTAAAAGTCGATAATTACTTTTTGCCTTCGGAAAAATTAGTCTTTCGTCTAAGATGAAAATCACAAGAATCACAAGAAATTTATTAGCAAACTTTAATGTTAAATAATTTTAATTAATGTGTATTTTGGATTCTTTTTCGAAACAGTAATTAAAATATAAAAATACTGAAAGAACCTTTGCATAACCTAGAGAAAAATTATATTTTTCCGTACAGAGAGATTTTTTCTACTGTATTAGGCCTGTAATTGTCTCGAAAAGTCTCGACAATCAAACGTCAAAAACGTGTACAGTTCTGTCAATTGTATCGACTGTCATTCTCTTAGGGACATCAATTCAAAAGTAACAATTGTTTTTCGTTATTGCTTTGACAGTTTCAATCAGGTGAATATTGAAAAGTTGTCACTTGACGTTTCTGAAAGTACCAAACAAGGCTCGTTTCGTGGGAGTCACAAGAAGGGCGTTGAATCACTAGAATAATTCCTAAAATGAAAGGGAGGACACAGGTACACGATGACATATGATACACGCCATAGATAATAGATGATTACATTCATGTGCTCATCTGCTTAAATGGCGATGAAAAATGTCATGACACACATTAATATTCATGTAAATTAGAATTTTATCAACATTGGAAAATTATTTCATGAAAATTAATGGAAAATATCGTAAAATTAAAAAGAGGGTGAAAATTTGTCGAGCTTTGAACATGGAGAGTTACGGCTGCTTTTCCAATAAAATCTAAAATGGAGGAGACGCAGCGGAACACCTAGAGTTTACAAGGGTTTTTTATTGAATTTTATGAATTCTTTTCATTTTACTTACTCCTCCGACGCCTCTGTCATGGTCCGAGTTATCCAAGTTCTTACACTTTTTCACACACTTCACCATTTTCGTTACATTGAGACATTCGCAGCTAGTTCTCGACACTTCACTCTTTTTTAGACCAACTACAGGAAGCACCCACCGCACCCCCGCACACCTCACTGCAACTATATATGAACAACGCTAACGAAGCCCCGCGAATTTCATTTTTGAAATTCCTAGAAAACAAGTGTGGTGTGATGAGGGAAGCTGAGAATTTAGTTTCATTGAAAAGAAGGGAGGACGATGAATGGAATCAGGAAACGAAATTTTATAATCCTGTAATGTTATACAAAAGGATCTTACGAGTTGCAATTTTTTTAACTTTATCTTTCACTACACGGTAATATTTATAAAGTTAGGCTACCAATTTTTTTACTGAATCTAATAAGACTTTGAAATGATTTTTTCGAGATTTTTGTATCATACTATTACTTTCTGTCTAAACTAAAATTTTTTCCTATTGTTAAATTGGTTGAATTTCTAAATTACCGACTGACAAACAACTGTCGGTAAAGAAGTTTGCGAAATGTTTACAAAAACATAACCCCACTTTTTTGTTTTTCAAAAAATTTACCAATAAATAAATAAAATAAATTTACAAAATTTACTAGTGTAAATACTTTCAGAATCAAAAGTAAATAGAATTTTCTTTACCCGAAAACTTGTTGTTTGTAATTGTCAATTTTGCGTTTGTGAGTGACGATTGGTCAGATTTTTGAAATTGTCCAAAAAGTTGACCAATTGGATTTAAGGTTCGTCGAGTGAAGGAAGAGATGAGAGAATTGCACACGTGTGAACGCTGTCTAATAACCTTGAACTTGTCAAAAATGGGGAGTGCCAGGTTTTTGGCAGCTTAGAATTATCATTGTACATTTTGTAAACGTTTTTATTGCTAATAATGGATCCCGCCGTCTTCCCTGAGGAAATTTGGATTGAAATATTGCTATACTGTGATGTACCTGATATTATTGCTTTTGGAAGTACCTGTAAATACCTGCGAAAGACCTCGGATAATGATTACTTGTGGTGTGTATAGGTTATGTCTTAATTAATTTTACTCCATTTTGTGTGTGAAAAGTTTTGTTAATTAATTAAAATAAGGGATAAATTTTCAAATTGTTGATGTATTTTAATATATCAACTTGTTTAGGACTTATTTTTCAGCTGTCATTTCTTGATTTTGTTAATTGACTTACTTTCAGGAAAATGAAATGGTTGCATCTGCTCTCCAAAGTACAATTCAGATTTCCGGATATAAAATGTTTGCAATTACTTGGCGTGAGTTTTAAGGCGACATGCTACAGACTTCATATGGTTCTCACATTGGGAGAGGCTTTTCCTTTTCCGAAATGTTGTCATTGTAGTGGCTACACATGTCAGCGTAATTGCGTCGAAAGTTCTAGTGCTAAAGTAGTCTTAGAAATTGGTAATAAATTCACTTGGGTAATAACTCCACAAATTGGTTTAAAGAGGCACCTGTCAATGTTTGGCATTCCAAAATATAATGATGAAATGCACGCTGAACAAACACAATTGAGAAATAATAATCCAAGTTGTAGCAGTCGACCGAAGGATGGGAAATCGTTGGCGAAAACGCTCAAATTATTAAAGCTTACCGAATTAACGCCAACGGTGAAAATACCAAGACCCAGTGGACCTTTTTGTGTATTTTGCAATTCATTGAAGTTGTATCGTGAAAAGAAGAGATTGGCAACTCACCCGAATGATGCCTTTTACACGCATTCCAATCCAGTTGATCAGAGATTGGTCAATGGTTATTGTTCAGACGCTGTTGATGTCTTGGGAATTCCTAATGTTGATGTCGTTTGTCCAGCTGAGGCATTACTTTGCGATGGATCATTCTCTGTTTTAAAGGTATATATTGATCATTTGTTTCATCAGATGAGATTGACCACTACCTTGAGGAAACCAAATGCCGTTTTGATGTTCTGTGAGCCATTGGCTATTCATCCCTCGCTCAGAAAACAGTTGCTGCACTATTTGTTTCAAGAGGTCAAAGTTGCCAGGTTAGAAATATTAATTCTAAAGGATAATTTTCTCTTCTATTTTTTGTTTTTCAGGATTGCCACAGGTCATGAGAATTCAGGGAAAAATCAGGGATTTTTATTAAAGTACTGGCAAAAATTTAATTTGCAGGATTCATAATTAGTTTTATTTAATTTTTTAATATATATTTAATTACATATTAAAAATCATGGATGTATAGAACAATTAGGTTAGTTAAAAATTTAAAAAAAAATTAAATTTTAGAGAAGTTACAAATGTTTGCAGAAATTCAATTATTTTTAATACAATTTTTTTAAAAATTATCGTCAAGATTTCAATTATCTTTATAAACAGCAAAATTCTTCGTCGTAATTCAATTATTTACAGGAATTTTATAATAAAATTCTTGACAAAATTCTAATTATTTTCAAAAATTTTCAACAATTCAGTGATTTTCAATTTCTACTATTTTAATAAAATTTTCCAAAACAATTCAATTATTTAAAAAAAATTTAATAAAATTCTACCCAAACATTTAATTATTTTAAAAAATTTAATTAAAAATTATTGTCAAGATTTCAATTATCTTTATAAATATCAAAATTCTTCGCCGAAATTCAAATATTTTCAAGAGTTTTAAAAAAATTCATGGTAAAATTCAATTATTTTCATAAATAGCAATATTCATCATAAGAATTCAATTATTTTCAAAATTAAAAAACTTCTTCCCAAAAAACAATTATTTTCAGGAATTTCAATAAAATTCATTACAAAACTAAAATATTTTCAAAAGTAAAATAATTCAATTATTTTCAAAGATTTTAATTAAAATTCATGTCAAAATTTAAATTGTCTTCAAAAATTTTTCCTAATTCAATGATTTTCAATATTTTACTATTTAAACAGAATTTCCCAAAACAATTCAGTTATTAAACAAAAATTTTTATAACATTCTACACGAATATTATTTTCATAAATAATATTAATTTCACAGGAATTCAATTATTTAAAATAGAATATTCTTCGCAAATAATTCAATAATTTTCGCATGAATAATAAAACTCATCATAGAATTTTAATTATTTTTAATACAGTTTTAACCGAATTCCTCGAAAAATATAATTATTCCTGAAAATACAATTATTTTTAAGATTTGTTAATAAAATTCTCTATGAGATTTGAATTTTCTAAAACATTCATTTATTCAATAATTTTTTCATTTTTCTACTTAAATAATTGAATTCTTGTAGAATTTTCTAATAAAAATTGTTTTAAAAGTTAATTTCAGTAAAAATTTTAGATAACAATTGAATATTAAAAGCATTATATTTTTATGAAATAATTGTATTTTAAAAAAGTTTAATTGAATTTTTTATTAAAATCATTTCAAGTTTGTATTTTCTAAATATTTAATTGAAGAATTTCTGAATAATCAAAATTTCGTAAATTTGAATAGTATTTCTTTCGAAGAATTTTAATAAAATTTTTGAAATTAACTACATTTTTCGAAGAATTTACTTAAAATTGTATTAAAAATAATTTAAATGATGTGAAGAATTTTATTATTTAGGAAAATAATTGAAGTCTTGCGAAGAAGTTTATTAAAATTTTTGTAAATAATTTTATATATCTTCATGTTTTATAATAATATTCTTAAAATTTATTGAATTTCAAAAGGTTTAAATTTGAATTTTTTGAAAATCTGAATTCAAAATTTTTTAAAAATAATAAATCTCAGCATAGAATTTCAATTATTTTTAAAAATAATGAAATTCTTCTTTAAAATTCAATTATTTAAAAAAAAATTTTTTTAATTTTTTACAAGAATTCAATTATTTTTATAAATAACAAAATTCTTTGCAAGAAATCAATTATTTTCATAAATAATAAAATTATTTTTTGAAATTCAGAACTTTTCATAAATAAAGGAAACTCATCGCAGAACTTCATTTAGTTTTAAAAGTTTTAATAAAATTCTTCACAAAAATTCAATTACTTAATTTTATAAATAACAAATTTCTTCGACAGAATTCAATTATTTTTATAAATAATAAAACTGATCGTAGAATTTCAATTATTTTTAAAAGTTTTAAAAAACTTCTTTACAAAAATTCAATTATTTTTATAAATAACTTTCTTCGCCAGAATTTAATTATTTTCATAAATAATAAAACTCTTAGCAGAATTTCAATTATTTTTAATGCAGTTTTAATCGAATTCATCGAAAAATGTAATTATTCTTAAAAATATTATTAAAATTCGTCAAAAGAATTCAATTATTTAAAAATTAAAATACTTAATTAAATTAAATTAAACAATATAAAACGTGAAGAAATAGATCAGTCCGAGTCGAAGACTCGGATTTATCGATTTCTTCATGTTTTATACTAAAGTTCTTAAAAGTTATTGAATTTCAAAAGGTTTAAATGTTGTTTGTCTGGAAATCAGAGAAAAACAAAATTAATTTTTGTGGCAATCCTGTTTTTTATTTTGCTAGTTTTTGTTTTGTTTGCTGATGTTTTGATTTTAATTGAACAGGGTTTGCTTGGTGCCGAAACCATTGGCAGCGTGTGCAATGTTGGATATTGAGACTTGTGTTGTTGTGGACAGCGGTGCATTGAGTACAACGGTGGCAGTTGTCATTGGCGGACGAGTGATTCCACATCGATGGAAATTGCTTCCCATCGGAGGTTGGCATGTTGCTTGCAATTTAAAGAATGCACTCTACTGGCAAGCTAAGGAATATCATCAGATTCCGATTTCCTTCCTTGATTATATGGCTGTTAAAGAGAAATGCAAATTAAACTATCGAAATGAAGCGGAGGAGAGGAAGTTTAAGGAGAGCGATAAGAAAGTGAAAGACAGTGATAGGAAAATGAAAAAGGAAAATATCAGATTTAAGGTCGACACATTCGCTGATTATAAACAGTTTTGGGTGAGTCTTTTTTTACCTAGAAATTTCAGTTTTCTGTTACTCAAGCTTCGCACTCATCTACTAAAAACCTACTATTTACTACTTTTTTTACAATTTGCTACTATTTCAATACTTTTTTGGATTTATGAAACTAAAAGCTACTTTTTTCTTTATTTTTTTGGAAAATTTGCATCACTTTAAATTCGATAATAGTTCAAATAAAAAAAAAAGTTCTAAAAATTGTAATAAAATTCTTTAAAATAATTCAATATTATTCTCGAAAACTTTTCGAAAATCAATGATTTTCAATATCTATACAATTTTAATAAAATTCTACAAAAAATTTTTGATAAAATTCTTCGCAATATAATAAAATATTAAAAAATAAAGTAATACAACTTTCACAGAAATTGAATTATGTATTTAAAATATTTCATAAAATGTTAAGAAAAAAATCTTATATATAACATAGTCCTATATAGAAGAAAATTTGTTAAAAGGATTTTTAAAAATTTTGTAAATTAAACGACTACAAAGCTTCCTCACGAGGAAGCAAAATTGATAAATTTCTTTAATTCTTCACAATTATTCAATTATTTCCCCAAGATTCAATTATTTTCATGAATAATAAAATTCTTCTCAGATATTCAATTATTTTTTTAAATAATTGATAAATTCTTTCTTTAATTCTTGACAATTATTCGATTACTTTCTTAGATAATAAAATTTCTCACGAGAATTCAATTTAAAAAAAAATTAGTAAAATTCAATTATTTTCATAAATAATAAAATTTATTCTTCTCAGAAATAGAATTATTTTTTAAAAAATTGATATATTCTTAATAAAAATTAAATTTTGAGAAAAATTCAATATATTATTTATTTTTGTATTTAAATAGTTGAATTTTAGTTAAACTTTCTAATAAGAATTGATTTAAAATCTAATTACAATTGAAATTTTAAATAATAATTTAATATTAAAAGCGTTATAGTACAATTTTTTTGAGAAATAACTAAATTTTTAAAAGATTATTAAATTGAAATCGTTAATCTTTGAAAATTTTAATTGTTTTAAAACTTTAATAACATTTAAATTTTTACTTTGAAAAATTATTAATTTATTTTCTTAATTCCTGTGAAGAATTTAAATTAAATTTTATTAAATAATTATATTTGTTTAAATTTAAAAATTACTTTTAAATACAATATTGTATTTTTTAGGATAAAAATTCAGAAAATAATTGAATTTTCCAAAAATTTAGAATTAAGGTTCTTAGCAGGATTAGAATAAAAATAAATATATTCGATTAAAATTAGGAAATACTCAGGATAATACTGAATCAAATTTATGTGAATCGACTAAAACAATTGTTTTTATTAGTTAAAATTAATTTTCGATAGCTACTTTTTAATACTTTTTTAAAATTAATTATTGAGTGTGAAGCCTGGTAACTGTTATTTTATTTATTTTTTCTTTCTTTCTTTATTAAAAACAAAAAACTAGCAAAAAAAACTCATTATTTCATTGATTACTATTTTGTAGAGAGTTTCGTTGGGCGAGGAATTATTCGTTGCCCCGGAGATGATGTACGTGAGTTTAGGTTTGCCCCAAGTAATAAAGGAAGTAACGTCCGGACTTTCGGAGGAAGTTTTACAAGATTGTCTCTCTCACATTCTGTTGACTGGCGGAAATACCGATTTGTCAGGCTTCAATCTTCGACTGTCGAAAGATTTACGAGAATTGCTTCCGGAATACAGTCACATTCTTGAAGTTAGAAGCTGCCCCGGTACGCACAGTTGGAACGCTGCCATGGGCTCTACTTACGTTTCCCTAGAAGTTCATCCTGGTAAATTTATTAAATTCAAAAAATGTCAATACAATTCTTTCAAATATTTTCATAAATAATATTTTCACATGAATTCAATAATTATTTTTCTTCTTTACTAACAAGTTTTTTTTTTGAATGTTCACAGATAAAACACCACCAGAGTACGTCGAAGGCTATCCATTCTGGCTTTCACGAGAAGAATACGTGCTATTTGGATGTGAATCCCTAGAACAGCATAGAAGAGGTAAAGTTGCTAATTTCGACTAAGTATATAATTCAGAAAAAAAAGAATTGAGCAAAAATCATACTCAAAAAGTCCCCCTTATATAATATCGCATAATATCAAGAAAGTAAATGTTACCATTATGTAATATATTTTATCCCATGTTGTCTATGAACTTAAAAAATTTTTTTGAATTTGAAGGCAGTAATATTTCATTCTAGAAACGTTTAAAATTCTAATTTAAACGTTTCCCAAAAAGAAAAAAAAATGCGTTGATATTTAAATATCAACGAACATTTCTATCATACTCAAATATATTGAATCTGTACAAAATGATTAGTCATTCAAAATTGCATTTATATTAAAAAATCTTCTATATATATTAGTGGCTAATTGTTTAATGCACTAGCCGTTTTACATTTAAAAAAAAGAACTCAATTCAACTTTTTCTAAAAATGCATCATTAGTGTGTAATTTTTTCTTTTCAATTTTATATGATGATGAACGTAGTTTGATATAAATATTTTATTTTCCTATTATTTATAAATATATATTTATATATATATGTAATAAAAAAAAATTGGCTGGAGCTGCGCTTCAAGTTTGAAAAACTCTTTGAGAAAGATAATCTTTCTAGTGATTCTTATTTGTTCATAATATTTATTATCTCCTTGCTGTAAGCAAGATTAAATTTAGAAAAAAACAATACTTAACGTGAAAATGAACGTAAACAAGTTTTTGGCAAATGACTTAATTCAAACGCAACTTTTTGATTTTAAAGTGTAATAATTTTACATTTTTAATTATTATCTTTTAAAAATAAATAATTAATTATTAATTAATAATTTAATAATTAATTATTTGATTGATTATTCAATTAATTATTTGATAACTTATTCAATTAATGATTTGAAGAAAATATTACGTTCTTTTAATTGACGTATTACATTTTTACGTTGAGAAAAATGTGTTCATAAAAAAAATATTTGTTAAATAATTGAAAGATTTTATTTTTAAAAAAATTTTATTTTATTAAACTACTTGGAAAGTGGTTTTCTTTTTTGATGTATTTTATTTTTTTACCGAGTTTTAAAAAAATATGTATTGTCGCTGTTGTTTTTCTTTATATTATTAATTTAATGTCAAAAAAAAAGAAACTGCCTGTTATGTACAGTTTGAAACTGTTATTATTATTATTATAAAATTCGAAATGAAGGCAAAAAAAAATGTTAATAATTAAAAGTTTTCAGAAGAGATTTTTGTGTAGAATTTGAAAATTTACGAATTAGATTCGAATTGGTGATTCACGTGATAAAAAAGGAACGTCGAATTTTATTAAATGTGTATTATAAAAAATTGTTTGTAAATATACAAAAAGAGAAGTAGGAGAAAAAAAATGGAAAACGTTTGAATTGAAATGGATTAAGTATTATACGATAAAGATCGTTGTATTTCTAAATAATCAAGTTGTTTGCTATTTCGTATATTTATATTGGAATGAAATTTGCCAAAACATTTTTTTTTTTTGTGAATTGTATGTGGAAAAAAAGAAAAGATGGATAGAGAAATTTCTAGTCACGGAAATAATGATTAGCTATTTGTAATAATATATTATTATTATTATATTATTATTATTATTAATATTATTAGATAGTTGTAGAAATTGTGAATCTCTACTTTTTAATTTTACAAAATCATCAATAAATGTTACTGTACAATGTGATTATCGAAGATCCCGCCAAGCTGCGAGCTAATTAATGTTCGTTTGCTAATTCTAGAGTGAGAGCTCCCTAGGAAATTTATAATGTCATGCAAGTATTTCAATCGTATCTTACGACGATAATAATTTGTAATGTAATCTAGATAAGGTGTGTAATGTATCAATGCTTGGACGATTAAATTAAGACCTTGATCATGATACCAGTTTGATTTATTTAAAAAGAAATTTTGCTAACTAAGAAACTAATTTTTAATTAACTAATTAATTTAGGTATAATTCTACGATTCATAAGTGAATCGTAGAAAGAATAATGAAGAATTTTACATAAAGGTAGATATAAAAATAGAATTAAAAAAATAATTCTTTTGAATTAAAAATTAAGGGAATAAATAAAATCCAAACTATCGCAGATAAAGAAAAATAATTTTAATTTTACTCTTTTTTTTAAATCAAGAAACTCCGATTTTTTGATTTTGTTAAATTTGTTTTTTATTTCAATCACTAGTTTTGTTTAAAAATAAATAATACTACCGGTTGATTTTTTTTTTTACAATTATTGAATTTTGTTATTGTTTTCATTGAAAATCTGCGCGATTTCTAATTTTTAACGGAAAGAATTTTTTTTTTTGTCGAAAAAATAAAATATATTTTTAACAGTTTTCACTTAAAATTATTATATTTTTTGGCATTTTTCACGAAGCAGATTGTCTTCATACAGAAAATAATTGGGGAGTTTCAGTTTTATCTTTTAACTAGAAAATTTCAAGTCTTCAACTATTTGTTACTTTTTTTTACAAGAAGATTAGATCTTCTTCTCAGTCTGACATTTAACAATTTCTTTCCTTTGAACATTCGACAATGATCGGTTAAATATTACAAGAGTGCTACATTTAATTCTACATCAATTGTTGTATTACATAATTTTTATGTATAGATCAATTGTTTTTAGGAGAAAAATATTCTGAGAGAATATAATTTAGTAAATAGTAAATTTTTTTTCTTATTTTTGTTAATTTTTTCAAGTTTCATTTTTTATATTCAACTTTTTTTTTCCTTTTTTTCTTTCTATATTTTTATTTCTCTCAGTAAACTTTTCTAATTTCAATGTCCAGTCCTGGTAACAATATCGTGAAGCGCTTATTCTTCCTATTCTAAAAATTGTTAAATATTACAAAGATTTTCCAAGTATAAAATATTTGTTACAAATAATGTATATTATCTTGATTTACCGAATTCAATCAAGTTTTAAAATTTTTTCGGATTATGCGATAAAAAATTAGAAATTATCATTTTTTTAACGTAGACTTAAATTATTCTTTTCTACAATTAATGAAAATAGTCTTCTTTGAATTTTATAGATTAATCAAAGTAGATAACAGAATTTTTTTCTTAAAAAGATTTTTTTCATTTAGTCTTAAAAAATCATGTAACTATCTTAGATTATTTGTACAAACTATATACAAAAATCAATATCTATTTTTATACACAATGATCGATAGTTTAGTGTTTGTGTGTATGTGTGTGTTTGTGATTTTTTTGTTCAATTCGATTTTTTTGAAGAAACAGAATCGAGACACAATTTTCTCAAAACATGCAATTTTTTTGGGGAAATAAATATTTATGGTAATTCTTCATAAAACTGAGGAAAGTTGCCAAAAAGAAAATGGAGCAAGCTACAAAAAAAATTTTGTATGGCTTGTAATCAGTCATTGTGTTTAATCGCAAATTTTTTTTTTTTGAAAATAATTTGCGATAAGTCAAGATTTTAGTTGATTCGTGTTTTTTTTCATCTTCTTTTCGTTGAAAATTGACTTAGCAACAAGAACTTTTCGCTGGTTCAGCTTCGACTAGATTAAAATCTAAACCACTTGGTCTGGCATATCCGGTTTTAATACCGTCCCAACCGTCTTCAATTTTATATTCACCAGTTTGTATTCTATTAAATACTTCTTGGGTGACTGAACGAAAAGCATCTTCAACATTAACTCCACTTTTTGCACTTGTTTCGATGTGATGAATTCCATGTTGATCGGCGAAAGCTCTTGCTTCTTCTTTCGAAACTTCACGTTGAGCACCATTCGTTACTAAATCGAGTTTACAGCCAACGAGTGCAAAGACCGGACGATTTGGTTCAATGTGTCGGCGAGCTTCCATCATCCACTGGGGTATATGCTCGAAACTTGCCCGATTACAAACATCATAAACAAGTAGAGCTCCCACTGAATTTCTATAATATGATTTTGTAATTGATCTGAAATATTTGTGAATAATTTATTAGTATTTTTAATTTTTTCCGAGAATAGATTTAATTTAATTCTCTTGCAGGGTTGCCACAGGTCAGGGAATTCAGAAAAAAGTCAAGGAAATTAGAATTAGTCAGGGACAAGTCAAGGATTTTTATTAAAAGTACTGGAAAAAATTAAATTTTTTAGAATTTATATTAAAATTCTGAATTTTGGTGTCCTTTTTGTTTGTCTCATAAACTATGAAATTGCCAAGAATTCTAATACAAAACCTTCAATTTTTTCTATTTCTGACAATAATTTCTTTTTAAATAACTTAATATTCTTGAAGAACTATCATAAAATTATTATTTATAAATTATTTAATGAATAATTTTACTTAAAAATTTGTAAATTAATTGGATTTCAAAAGAGTTGCGTTTACAATCTTCATAAATAGATGAATTTCAAAGGTTTCAAAAGTGATAAACTTCTTTGCATCAATTCAATTATGTTCAAAAATTAAAAAAGAATTCTCGTCAAAATTCAATTATCTTTATAAATAATAAAATTCTTGGCAAAATTTCAATTATTTTCAAAAATTTTCCTCATTTCAATTATTTTTAATATCTATTTTAATAAAAATTTTCCAAAAGCATTCAATTATTTAAACAAACTTTTAATAAAAATTTCACAAGAATTCAATTACTTACCAATTTTTTATAAATTTCTCCGCACTAATTCAATTATTTTTAATTCTTTAATGATGTTTCTCGAAAGAATTCAAATTTATTCAGAGAATTGAAATAAATAGTTTTGAGAAATTCAATTATTTTGAAAAATTTAAAGAAAATTCTTCTAAAAATTCTATTATTTAAAATAATTTTGACAAAATTCTTTACAAGATTTAGTTAATAAAATTTCAATTTTAAAACAACTTTCCTGTTCAATTAAATTATTTTCAATACAATTCTTCTTAAGAATTCAATTATTTAAAAAAATTTGAATAAAATTCTTCGCAAGAAATCAATTATTTTCATAAATAATAAAATTTTTCTCGAGAATTCAATTATTTAAAAAAAATTTCATAAAATGCTTTATAAATTTGAAAAATTATAATAACATTGATCATAGAATACAATTATTTTCGTAAAATATAACAATCTTCCTAGGAATGCAATTATTGTTAAAAATGTTTGTAAAAATCTTTGAAACAATTCAATTTTTTTCTAAAAAAATAAAATTCTTCGAAGCAATTCAATTATTTAAGAAATTTGAATAAAATTCTTCAAAGGATTTCAATTCTTTTCAAAAATAACATTTTTCACAGAAATTCAATTATTTAAAAACAAAATTTAATAAAATTCTTCGCAAAATTTCAATTATTTTCAAAAAATTTCCTCATTTCAATTCTTTTTAATATCTACTATTTTAATAAAATTTTCCAAAAGCATTCAATTATTTAAACAAACTTTTAATAAAAATTTCACAAGAATTCAATTATTTTTAATTTTTTAATGAAGTTTTTCAAAAGAATTCAAATTTATTCAGAGAATTGAAAAAATAGTTTTGAGAAATTCAATTATTTTGAAAAATTTAAAGAAAATTCTTCTAAAAATTCTATTATTTAAAATAATTTTGACAAAATTCTTTCTTTTAATGAAATTTCTGGATGGAATTTAATTATTTTCAAAAACTTTTATAAAATTCTAAGAAATTCAATTTTTAAAAAAAATTTGAATAAAATCCTTTACAAGAAATTAATTATTTTCATAAATAATAATATTTTTCTCCGGAATTCAATTATTTTCACAAATGAAATTCTTCACAGGAATTCAATTCTTTCAAAAAAGTTGTAATAAAATTGATTTTCAAGAATTCAATTATTTAAGAATTTTCAATAAAATTCTTCCCAAGATTTCAATTCTTTTCAAAAATAACATTTTTTACAAGAATTCAATTATTTAAAAAAAATTTTAATAAAATTCTTCGCCAAATTTCAATTATTTTCAATTTTTTAAGTAAATTTCTCGATAGAATTTAATTATTTTCAAAAACTTTTATAAAATTCTGAGAAATTCAATTTAAAAAAAAAAAATTTAAATAAAATTCTTCACAAGAAATTAATTATTTTCATAAATAATAATATTTTTCTCCGGAATTCAATTATTTTAACAAATGAAATTCTTCACAGGAATTCAATTCTTTTAAAAAAGTTATAATAAAATTCGTTGCAAGAATTTAATTATTTTTTACAAATAACAGAACTTATCGTAGAATTTAATTTATTTTTTATACAATTTTAAATGAAATGATAGAAAATTGCCTTTATTCTTAAATTTTTTTTTAAATTCGCCGAAAGATTTTAATTATTTTTAAAAATTTTGATAAAATTCTTCATAAAAATTCAATTTTAAGAAATATTCAATTATTTAATAAATTATTTATTTTTTATTTAAATAATTGAATTCACAACAAATGTTCTAATAAAAATTGATTAAAAAATGAATTTTCCTTAAAATTTTAAATTATAATTGAATATTAAAAGCATTATAGCGTGAATTTTTAGAAATAATTGAATTTTGAAAAGGGTTGAAATTAAAATCTTTGAAAATTTAAATTTATAGTTACAATATTCTTATGATATAAAATAATGATTTTATCACTCTGTCATCTTAAATTTATTATAAAACATGAGGAAAAAGACTCGGAGTGATCAATTTCTTCATGTTTTATAACAATATTCTCATATAAGTTATTGAATTTCAAAAGGCTTGAATTTTAAATATTGATTTAAAACAGAAGTTATTTATAAAATAGAATAATTTTACAATTGAAGAAATTCGTAAATAAATGTAATAGAGCATTTTTTGGAGTGAATCAGAATATTCTTCAGGGTCAGGGAAAAAATCAAAATTTTGTCTAGAAATCAGGGAAAAATAAAATAAAATTTTTGTGGCAACCCTGTCTTGCTCTAATTACCTAAATCTTTCCTGTCCGGCAGTGTCCCATAATTGTAATTTAATTCTCGTGCCATCTTTCACCTCAATTAATCGTGCAAAAAAATCCACACCGACAGTTGGATCCGACAGCTAAAAATAAAAAAAAAGAATAAATTTCGCATATTCCAGGGAAATGAGTTAAAATTTAATTATTCAATGAACTTTCTCTTTACATGCATAAAAAAAGGAATAATCTAATATTTTAACTTCTATAGTAATTAAATAAAATAAGTATTTCATTTTAGAAAATATTCTCCAAGCTCCAATATTTCTCTAAACATTTCCTATTGTTTGACTCATATTTATTCGAGTGAAAAATTCTGATTACAATATAGTAATTTATAATCTAATTCTTTCGCGAATTTAATCTCTCAAACGACTTTGATGTAACTAACAAAAGATAACTAATAGAAATGAAAGTAAGTCAATTTTTAAATTAAATTCCATTGTGATAACATGAAAAGAAAATTGTATTTTTGAATTGACACATAAAGTGCGTCATATTTCATATCAAATGTGAATAATTGTACAAATTATGTTAAAATGGTTAAAATCATGAATCATGCAGGGAATTTAACATTTTTTATCGGGTGGGAGAAAAATGGGAAAATTTTATATTTATACAATCAAGGGCATGTTTTTCATTTTTTTTTTTTTTTGAAAATTAGAGCAGAAGACAAAAAAAGCACTGCGTACATACCTCAGCGAATTTGCCATCGGTGAAATATTTAAGTAGAGAGCTTTTACCAACTGTACTGTCACCAATTAAAATAAGACGAAATTGATAATCAAAGATTGGTTCCACCATTTTGACGTGATTTTTGTTATATGAACAAAAAAATGAATTGTTTATTATAAAATCACGTTCAGTAAAACATTTTCAAATGCGTAATTCTCAATTGCGAGATTTCGAATGATCTCTCAGCTGACCGTGTATATGCGTACATATAGTACATTTTACATTCAACGCCAACACAGACGTAAATAATGGTAAGCCAGTGACAAAGATCAACTTTCTGTTACCCAGGAGAATAATATGGAGAAGAAACGCCAGATGCCACACACAAAGTCACAAAAAAATTATGGTGAATTCATACGCGCATTTTGCTGCGCATTTTATAGCAGACGACAAATTTGACAATCAGCTGTTCATACACTCCATGCGTTTGATTGTTGTCACTTCCCCAAGATTTTTAGTTTTGTTTTTTATATTTTTTACTCAACCTTGTATGTTTTCCAAGTTCGAAATTTGCACAAAATTCAAGAACTATATTTCATTAATATCGTGATATTGATTCTGATCATTAGCACTTTTTTTTACATTCGAAAAGTGTAGTTTACATTTTGTTCGTTGAGCAATTCTTGGCACAAAGTTTCCTCTGTGGTGAATGTGGTGAATTTGTAAATCTCGTAAATTGTGTTTGATTTTTGAGATATGGTTTGTGGCCTTTATTTTGAATGCAACACGTTTTTTTAATAAACAAAGTATTTTTTTTAATAGTTTATAATGAAAGCTCGAAAATGGAACGAATTGGAGGTGACTTTGAGCGATTCTGTTTTGAAAACACTTCGGAATTTGAAATTTCACACGATGACACCGATACAGGTAGGACTTTAAAAATTTTTGGGTAAAATTATCAAAATTGAATTTTTTGATTTGAAAAAATTCAACAATTGATTGATAATTTGCAGGCGGCTTGTATACCATTGTTATTGAAGGGAAAGGACGTTGCTGCAGAAGCAGTGACAGGTAGTGGGAAAACATTAGCTTTCTTGGTGCCAATGTTGGAAATATTGCAGGTAATTGTTTTCAACAAATTGAACCTACTAATTGAATTTTGAACAAATTGAACAATTACTGTCAATTTAATAACAAAGGAATTTAATAGAAATTTAAATTTTGTCTTGAATTTATTTTCAAAATGCTATATTTATTTATTTTTAGGCACTGATAATAATTGCTGTAATATCGTAATTATTATATTGTTATAATTTTTATTAATTGTTGTAGAAAAGGAAAGAAGTGTGGAAACCACAGGAAATTGGTTCTATAATAATTTCACCAACCAGAGAATTAGCCACACAAATTAGCGACGTCTTGTCTAATTTTCTCGAAGAGATTTCGAATTTGAAACAAATTCTTCTTGTTGGAGGCACCACTGTTCGAGAGGATGTTGAAAGACTTCGAAAAGGTGCGAATATTATTGTTTGTACGCCTGGAAGATTAGAGGATTTATTGACAAATTGCAAAGAAGTGAATCTAATTATTGGTGTCAAATCTTTAGTAAGTAATTTTTATTTAAAGCAAATTTTATTCGTGGCAAATCTTACTTAAAGAAAATTTTATTCAAGGCAAATTTTACTAAAAGAAAATTTTATTCAAGGAAAATTTTATATATTCAAAGGAAATTTTATACTCAAAGTAAATTTTATTCAAGGAAAATTTTATTCAAAGTAAATTTTATTTAAATTTTATTAAACAAATTCTATTTGCGTTTCCAATAGGAATTGCTGGTCCTCGATGAAGCGGATCGTCTACTAGATTTAGGTTTCTCCGAAAGTATCAATGCAATTTTGAGCTTTTTACCACGACTCAGAAGAACTGGATTATTTTCAGCTACTCAAACAAAAGAATTACAGCAATTAATAAGAGCGGGTTTGAGAAATCCAACTCTGGTCGCGGTCAAAGAAAAATCCAGTATCTCAACTCCAGTTAATTTGAGTAATAATTACACAATAGTGAATGCCGAAAATAAACTCTCAACAATGGTGGAATTCATTAAAAAACAAGGTTTCAATAAGAAGTACATGATATTTTTTTCAACCTGCGCGTGTGTCGATTACTTCAGTCATGTTCTGACAGCGTAAGTTATTTTTTAATTCATTAAATTTGGAAAAATGTTTTCCCAATAAATAATTTATTAAATTTTAAATGGATTAATATAAACACAATAAATATAAAATATATTTCCAATTACAGATTACTACCGTCTTTTAAAGTATTAGCACTTCATGGTAAAATGAAAAATAAAAGACACAAAATATTCGGAGAATTTCGAAACATTGAAAATGGTCTATTGGCTTGTACGGATGTAATGGCTCGTGGTATTGACATTCCAGAAGTGGATTGGGTTTTACAATTTGATCCTCCCTCGACTGCGAGTAGTTTTGTACATAGGTGAGATAATAATTTCCGTATTAATTATTATTATTATTATTATTCCGTATTTATTATTTCAATTAATTAAATTTTGCATTTGAATAAAAATTACAATTCCATGCTTCTAAACTAACTAACTTTTTTGAAGAATTTTTTTAAATTTCGTGAAAATAATGCAGTTTTATTTTAAGTGGAAATTTTTTAAATAATTGAAATTTACGAAGAATTTTATCAAAAACTTTTGAGAATAATTAATTATTTAAGAAAAATTTTTTTACAACTTTTTTAAATAATTGAATTCTTGCGAAGAATTTTACAATTTATAAAAAATAAGTGAATTTTTTGAAAACAATTATATTATAAAATGTTGAAAATAATTGAAATTAATCGAATAATTTTATCAAAAAAGTGGAAAAAATAATTTTTTTAGAGAATTTTTAAAAAATTTTTTGAATATAATCGAATTCAATTAATATATTTAAAATTAATGGTATTTTTTTTAGAAATTTTATTAAAATTGTATTAAAAATAATTGAATTCTTGCGAAAAATTTTACAATTATAAAAATAATTTAATTGTTCAGAAGAATTTGATTAGAATTTTTGAAAATAATTGAATGTTTTGAAAAGAATTTTATTAAAAATTTTAAATATAATTGAATTTTCTTAGAAAAATTTAATTACAATTTATAAAAATAAATGAATTTTTGCAAAGAATTTTACAACTTATAAAAATAATTGAATTCTTACAAAAAATTTTACAATTTATAAAAATAATTGAATTCTTGCGAAGAATTTTATCAGAATTTTTGAAAGTAATTGAATGTTTTGAAAAGAATTTTATTAAAAATTTAGAATATAATTGATTTATTTAGAAAAATTGTATTAAAATTTATAAAAATAATTGAATTCTCGCAAAGAATTTAACAATTTATAAAAATAATTGAATTCCCGCAAAAAATTTTACAATTTATAAAAATAATTAAATTCTTGCGAAAAATTTTACAATTTATAAAAATAATTGAATTCTTGCGAAGAATTTTATCAGTATTTTTGAAAATAATTTAATGTTTTGAAAAAGATTTTATTAAAACATATAAAAATAATTAATTTTTCTTAAGAATTTTATAAAAACTGTTGATAATAATTGAATATAATTAATATTTTTAAAAATAATTGTATTTTTGCGAGAAATTTTTTTTACTAATAATGAAAATAATTAAATCCCTGAAAAGAATTTTAAAATTTATAAAAATAATTGAATTTAATTAATATTTTTAAAAATAATTATATTGTTTCGAGAAATTTTATTAAAATTGAATTAAAAATAATTGAATTCCTCCGAAGAATTTTATTATTAATGAAAATAATGGAATTTCTTTGAAGAATTTTTTATTTATGAAAATAATTGAAATCCTGCAAAAAAATGTTATCCAAATTTTTGAATATAGTTGAATTCTTTAAGGAAATTGAATTGAAAATGCTGAAAACATAGTTTTTAAATTCTATAAAAAGTAATTAAATTTTTCAAGAATTTTATTTAAAAATTGAAATACCTAATTAAATTTTTATAAACAATTTGTGTCATTTTCTAATTTTTATGAAAAATAATTTAAATAACAAGAAATTTTCTTGAAATTTTTAAAAATAAATGAATTTTTAAAATAAATTATACAGACAATTTTAGAAATAATTGACTTTTTGAAATTAACTCAATTTTAGAATTGTTTGAATTATTTTTTAAATAATTAAATTTTGGAATTATAATTGAAATTTCTTAAGTTTTAAAGAAGATATTTGAATATTCTTCAAGATATTTATTAAACGTCTTAAAAATTAATGAATTTTTTAAGGTATTTTACAGAAAAAAAGATTTTAAAGACCAGAAGGAAACGCGAAGGAAAAAATTTAAATAATTGAATTTTTCCAAATACTTAACTATTTACAAAAATAATTGAATTGTTTCAATGAATTTATTAAAAATTAGAAAAGAATTGAATTCTTTCATGAAATTTTATTAAAATTGTATTGAAAATAATTCAAGTCCAGCGAAGAATTTTCTCTTTAAAAATTAATTTAATTTCAAATTCATTCAATTATTTTTCAGATGCGGAAGAACTGCGCGAATTGGTAACGAAGGAAGCGCCATTCTTTTTCTTCTAGAATCCGAAGATGCGTACATAGATTTCATTAAAAGAAATCAAAAAGTAGATCTCAAAGAAATGAAGACAGAAGTCTCTGACAATTTCGCGACAAAATGTCTAAAGACAATGAGGAATCTACAAAGAAACGACAGACTTTTATTCGACAAGGCAATTCGATCTTTCGTCTCGTACACTCAATATTATCAGAAACACGAATGTCGTTTAATTTTAAGACTCAAGGATCTTGATTTAGGCAAAGTTGCAATGAGTTTTGGTCTATTGAAAATGCCAAGAATGCCGGAATTAAAGGGCTTGGATTTGTCATCATTTGAGGGGGAGAACATTGACATTAACACGATAAAGTACAAGGATAAGCAGAGGGAAACGAGTAGACTGGAGAAATTGAAAGAATTCAAGGAAACGGGTATTTGGCCGAGTAAGAAAATGCGAAAAATGAAAAAAACAGAACCTTGGTCGGAGGCGAAGAAAAATAAATTAGATCATCAGGAGAGAAGAAATATTCGACGGGAGAAGAAGAAGAAGAAAATGGAAATGAATCCAGATTCGATTAAGAAGAAGCGAAAAAAGGGGATTAGTGAGGAGGATATGGCAGAATTGGCTAAGGACGTCGCTCTTATTAAGAAATTGAAGAAAAAGAAGGTAATTTTTTTTTTTCGTTTTAATTTTATTTGAAATATTTAAATTCTCTATTTATGCAAATTTTGTTTCAGATTAGCGAACAGGAATTTGATTCTGCGTTTGGAATTGAATCCTAAATGTTGGGAATTTATCAAATTGTTATGTAATATTTTTATTATTAAACAGACGATCAAGTTAAAAATTGTTTTATTATTTAGCAGACGATCAAGTTAAAAATCGTTTTCTTATTTAACAAACGATCAAGTTAAAAATCGTTTTATTATTAAACAGACGATAAAGTTAAAAATCGTTTCCTTTTTTAACAAACGATCAAGTTAAAAATCGTTTTATTAAACAAACGATCTAGTTAAAAATATTTTTCTCCAATTTAATTATTATCTTGAATTTTATTATTATTATTTATCAATTATTTCAGTTTCAGACTCAAGATTCATGAACCCCACTCTCTCTTCAAGTTTCTCCTTCCATTTACCTTCTCTTATATGTACAGAAAATAAAAGTTGAGAGCAGTGAATGTGTGAGTTTGTGTTTGCCTTCTTAGCGCACACAAATAAAAACTCAATACAAAGAGAATTCGAAATATTCTTTTGGGGGGGACAAGTTACACGTGTACATTGGAGTAAAAGTGTAGGTAAACATGGCTGGAGTCTGATGAGTCAGACACAAGAAGGGGCAGCTTAAGAACTGTCATTCAGTTCTCTGTTATTCTCACTTATCTCATCGTCTGAAAATAATTTTCGCAGTATACTTAAGTGATTACTAAAATGATTTTAATTTCAAAGGAAAAGACAGTTTCAAAAATCAGTGTCGTTTAGAAAATATTTTCGAATAATTCAAAGGAGTTTGAGACTGGGGACAAAAAAAAATAGAAGTAAACAATGGAGCAAGAAGATAACCGTCCTAAGTGGTTGCAGGAGTTGGAAAATCGTAAAAGAAAGGTATGAAATCATTTTTGCAAAATATTTCCTTTTGCAGAATGTTCTTTATATTCTTATTTATTTATTAATTTACTAATTTATTTACTTATTTACTTAATTTTGTATTTAATATTTTTTATTCAATATTTTTTTAATATTCACTAATTTACTTAACTTATTTATTTATTAACTTATTTATTTAATTTATTTAATTTATTATTTATTTGTTCATTTCTTATTTACTATTTATTCATTTGTTTATTTCAATATTAAATGTAAGTATCTTACGCAAATATGTATTTTAAATCTGTTTTAATATTAAATATCTGTGTGTAATTGTAATTAATTAAAACAATTTACTCAAAAAATTATATTCTTAAAAAAAATTTAATTTTTTTTCGTTTTTTTCAGCCCCGTTTGGCTCACGAGGCAGGTGCTGGTTCACCTTGTCTAGTCTGCACATCTGCATGTCCTGGATTAGATCTGCATTTTTGGAGGAAAATTTGCAAAAATTGCAAATGCGACCGTGATGATCACGACGTAAATGACAATGAATTTCCTCAATTCGATCTTCTTTTTGGTCCATCCGCAAAGTCGAAAAATCGTTCATTTTGTACGTTATTCTCATATTTATTACGAATTATTATTTTATATTAATTATTATTTATTCATTACTTTTCAATTCTTCTTATTACTTCGTAGATATTCAATTATTTTCAAAAGTAATAAAATTCTTCGCGGAAATTCAAAATTTTTTTTAAATTCTCATCAAAATTTCAATTATCTTTAAAACTAATAAAATTCTTCTACAAAATTCAATTAATTTCAAAAATTATATAATAAAATTCTTGACAAAATTTCAATTATTTGCAAAAATTTTTCTCAATTCAATATTTTTAATATTTACTATTTTAATAAAATTTTTTAAAAGAAATCAATTATTTTTAAAAAATGTTGATAAAATTCTAAACAAACATTAAACTATTTTCATAAATAATAACAATTTCATAGGAATTCAACTATTTAAATTTTTTTTTAGAAATTTCTTAACAACAATTCCATTATTTTCAATAAATAATAAAGTTTTTACAGATATTAAATTATTTTCATATAAATAATAAAACTCATTGCAGAATTTAAATTATTTTTTATACAATTTTTTAAAAATTATCGTCCACATTTCAATTATTTTAATAAACGGCAAAATTATTCTTCAAAATTCAATTATTTACAGGAATGTGAAAAAAATTCTTTGCAAAATTTAATTAATTTCATGGATAACAAAATGCGTCATAAAAATTCAATAATTTTCAAAACTTTTTTAAAAATTATTTTCAAGATTTCAATTATTTTTATAAACACCAAAATTATTCTCCGAAATTTAATTATTTATAAGAATTTGAATAAAATTCTTTGCAAAATTCAATAATTTTCATGAATAACAAAATTCATCATAAAAATTCAATAATTTTCGAAACTTTTTAAAAATTATTGTCATGATTTCAATTATCTTTATAAATAGCAAAATTCTTGGACTAAATTCAATTATTATTCAATTATTCAATTATTCACTGGAATCTAATTATTTAAAATAGAATATTCTTCGCAAATAATTCAATTATTTTCATAAATAGTAAAATTTATCATAGAATCTCAGTTATTTTTAATACAATTTTAATCGAATTCCTCAAAAAATGTAATTGTTTCTGAAAATTTTATTAAAATTCGTCGAAAAATTTCAATTATTTAAAAATTTGTTTTTAAAATTCTTTATAAGAATTCAATTTTAAGAAACATTCATTTATTCAATAAATTATTTATTATTTTATTTAATCTAATAAAAATTGATTTAAAAATGAATTTCAGTTGAAATTTTAGATAATATTTGAATAGTAAAAGCATTATAGCATGCATTTTTACAAATAATTGAATTTTGAAAATGTTTCAAATTAAAATCTTTAAAAATCTGAATTTTTCATACTTTTAACTGACAATTCTGTAGAATTAATTTTTTTTTGAAAATTTTAATTTTTTTTTTTTAATTATTTCAAGTTTTTATTTTCTAAATAAATAAATAAATTTCGTAAAATTGAATTGTAAACTTCAGAGTTTGAAAATTCTAAAGAAACTTTTGCAAAGATTACTAAAAATAATTGATAATTGAATTTTTTCGAAGAATTTTAATAAAATGTTTGAAAATAATTACATTCTTCAAAGAATTTACTTAAAAATGTATTAAAAATAATTGAAATCCTGTGAAGAATTTTATTATTTAGAAGAAGCATTGAATTCTTGCAACGAATTTTTGTGACATTTTTTTTAAATAATTAAAATCTTGCGAAGAATTTTATTACATTTTTCTTTAAATAATTGAATTCTTTTGAAAAATTGTATTAAAAATAGTAGATTTTGGAAATATATTTCGTAATTTGTGAAATGTAATTGGATTCTTGTAAAAAAATTTCATAAATAATTACATTTTTCGAGGAATTTATTTAAAATTGTATTAAAAATAATTGAAATCAGATGAAAAATTTTATTATTTATGAAAATAGTTGAATTCTTACACCACGAATTTTATTACATTTTTTTTAAAGAATTGGATTCTTTTGAAAAATTTTATTAAAATAGTAGATTTTGGAAATATATTTCATAATTTGTGAAATATAATTGAAATCTTGTAAAAAAATTTTATAAATAATTACATTTTTTGAGGAATTTATTTAAAATTGTATTAAAAATAATTGAAATCAGATGAAAAATTTTATTATTTATGAAAATAGTTGAATTCTTACACCACGAATTTTATTACATTTTTTTTAAAGAATTGGATTCTTTTGAAAAATTTTATTAAAATAGTAGATTTTGGAAATATATTTCATAATTTGTGAAATATAATTGAAATCTTGTAAAAAAATTTTATAAATAATTACATTTTTTGAGGAATTTATTTAAAATTGTATTAAAAATAATTGAAATCAGACGAAAAATTTTATTATTTATGAAAATAATTGAATTCTTACAAGGAATTTTTGTTACATTTTTTTAAATAATTGAAATCCTGCAAAGAATTTTATTATTTATGAAATTAATTGAATTTTTGCGAAGGATTTCATTGAAATTTTTGTAAATAATTGAATTCTTGTGAAGGATTTTATTAAAATTTTTGTAAATAATTTAATTTTGGTTTGAAAAATGTTATGAATATTTAAATTATTATAAAACATGAAGACATCGATTGCTCCGAGTCGAAGACTCGGAGTGATTGGAATTTATTCACTATTATTTATTATTATTATTTATTTATTATTATTATTTTATTATTTATTTTTACAATAAATCAGTCTGTAAATCAGGGAAAAGTCAGGGAGAAACAAAATTAAATTTTTGTGGCAACCCTGTTATTATAGTTGAACAGAATTTTATTTTCATTGATAAAAATAATGTTTCAGTTCTTCGGGTCAAAAAACAAAATCAAGACGAAACTCCATTCGAATGGATTCCACCAAATACTTCAAAAGAACTTGCTGCCGATTATATGAAAGCTCTTCCTGATGAAAAATTGCCAATTAAAGGCTCCGCTGGCGCTGCCTTTCGGAGACAACAACTTCAGAAACAATTGCCATTGCACGATATTGATCATGAGGTGTGTGATCAATTGAGCGAACAAGAAAGAACACAATTCCAGGAGTATTTACAGAATTTGAAGAATTACGTCGGTCAGGGAAAAGTTATCAAGGTATGTTTATTAAATTATTTCCGACACGTCTGGTAGAAAGAGACCTGCGAAAAAATCATCCGAACAATTTTAATAATTGATAAATAATAGAGAAATAAATTTTTACAGTCATTGGGTGCACGACCGTTCAGTAAATCGCTAATGACTCCAGCGAATGCCACAGACGTTCAACAATTCAGTCCTCAGCACAAAGTGGGAATTTTATCTTCCGGAGTCGGAGTGAATCTTCGCACGCCCAGTAGTTTTATTAACAAAACTCCAAATACATTCCAATATTCGTCAACAGAACCACCGCCACTTCCTTTGTCGCAACCACCAAATAATTCACCTCTACCCTTAAATCTACAATCAATCGGAGCTGAATACAGAGAAAGTTCAAGTGAATCACTTCCTAACAGATCACAAACATCAAGTATTCTCAATAAATCCCTACCATCAAATGTCGAGTTCGTACGAACGCAAATGTTGGAAAGTTCACTGGAAAATTCCCCCCAGGGACGCTATCATCGTGCACTAATCAACACGCCAAATGATTCAAAATTTGTTAAATCGGAAACAATTGACGATGTGAATATTCCACAGAAATCGAAAATATTTTCCCCAGGGGCAAAGAGAATTTCTGAGGCAAGTTCAAGAGTTGAAACAACTGGTGGTATTGATTCCTTCGTGGTGGACTCTGATCATCTTCCTCAAGATCTTGCAGAGAAAATGTTGTCTGAAGCACTTTTACCGCCGAGTGCCATACACGCTGCTGATATCATTGGAAGTACTCTCGATGAAAAGGGACTGATGTACATAAGGGAAAAATTGAATTCAATGAATAGTGGTAAGGAGGACATTGAACAACAGGGTCCATTCAGAAGCCGTGAACTTGAGGGTCTGCCGAAGCAGGAAATTGAGAAATTGATCAACACGAGGCATGAAGTTTCAAACTCTAGAAGCGAATTCCTGCCGCAAATGTCGAGTCATCAAGGAAAATCGGGTAAATTTTATGTATTTCGAATATTTTTTTTCTTTTACGTCTACAGGGTTGCTACGCTTTTGCTCATTTCGAATTCCCTGACAGGATGTCTACTATTTTCATTCTACTAAATTCCCGGTTATTTCCCGTCTTTGTCATAATTTTTCCCGGTTTTTTTTCTCATTAAATTAAAATTTATTTGATTTCGAATATAAATAAATCTACAAATAGCTTACAAAATTTTTATTAGAGTTTTTATGAATAATTAATTTCTTTTGACAAGTTTCTTTCAATTTTTTGAAAATGTTTTATTAATAATTTTAATTGAAAATTTGAAAAATAATTGAATTAAACAAAGAATTTTTTCAATTTTTCAAAATAATCTTGTCTGTTCATAATTATAATTGAAAATTTGATTAATTCAATTTTATTAAAATGTATTGATACCTACTAATTGAATTTTTGCAAAGAATTTTACTATTTATAAAAGTAATTGAGTCCTTCTAAACAATGTTATTATTTATGAAAATTGAAAATAATTAAATGTTTGTGTAGAATTTTATTAAAATTTTTGAAAATAATTAAATGTTTGTGTAGAATTTTATTAAAATTTTTGAAAATAATTGAATTTTTTTTTATTTATTTATTTAGTAAATAGAATTGTGGAGAACAATTTAATTATTTATAAAAATAATTGAAATTATGAGAATTTAAAAAAATTGTATTACTTTCGAAAATAATTAAATTGTTTTTCTTAGAATTTTTTGGAAAATTCATAAAAATAATTGAATTCTTGAGAAGAATTTTTTTTACAGTTTTTAGAAATAATTGAATTCTTTTGACGAATTTTAATAAAATTTTTCAGAATAATTACATTTTTCGAGTAATTCGATTACAATTATATTAAAAATAATTAAAATTCTGCAATGAGTTTTACTATTTATGAAAATAATTGAATATATTGCGAAGAAATTTTTAAAAATAAAATTATAATTACGGTGACAAATTTCCTTTGATATTATTTTCGAAAAATTTAAATAAAATTCTTTAAAAGAATTTAATTATTTTTAACAGAATGTAAAGAAATTTCAATTATTCTAAAAATTTTCAATAATTATTTGTTTGTAAAAATTCAATTATTTTGAAACAACAGAATTAAAAAATTTCAAAAATTTATTTCTTAGAGTTTAAAAAGAACTTTGTTAAAAAAGTTTTTAATGAATTTCTTTTACAAATTAAATTATTTTCAGTTGAATTTCACAAAATTTCTATTATTTTGACAACTTTTTTAAAATTTATTTACAAACTATATTTGAATCAGTGACTGATTTTTTACTATATCAAATTAATTAATTTTAACTAATTCAAACTTTGAAAAAATTTGTTTACAATTTAATTTTACGAAATTTTGATTATTTGAAAATTCTTCAATTAAATATATATTAGAAAATAAAAACTTCAAATAATTACAAAAAAAAAAAATTCAATTAAACTTTTTCAAAAAAATTAATTCTACAGAATTGTTTATTAAAAGTATATAAAATATAATAAAATTTTTAAAAATAATCTCGTTTTTCGAGAAATTTGATTAAAATTCTATTAAAAATAATTGAATTTCTTCAAACGAGAATTTTTATAAATTTTTGAACATAATTGAATTTCTGCTAAAAATTATACTTTTGAAAATAATTGATCTTGAGGCGAATTTTATTAAAAATTTCTTTTTAAATATTTGAATTCTTTTGTAAAATTTTATTGAAATAGTAAACATTGAAAGTAAATAAATTTTGATAAATTTTTGAAATTAATTAAATTTCTACAAAGAATTTTATTAAAACTATTTTGAAAAAAAATTGAATTGTTACAAAGAATTTCATTAACAGAAATTCTTTTATAAATCCACTATTTTAATCAACTAAATATATATAAAAAAAATTTAACTAACTTCAGAAGAATTTTAATTATTAAAATTTTTCAAAAATCTACGTTCTTTAAGATTTTTAAAGAAATTCATTAAAAATTGAAATTTTAAAAAATTCCAAATTAAGACCTTTTGAAATTCATTTACTTATGAAAATTGTAAACGCTGCTCGTTTAAAATTGAATTAATTTTGAAATATTTAAGTAAAATTAGATTTCAGGAATAAACACAATAAACAATTTTCCAGGATTTCGATCAAAATTTCCTGATTTTTCCAGATTTTTTCAAGGTTTATAAAATTACCTGACATTTCCAGGTTTTCTAGGTTTCCAGGTTGCGTGGCAACCCTGGACAGTCTATTACTGTTTTTTTTTCTTTTTTTAAAAACTTGGTTTTTTCAAAATTTGCTGTTTCTTTTAAAACTTAGTTTTTTTCAAATACTTTTTTCAGTTTCTGCCTACGCTTCGGATGTGTTGAGAGAATCACTAGCCAATGCCCATCAGTCCTTCAGTAACGAACAAAAATTACAGTCCGCACATTCCTCGCACCCAGTTCGAAATATTTCATCAATCGCCGATTCTTCTCCAGCAAATTCTCCTGCAAATGCGAAATTAAGTAATTACGGTTCGATACCAACTTGTGTGATAAATTCAGAGGAATTGTATAATCCCATTTTCCCCGAGGAAGCTGTCGGTGGATTTTCATCACTAAATTCGAGTAGTGTCGATCAACTAGCCGAGGAGTTGGAAAATTCCGGCATTATTCCAACGAAGCAAAATTGTCACAAGTGCCATGAGGAAATTAATGTCGGCGATGTTGTAGTGACAGCAGAGAAAGCGAAAAACGAAGTCTGGCATCCTGGATGTTTTGTTTGTACCGTTTGCAATGAATTGCTCGCTGATTTGGTATATTTCTTTTATAAAGGTCAACTCTACTGCGGCCGGGATCTCGCGACGCATTTGAATATTCAAAGATGCTTCGCCTGCGATGAGGTGAGTGAAAACTTGACAAATTTTTTAAGTTTGTCTTTTCGGGTGAAAAACAACAAAATGTTTCTGGATATTCAAAATTTAATTGATAAATTTTTATATAAACAGAACGGTTGCTTGCTGCAAGTCGGGGAATTCAGAGAAAAATTAGGAATTTTATTAAAAGTAGTGGAAAAGATTTAATTTTTAGAGATCATAAGAAAATTCTGTATTTTGGTAAAGAGTTGCGTTTACAATTTTTATAAATAGATTAATTTCAAAAGATTTCAATTTCAAATTTTAGAAAAATTCAATTTTGAATAAATTTAATTAGCAATTTTAAAGAACTTAGATTTTTGAAAAATTTTAATAATTCAAATTCTTCTGAAATTAGTTCATTTTTTAAATATAAATTTAATTAATTATTAAAAATAATTGATTTATAGAAGAATTTTAGTTTAAAAATACTAAAAAAAAATTTTATTTTCTCGTCAAAATTTTAATTATCTTTAAATAAGTAATAAAATTCTTCTACGAAATTCAATTATTTTCCAAAATTTTAATAAAATTCTTGGCAAAATTTCAATTATTTTCAAAAACTTTCATCATTTTAATGCTTTTCAATTTTTACTATTTTAATAAAATTTTCCAAAAGAATTCAATTATTTCAAAAAAATTGTTTATTAATTTTTTATAAATTTCTTCTTAATAATTCCATTATTTTCATAAATAATAACCAAGTTTTTTTTACAGAGATTCAATTATTGTTTTCATATATAATAAAGTTTTTTTTACCGAGATTAAATTATTTTCATAAATGATCATTGCAGAATTTCAATTATTTTTAATACCATTTGTTTAAATTATCGTCAAGATTTAAATTATGTTTATAAACAGCAAAATTCTTCGCCGAAATTCAATTATTTACAGGAATTTAAATAAAATACTTTGCAAAATTCAATTATTTTCATAAATAACAATATTTATCATAAGAATTCAATAATTTTCAAAAGTTTTTTAAAAATTATTTTTATAAATAACAAAATTCTTCGCCGAAATTCAATTATTTTCTAAAATTTTCTTCAATTCAATGATTTTAAATATATTTACTATTTCAATAAAATTTTCCAAAATAATTCAATTATTTCAAAAAAATAAACATTCTGTTCAAGATTTCAATTATATTTATAAACAGCAACATTCTTCGCCGTTATTCAATTATTATTTACAGGAATTTGAATAAAATTCTTTGCAAAATCCAATTATTTTCGTAAATAATAATTTTAAAAACTTTTTTAAAAATTATTGTCAAGATTTCAATTTACAGTTTACAATTTACAATTTCAATTTACTTATCTTTAAATTTTTATAAATTATCTTTAAATAGCAAAATTCTTCGCCGAAATTCAATTATTTTCAAGAGTTTTAATAAAATTCATGGTAAAATTCAATTATTTTCATAAATAGCAATATTTATCACAAGAATTCAATTACTTTCAAAATTAATAAAATTCTTCGACAAAATAAAATTATTTTCAGGAATTTTAATAAAATCCAATTATTTTTAAAAGGAATAAAATTCAATTATTTAAAAAAATTTTTCCTAATTCAATAATTTTCAATATTCTACTATTTTAATAAAATTTTCCAAAAGATTTCAATTATTAAACAAAAATTTTGATAAAATTCTACACGAATATTAAATTATTTTTATAAATTTATAAAAATTTCAGAGGAATTCAATTATTTAAAATAGAATATTCTTCGAAAATAATTGAATTGTTTCCAGAAATAATAAAACTTATCGCAGAATTTAAATTATAATTAATACAATTTGAATCGAATTCCTCGAAAAATGCAATTATTTTTAAAAATTTTATTAAAATTCTTCGAAAGAATTCTATTATTTAAAAATTTGTTGATAAAATTCTTTATGAGAATTAAATTTTTAGAAACATTTAATTATTAAATAATTTGTTTATTTTAGAATTTAAGTAATTAATTGAATTCTCGTAGAATTTTCGAACAAAAAATTGATTTAAAAATGAATTTCAGTTAAAATTTCCAGAAAAGAATTGAATATTATTTTCGTATTTAAATAATTGAATTCTAGTAGAACTTTCTAATAAAATTTGATTTAAAAGTGCTTTTCAGTTAAAATTTTTGATAATAATTGAATATTAAAAGCATAATATCGTGAATTTTTAGAAATAATTGAATTTCGAAAATAAAATTAAAATCTTTGAAAATTTGAATTTTTCATACTTTTAACTAACAATTCTGTAGAATTAATTTTTTTGAAAAAGTTTAATCGAATTTTTTTTTAAAAACTATTTGACGTTTTCATTTTCTAAATGTATGTTTAATTTAAGAATTTCCGAATAATCGAAATTTTTGGTAAAATCGAATTGTAAACAAATGGATTTGAAAATTTTCAAGAAAATTTTTTTTAGAAATGATTAAGAATAATTGATTTAAAGAATTTCATTTTAAAATTGTAGAAAATAATTGAAATGATGAAAATAATTTTGAAGAAGTTACAGTAACACTATTCTTAGAATATAAAATAATGATTTCATCATTCGGTCATCTTTAATTATTATAAAACATGGAGAAAGCGATTCGATTCGATTTCTTCATGTTTTATAACAATTTTTTATAAGTTGTTTAATTTCAATAGAATTCCATAAAATTCCGTAACAAAACAATAAAAAAAGGAAAATAGGACAAAAACTACAAGAAAAAACCTATCTTTTTTTCACGTAAACCGAAAAGCGTCAGAAGCGATACTTCTGTAAAAAATACATCAGTATCTTTTTTTTAACAGAAGTTTCACTATAGAACACTTATTAATTAATTAATTTATTTATATTAAAAACAAAATGCTATTTTTTTTTAGTTAATATTCACGTCGATGTACACGGTCGCCGAGGGTCACACTTACCACGTGAAACACTTTTGTTGCTGGGATTGTGACGAGCCACTTGCAGGAAAGCAATACACGTCAGAAAACGATCGTCCCCTGTGTCTTCCATGCTATCAGAAAGTATACGCAAAAATTTGCGGCTCCTGTAATCAGGCAATCGCTGCCGATCAACAAGGCGTGGCCATTAAAAATTTAGACTTTCACGTTGACGAAAAATGTTTCTGCTGTTTTACATGCAAAAAAAGTTTACTGAACGGTAAGATTGGTATAAAAGAAAATAAACCATTTTGCAGTAAAGAATGTATTACAATATTTCAGAATCAAAAGTCATGAATTCTTATATAAACGAAAACTTTTACATATACAATAATAAACTTAATGAATAATTTTACAAAAAAGATTTTTTTTTTTACCGATTTTACATAATATAAAGAAGGAAAATTATAATTTATTTCATCTTAATTTTGAAATAAAAAATATTCATTCACAATTGACGAGTTTTTTTTAGGTGTGTGAAAATTTACAATTGAAAGAAAAAGTATTTTTGAATGAGACTTTAATAACTGAAACATCTTGGATCTTGTGTGATTATTTTAATCGATGAGTAATCAGTTTTGTTAGAGTTTTTAAAAATAAAAGTGCAAAAGGTCAGAAATTAATCTTATCATATATTCTTTTCTTTTTTTAGAGGAAAAAAAAATGACCTCGATTTTGTTAGTCGAATATGTTAATGATAAAAACTAACGACTCTCATTATAATTATTTATTTTGTAATAAATGACCATATGGACATAAACTTATAATATGTACTCCTGAATTTGCAACAATTATTAAGGGAATTATACAGTTGTACATATTCCGTTTAGAGACTTATACGTGACTGGTTACTTGACTAAATTAAAATTTTTTTTTTCATTTTTTTATATAATTATACGAGACACTTTGTAAAGTGGACAGAAAGAATTAACACCTTTTGAAAAAATTAGGAGACCCTCCCCTTAAACTACGCATGTTTGCACTTATATACACTAAAATTGTATTTCTTTGCACGTTACATACCTTTTTGTGCTTGGTTCCACGTACGAATTCAATCAAGCCATTAAATACTTTTTTTTTTAAATCTTCCAAATATTAATCAAATTAGAAAAATTAGTCAATTTTTTTTAGAACACTTCTTTTTTTGAATTTTTTATTGAAGTATTGCCAAAAGTAGAGATGAAGAAGAAGAAGAAGCTTGATCCTTCGTGAAATCAAGAAATTAATGACTTTATCAGTCGATTCAGCTTTAGCGATTCAGGGTCTCCTTGAATCATATTTTTACTTTCATTCGGAGTCACTTTCGGTTTTTTTACGAGACTCACGATTTCGTGATGCTGCACCAGGTGAGTTCTGGCTTTTTCTTGCACGGGTCACACGGCCTAGATTAATAATTTAACTGTTATAGTATTGTTCGAGTTTTCTTAGGATTGTTTGTCTTTTTATGTAATAATAAATACCTCCACCAGATGCGGGTTTGCTTGGAGTTGATTCCGGAGCATCGCCTATCCTCTCGTTTTGTTCCTTGGCCTTCTTGCATTTCTCGGCTGTTGGTCTACCGAGGACGCCATTTTTTTCTAGTAGATCCTTCAAACACTTGATACGATCGCTATTAGTTTTGCAACCTTCCCAAACATTTGGATATTTCACTTTTATTCCAGCCAGGTCGACATATTTCTTTAGTGATTGTATCCTCTTGTCGTTCTCCGGGTCCTGAAAAAGAAAATTTCTTTGAATTAAATTAAATGAATTTTGAATATTTATTTTCAATATTCATAGTGAAAAATGTTAGATATTTTAAGTTTATGTTAGAATTATTTTAAGTTTAGAATTATTTTCTTAACTATAACAGAAATAAGAATTGAAAAAAAATGTACATTGTTTCTCTTTCTTCTCTTCTTCTCCTTTCCGCTATCCTCCTCGCTACTGCTTACATTCTCACTTTCGGATGAATCGCCCTTTGATTCATCGAATTTCTCGCTACGCTTGGAAGCAGTTCGTCTGGATCTGCTTGAAAGAGCGACGTCCTCGTCTTCGTCGGATTTTTCTTTGACGATATTTCGCGTTGGTGGACGACCGCGACCACGTCCACGACCTCGTTTCCCGGGTGTCTTGGCCGGTGTTTTTTTGGCGGGAGTTCGCCTCTTTTTGTTTGGACTGTAGTCCTCGTCGTCATTGGAATCATTGTCGGAACTCTCGTCTGAGCCGGAACCCTTTAGTTTGGTGAAAGATTTTCTTCGACCTTTGCGTTTATTTTTTTTCTCATCGGGCTTTTCCTCATCGTCGTCGTCGTCGTCATCGTCATCGTCCTCATCGTCCTTGGCGTCCTGGGAGTCGCCTTTCTCGGCTTCGTCATCTGAGGCGCTTGCTTCCAATTCAGATTCAGTTGGTTTTGCCTTGACAATTGTTGTTTTTGGTCTTGGTTTCGGATCCTCCTCCTTGTCACTCTCGCCGCTCGATTCTTTGTCGCTGGCATTTTCAACTGTTAATTCAAGACCATCAACCACCTCGGTGTTTTTTCCCAGGGTGCGTTTATTTTTGTCCTCGACTCCCGATTTTCCTGCTTCGTCCAATTTTCCCTTCTCGCCACTCTCTGCTTTGTCTGACTTTACAGCGGAATCCTGTCGAAAGTAAATTAATTAGCAATCGTAAATTTTAATTATTTATTTTTTTTTGAAGTAAATATTTAGTGTAGAATTTACCTTGTCTGCCTCGTCCTTGTCCTTGGGCTTCTCCTTATCCTCGCATGCAGAATCAGGTGCGTCCTGATTTGTTTCCATTTTGTCATCCTTCTCATCATCGGACTTTTCCTCTTGAGACTCTTCTTGTGCTTCCATATCGGCGCTCGATGCATTATCGGGATTCTCAGCATCGTCCGTTGATGATTTCAATTTTGCCTCTCCATTGCCCTGACTATTTTTGTCCTCGTCGACAATCATAGTGTTTCCATTTGCTTCGGGAATCATTGTCTCGTCCTTGGGAGTTGAGGATTGTTCGTCCATTTCACTGCGGGACTTTTTGTTTGGCAATTCAATTTTTTCGTCTTCAATGCAACCTTCACGCGGTCTCTTGCTCGATAATTCTGCAGATTTATCAATTGAATCTTTTTGACGTGTTGTGTTAGTCGAGGTCACATCCTGTCCAGTTTCACTGTGATCGGACTCCACCATGATTTAAAAAGCCACAGATTGTAAAGATGAAATCGTGGCTGAAAAAAATACAAATTTAGTTATTGAAAAATTCCAAAATAAAATTATATTCAATGCAAAAAATATTATATTCGGAAAAAAAATTGAAAAAAAAATATTCCAAACATTTTCACATTATAACTTTCAAATATTTCCCTCCATTTTATATTTATCGAAAATCGAACCTGAAAATAAACCAACTTCACAAGTATAAATCAACAAGAACGACAAAAGTGTTAGATTGAGCAAAAAAAAACCTCATAAATTATCACGAATGCACTATTTTAACATCAATCTATCAATTATTTATCCCAACCTTCGTAACCAAGCGTAAAATCGAATTTTCCGAAAAAAAAATTTTTTTTTCCTCAAGACCTTATTTTGTGGAATAGTATCAAAAAGTACTAAAATTCCTCTAGTTCGTTAAAACTTTCATTAAATATTCATTTTCGGAGCTTGTATTACAAGTTTCGGAATTATGGAAAAGGGAAATATTTCAGGCATTAAGATGCTTATTCCTTAAAGAATTTGTTGTCGCTAGATGACGCCAAAAGCAAGTTGCGCGTGACCCCGAGATTGATATCGTAAATATGTAAAATATTGCTGGATTAAAATTAAAAATATGAGTAGCGATCAAATAATTCACAAAATTAAGAAAAAAAATCCAAAGAAACATTATTTTATGAATAACACAATCGCGGCAAAAATTGTAGCATCATAACCCTTCGCACACACTATGTGGTAGCACAAATATTCAACATGCACATATACATACATATATAGCGACTTGATATTGATAAGCAAAGCTCTAATCGAGATATGTCTTCCATTTATATGTGAAAATTGATCAAATAAACTTGATTATATTTAGATTTTGAGATTATAAAACACGGAGTTATAATCGAAGAACATGAAGCACAGGGTCAAACTTGGCGTAGCTTGTGATTAATTAGTCAATATCGAAAACTATGTTTTTAGTGAGAAAGTAATGCCAAAGATAACTCTCGGGCTGTGTGGCGTGGCCTAATCAATTATTTCTTTATTATCCTACCTGCTAATTTTTCTTGATTGTTTTACTTTAGTCACAATAATTATAATCCTTGTCCGTAAATATTTACGTAATTATCACGATTTTATTGGTTCTCGACGTTTGCGCGGGCTGAATCTCCGGTAACGATGCGGCGGCCGTTGGCCGGTCTTTTCGGAACTTTTCGTATGTTTTCGGCATGCGTTGTTGGCCAAGCTGAAAACGCGTCGTCAACAATCTCGGGGGGCAAAAAAAAAAAAAACTAATGAAAATACTCACATTTAATATTCAATATTCCTTAGAATTGAAAGCACTTGGTGAATTTTCGTTTTATTTTTTAAAAAAATTATAACCACTTACTGAATATGATATTTTTAGGTAAATTACTCCACTCGTGTTTTCACTTGCAAAGACGTCAAATATGAAAGAAAAGTAGAGGTTAGGTTGGCTGCAATTTTCTGATTACGCGACGTTCACTTCAGAGCGGTGACTTTAGAATTGAGGTTGTGTTTGTTGTACATTTATTCGATTTTCTTAGTATTGGTGCGCATTCGTCATCAAGTCTAGTAGAATGTTTAATTGTGTTTAATATAATGTAGTACGTGACTGTCGTTTTTGATGTTGACTGTATAAAATCCAAGGGAACTATGCGGTAAGGCTGCGTCTACAATAGAAAAAAATAATGTGTAATTTGTAGTGTAATGTGTATTGTTTTTGGCATTGACAACTGTCAGGGGCAATTACACTATATATTACACAATTTTCTACACATTATTTTTTCTGTTGTAGACGCAGCCTAATGATTCGCGTTACAAAAGCTTTAATTTTGTCCTCGAATTCATGTGAGTATTTACTTTAAGTGTATTTAGTATACTAACATTTGACATTTTGTAATACGTATATTCGTGCTCGTGTGTATTTTTTAATCTTCACTGTGTATTATCTTTCTACTAATTTTTTGTTCTTTACATTTATTATTTTTTAAATATATTTACATTTTCTATTTTTTACATTCTCTACTTCTGCATTATATACAAATTATTTTAAAGTTTATATTAAGTCTTTATATTTATTTATTTTATATTTGTTTATTTATTTAAAATTTAAACATTTATCTGTTTAAAATAGATGAAATAGTGATTATTTTATCGAAATATGAAGAATTAAAAATTTTATTTTCAGCGGCGCTGTTTTTTTCAAATTTGGCATTTGTCCCGAAATGTAATCCAGTGTCTGACGATGAGATAAAACAACTGAAGGAACATCTTGAATCTTGTGGACGATTGTGTGTTTTAACAGGAGCTGGAATATCGACAGAATCTGGAATTCCTGATTATAGATCTGAGGATGTTGGTCTTTTTGCAACAAGTAATAGAAGACCGGTTTCCTATCAAGATTTTTGCAGGAGTGACAAAGTCAGAAGACGATACTGGTCAAGAAATTATGTCGGTTGGCCTAGGTGATTATGGTACAATTATACATTTAATTATTTATTATTTATACTATTATTTCGTCTGGAAAAAATTGCCTTTTTGGTTTTTTTGATCAATTTTATTGTTCCAGTATTTCCACGCAACCTGGAAACCTGGAAATATCAGGAAATTTTATAAACCTTGAAAAAATCAGGAAATTTTGATGAAAATCCTGGAAAATTGTTGTTTTCTAAAGTTTATGCGTTTATTTTTAAAATCTATAATTTTACTTAAATATTTCAAAATTAATTCAATTTTAAAAGAGTTGCGTTTACAATTTTCATAAGTAGATAAATTTCAAAAGGTCTTAATTTGGAATTTTGTAAAATTTTAATTTTGAATGGATTTCTTTAGAAATTTTAAAGAACGTAGATTTTTGAAAAATTTTAATATAATTAAAATTCTTCTGAAATTAATTCATTTTTTTAATATATATTTAATTAATTGTTAAAAATAATGGATTTATAGAAGAATTTTAGTTAAAAATACTGAAAAAAATTAATTTTCTCGTCAAAATTTGAGTTATCTTTATAAGTAGGTAATAAAACTCATCTACAAAATTCAATTATTTTCCAAAATTTTAATAAAATTCTTGGCAAAATTTCAATTATTTTCTAAAATTTTAATAAGATACTTGGCAAAATTTCAATTATTTTCAAAAACTTTCATCATTTTAATGCTTTTCAATTTCTATTTTAAAAAAATTTTCCAAAAGAATTCAATTATTTCAAAAAAATTATTTACCAATTTTTTAGAAATTTCTTTTCAATAATTCCATTATTTTCATAAATAATAATTTTTTTTTACAGATGGTCAATTATTTTAAAAAAACCTTTACTACAATTTATTTATTAGAATTTAAGTATTATTTTCAAAACATTTTTAATTGAATTTCTTGAAAGAATTAAATTATTTTCAAAAATTTTAATGAAATTCTTTGTCACAATTCAATTTTTTTTCAAAATAATTTAAATAAAATTCTTCGTAGAAATTGAATTAATTTCAAAAATATGTCAAAACTTATTTATTTTCAATGTCTATTATTTCAATAAAATCTCACAAAAGGATTCAATTATTTAAAAAGAAAGTTTTAATAAAATTCGCCTCAAGATCAATTATTTTCAAAAGTATCATTTTTAGCAGAAATTCAATTATGTTAAAAAATTTACAAAAATTCTCGTTAAAGTTTTAATTAACTTTATAAATAATAAAAAATTTTCCAAAATTCAATTATTTTCAAAAATTTTAATAAAATTTCCCAAAAGAATTCAATTATTTAACAAAAATTTTAATAAAATTCTTTGCAAATATTTAATTAATTCATAAATAACAAAAATTTTCAGAGGCATTAAATTATTTCAAAACTTTTATAAAATTCTTTGGAGAAATTCAATTATTTTTAATACAATTTTAATTAAATTTCTCGAAAAATGAGATTATTTTGAAACATTTTATTAAATTTGGAAAGATACTTTTAATAAAAAATTCTGTAGAATTAATTTTTTTGAAAAAGTTTGATTGAATTTTTTTTTTTAATTATTTTAAGTTTTTATTTTCTAATATAATATTTAATTGAAGAATTTCCAAGTAATCGAAATTTCGTAAAATTAAATTGTAAACAAATGGATTTGAAAATTCTCAAGAAACTTTATTTATAATATAAAATAATGTTTTTAGCAAGTTTTAATTATTATACATAAAACATGAAGAAAGCGATCGATATCGACATGTTTTATAATAACATTCTTATAATATAAATGTAGTTTTAAAAATCTGAAAAAATTCCGTTTTTTAACCTGGAAAATCTGGAAAAGTCTGGGAATTTAAAAAGAGCAAAAGCGTGGCAACCCTGAAATTGTTCTAAATTTTTTTAATTTTAGAATTCTTAGTTTTAATTTTCTCTTTCAGGTTTTCAAAATTCGTTCCTAACGTTACGCACAAACTTTTGAGACACTTGGAGGACAACGGACGTGTTAATTGTGTCATTACTCAGAATGTTGATAACTTGCATAGAAAAGCTGGGAGTCAAAATGTCATCGAACTTCATGGCACTGCTTTTAAAGTTATGTGTCTAGGTTGTGATCAAGTGATCAGTAGATATTATTTTCAAGAGTTACTTGACAAACTTAATCCTAATTTTACGTCAAATGACACGACAATTCGACCCGATGGTGATGTGGATTTATCTCAGGTAAAGATTCTTTTGCTGCTATTTTTAAAAATTTTGTTTACTTTATTTTTCTTTTTCAGGAACAAGTAGACGAATTCATTGTTCCGCCATGCGCCAATTGTCAAGGAATTCTAAAACCTGAAATCGTCTTTTTCGGGGATAATGTCACGAGACAAGTGGTGAATCAGGTGAAAAATGAAGTGGAATCTGCCGATTCTCTTTTAGTTCTCGGGACATCACTCACTACTTTTTCGGGTTATAGAATTGTTTTGCAAGCCGTAGAAGCAAAAAAGTCGATTGCAATCGTCAGCATTGGCGAAACGAGAGCCGATAATCACGCTAATGTTAAAATTCAAGGAAGATGCGGAGAGGTTCTTTCGAAAATTTACGAAAATCAACGGGAGAATGTAAGTTAATGATGATAATAATTAGTTTTCTATTTATAGCTAAACAAAAATTTTAAATTAACTACTTGTTTTAGAGTAGTTTATTAATTAATTAATAATACAATTTTAGTACTAATTATGTTACTAGATAAAATATCTATTATACTAATAAAATTCTATTCTTGTTGAAATTTATATACAGAGTTGTGTAAAACTACGAAATAAATTTAAAAACGAAATTTCCACTTCTCAATTAACATAATTTATTAAAATTATATTTTTCCATATAACTCTTTGTGCATTTTTACACTATATTCTATTTTCTTATTAAGGAATCGTTGAGCATATTTTTCATGGACGTTGACAAAAATAATATTAATCTATATTTTTCTCTCGGACTTGATGCAAAAAGATTACACAGATCATTTTTTTCATGTCAACTACTTTATCCTATATCACATGTGCAGAAATTGGTCTTTTAAGCTTTATAAATATAATAATAAGCTTGATAAATATATTAAGCTTTATAAACATTATATACATGCATTGTGCATTTTTCGTATTTTAATCGGAAGCATTGAGAGTTAAAAAGTTACAAAAATAAATTAACTATAAAAGAAAATATTTCTATTATTTGCGAAGAAAAATTGTACGCGTTATTTTTATATTTAAAACTCTAAGCTCTTGGGGAGGGATTTTTTAAATAGTAATTTTCTTAAAGGCCATACAGCATTATTGCGAAAAATTCTTAATAATTCTACTGTAAGATTTCTTTGGACTTATTCACATAAATTGCTGATAGAAAAAATACGCTATTTTTTTTTCTTTTACACGTAGATTTTTGTTTTGCTATTCTAATTTTTTTTACTTGATTTAATTAGTTCATATTGAGCGGCATCAATGGCACGTATTTATCACTGGGACGAAAATGGTATTGTGCGCACAAGCGATCTGATTCCGATTCTCGGTATCCATTTCTGAAAATTGAAAAATCAAGGATTGGAATATTTTTCAGCTCCACTTGATCCACTTTCCGAAAAATGTTTCACTTATTGTCGTATTTTATCGCAAAAGACGTTAATTCGTACGGACATCTGACAGTTAATGTTAAATGAAAATTGGATCAATTGGGGCTAAAGGATTAAAATTGCAGGGCTCGAACCAGTGAAAGTATTTAGAAATACGGACTTTACGGACCAAAAATGAAAAATTACGGACCATTTACGGACCAATTGCTGACAAAAATATAACCAGTCCGAGTCAAATAAGAGAACATTTTACTTAAAACCATAAATTAAATTTTTCATAACTATAAAACATGAAGAAATCGATAACTCCGAGTCTTCGACTCGAAGTGATCGATTTCTTCATGTTTTATAATAATTATTAATTAAAAATGACTGAGTGATAAAATCATCAATTCAATTATTATTTTCAAGAATTTTTAACTAAACTTCTTCTTTAAATCGATTATTTATAATAATTTTCGAAAAAGTTCTTTGACAAATTTTCAAATCCATTTGTTTACAATATTCAATTTTACGAAATTTCAATTCTTTGTAAATTCTTCAATTATAGTTAGAATGTAAACACTTTTAAAATAATACAAAAAATACGCAATTAAACTTTTTCAAAAAAAATAATTTCAAAATTAAATTATTTTTAAAAATTCACACTATATTGCTTTTAATATTTAATTATTATCTAAAATTTTAACTGAAATTCAATTATAAATCAGTTCTTATTAAAAAGTTCTCCAAGAATTCAATTATTAAAATACAAAAGTAGTAGATATTGAAAATCATTGAATTAAGGAAAGTTTTTAAAAATAATTGAAATTTTTCCAATAATTTTATTAAAATTTTTGAAAATAATTGAATTTCTGCAATCATTTGTAATTGCTCCAATATTCAATATTTTTTTAAAGTGTTTTTAACTAAAATTCTTTTATAAATCTAATAATAATAATTTAATAATTAAATTATTAAATAATAATTTAATTTTTAATAATTTTTGAAAAAGTTTCTTGAGAATTTTCAAATCCATTTGTTTATAATTTAATTTTACGAAATTTCGATTATTTGGAAATTCTTCAATTAAATATATATTAGAAAATAAAAACTTAAAATAATATGAAAAAAAATCCGCAATTAAAGTATCTCAAAAAAAAAAATTAATTCCACAGAATTGTTAGTTAAAAATATGAAAATTTCAAATTTTCAAAGACTTTAATCTGAAGCTTTTTCAAAATTCAATTATTTCTAAAAATTTATGCTCTAATGCTTTTAAAATTCAATTATAATCTAAAATTTTAACTGAAATCCATTTTTAAATCAATGTTTATGAGAAAATCCTACTAGAATTCAATTATTTAAATACAAAAATAAATAATTAAATGTGTCTTAAAATTCAATTTCCATAAAGAATGTAATCAACAAATTTTTAATTAACTGAATTCTTTTGACGAATTTTAATATAAATTTTAAGAATTTTTTAGAGAAAATTATAAATTTATGAAAACAATTAAATGTTTGCGTAGAATATTATTAAATTTTTTTTTAAATAATTGAATTCTTTTGGGAAATTTTATTAAAATAGTAAAATATTGAAAATCATTGAATTAGGAAAAATTTTAGAAAACAATTAATATTTTTGAAAATAATTAAATTAAATTAAAATTCCTGAAAATAATTGAATTTTGTCGAAGAATTTTGCTATTCATTTATAAAGATAATTCAAATCTTTACAATAATTTTTAAAAAAGTTTTGAAGATTATTGAATTCTGATGATAAATATTGTTATTTGTGAAAATAATTGAATTTTGCAAAGAATTTTATTCAAATTCCTGTAAATAATTATTGAATTTCGACGAAGAATTTTACTGCTTATAAACATAATTGAAATCTTGACGATAATTTAAAAAAAAGTGGTATTAAAAATAATTGAAATTCTGCAATGATCATTTATGAAAATAATTTAATCTCGGTAAAAAAAAACTTTATTATTTATGAAAATAATTGAATCTCTGTAAAAAAAAATTTATTATTTATGAAAATAATGGAATTATTTAGAAAAAATTTCTAAAAAAAATTGATAAATAATTTTTTTGTAATAATTGAATTCTTTTGGAAAATTTTATGAAAATAGTAGATATTAAAAATCATTGAATTGAGGAATATTTTTGAAAATAATTGAATTTCGGAGAAGAATTTAATTATTTCTAAAGATAATTGAAATTTTGATGAGAATTTTTAAAAAATTTTCGGATTTACGGACCTAGTTCGAGCCCTGAAATTGAGAAATATTTTTCTGCAAATAGACGAAAGTGAATGTGAATGTAGATGAAATTGAAATTGAAAATGAAAATGAAAAGGAAGTGATGAAAGTGAATTGTGTTTAATAGTATAGAAAAGAATTACTTTTGCCATTCAGAGCAAGGTCGTCGTTCCTTGAAGCAAATAACTTGAATGACATTGAAGAAAAGAGCTCCCAAAGTGTTGGCAACTTCGGTGTTTAAAGTTTGCAAACATCTTCGAAATTTCGCGTCGCAATCGCAATGCGATCGGATCAATGGAGATTTGTTGCAGAGACCTTCGATGCAATCCCCAGGTCCAATGGTCATTGGACATTGATCGTGTTCCCTGCAGCAAGCATCCTCCGCTGTATGTTGTCCGAGATCGTCGTAGGAAGCTGCTATATCACCAGGACCACACCATTTAGTGCCAGGGTAAATTAAACCGTGTCTTTGATTCTAGAAACGGAAAATAATTACCATTCACAGGCGTTTGGATAATTTCTGACAATTATTATTCGTGGTTATAATTTTTTTTTAGTTATTATATTGCCAAATTATTTAACACTATTTATTTTTTATTCACTTTTAGTATTTATTTAAATTTACTTTGAATTATTATTTACTTTGCAGGAAAAGGAGGATTAATTAACTTTAAAGAATGAGGATTAGTTGAGATAATACCGTGGAACTGTGAATGAATGAATCTTTGCAGGTTTCTTCGAGATCGGAAACAAGTTTATTGGACATTTGTCGAACTTTTTTGGGATCCGTTCCTAAGACCATTTTCTGAATAACACCTCTATCGGTGTAGAGTGTGCAAAAAGGTGCCACTGCATTTAATTCCACCATCCTCGACATTGTTTTATCAGCGACAAGGACACTTGCTCTCGTCCCGCCAAATAAAATTGTCATAAAACCAAACATTATTAGAATCATCTGCAATAAACAGATCCGTTAATTAACTTCCAATGGCACAGACGATTAATTAATGCAATAGAAATTTGATCTTGATTCGCGATTATCAAATTTAAATTTAAATTTTATTTATTTATTTTTTTTTACATCATCAAAATTGATTATTTGAATCAGTTTGAATATTTATTATTTTAATTTATTATCTTAATATTTATTACTTTAATTTATAAACTTAATATTTATTACTTTAATTTATTATCTTAATATTTATCACTTTAATATCTATTATTTTAATATTTATTATTTAAATATTTATTCATTATTGAAATATTAACTATTTAAATATTAGAAAAAGTTTGATAATTTTCTTTTTAATTCAAAAACTTTGAGTTAAACATTTTTTTTTACGATAAAATTTTTTTTTCACTTTTTACGCAATTTTACGCAAAAAAATGCTTCTTGAAAGGCGAAATATTGCGAGGTATGACGAAAAGCACTACGCCGAATTGTAATAGGATATAGCAAAACATTATACGTCAGTCTGTTTGAAACGAGCAGCGTTTAGTAAATCAAGAGCGAATGATCACCCAGATTACCCTGCGGGTGCCCTGGTTACTTGTAACGAGTTGGTTGATGGGTACAACGATTAAGTAAATCGTAAGGGTACTCGGAAATTTAATTGTATTTTCGTTCACTCTTGTCCTTCATTCTGGACATTTCGAATTTTTTCTACTTTTAATAAATCTCGATTTAAGAGAGAAAAAGAATTTTATATTGAAAATTAAATTCTAATTTGTCGAGAAATTATTTGTCAATTAATAGTATAATGAATTATTATTAAAAATTATAAATAAAATATAAAAAAGAAAAAATACAATTTTATAAAAAAAAGAAAATATACAATTTTATCAAAAAAAAAAAAATACTTTTAGTTTTCTAAAAAAATTCTACCAAAATTAAAACAAAACGAAGAAATATCTTTAAAGTTAAACTAATAAATGTTTTAAACAAATTTATTTATTAATAACGTAATAAACAAAAAATAAAATAAACTTGTCTATAATAATAAAAAATAATAAAAAAAAATACATTTAGTTTCTAAAGAAAATTCCAAAAATTAAAAACAACGAGAATTATATTCAAAATTAAACTTTAATAACTGTTTAAAAATAAGGGACAAGAGTTAATTAATAACAAGATAAAATAAGCAAAAAGTACCATTTTTTCTAATGATAATAAATAAACAATGAACAAAATACATTTAGTTTCTAAAACAATTTCCAAAAATGAAAATAACTAAGAAGAAAAAATTGATAAATTAAATTAATTTGTTTCCATTACAAAAAATACAAAATACAAAAAATACATTTAGTTTCTAAAACAATTTCCAAAATTGAAAATAACTGAAGAAAAAATTGTTAAATTAATTTGTTTCCATTACAAAAAATTCGTTATGGTATAATATTTTGTTAACAAATAATTTATTTTTTACAGAAGAACACAAATTAATTTTTCTAAATTAAAGAAAATTGAAAAAAGTGAAAGAAAAAAAATTTGAATTAAATTTGTTCTTCAATTACGAATATTACACATGCTTACCATTTTAGAAGAGATAAAATTTTTTTTATGAATTTTTCTTGACTTTTTGACCGATTTGCAAAAAAAAAAAAAAAATCCACACTATTGCACAATTTATTAGAAGTCAATTGAGGAAAAACGAATGCGCGGGACAAATCAAAGTGTAGCTAAATTGGCGCAGATTTATACAGCAACTGTGTTCGAAAAAGCTGCAGTGCGCAGCTTTTTCCACCCCTGACCTATTAATATGTTAATTTTAAGTTTAACATTGCCCACCACATTAATTTTGGTAATTAATTTTACTTTCGTTAATAAATATTAAACCAAAAACATTTCAAAAATAAAATAGACTCGAAGAAATTTTCTTTATTACAGTCGAATAAGATTGTGATGGAAAAATTTTCTTTTCATGAAAATATATTTTCTATATGAATTATTTTCTTTTACGTACTTTTAAATGTGTAGCGACGGCGATTATTTTCAATTCTCTCATAATTATTTAATTTATTCGGACAATAATAGAAATTAGTAAAATATTTTCGAGAACTATTAATGTTATCACTTCGACGTGCACAAACTTACTGATCGTTTAAGTGGGTTCTACAGGGATAATATATATATTGTAGATTTGTTCCAATATGTATGCATTAAGGAAAAACGAAGAAGGAATCAGGGAAGTTATTGTCGACGATTTTTTTTAAGTTTGGTGTTTAATTTTATGATCATTGGTTAATTTTATTTAAATTTGAATAAATTGAAATATTCACTTTTAGACAAATAAATTTTGGGTTAATTAAAATATTCACTTTTGGGAAATTAATTTTTGGGGAAGTTGAAATATTCACTTTCGGGAAATTAATTTTTGGGGAAATTGAAATATTCACGTTTAGGAAATTAATTTTCCAGTAAATTAAAATATCTACTGTCTAGGTAATTAATTTTTGGGTAAATTGAAATATTCACTTTCGAGAAATAAATTTTCGGGAAAATCAAAATTATTCTATTTCAGGAAAATAATTTTGGTGTAAATTCAAATATTCACATTCAGGAAATTAATTTTCGGAATAAATTAAAATATTCACTTTGAGAGTAAATTAAAATATTTTCTGTTGGGTAATTAATTTTTCTATAAAAACGGATTATTTAGTAATTCGTAATATTGAATCTTAATGCCGTTGATGATAATAATTATCGATTTAAATATATAAATAAACATTTAGGTGAAGAAGGCATTTTTCTTGAAAAGTGACAGAGACGATGAATAATCAACAAAATCGGAATCTTAAAAAGATTAATGTATTAAGAAAATATTTGTAAAAGTACACAGAATAATTTGTTAAATATTTACGTCTACGTTTAGCATATCACAATTTTAATTTTTAACATACAGACGAAAAAAAATTGTCTGTAATTTTAAATATTGTTTCTTAAAATACATAATCTCGACACTGTTCTCAGTTTTTACTTAATCTACAGTATATCTAAAATTTTTTTCCATTTTTCTCCATATAAAGAATTACGCTCTTAATTATTAAATCTCTTGGATTAAATTAATCGGATTTGATTACATTTAATAATTTAATAATTTAATAATTATTAAATTATTAAATGCTATTTTGTGTTAAATTTAAGGAAACCATTCGACTTCATTGTTTTCTATTCGACCATTAACGTCCTTAATGATATTTTCACCGGGTTTCGGAACGGACAATGTGGGTGTTGGTTCTGGTTTCCCCTCAGTGCCTGTGATTTTGTGATAGACCTTACTTCCAGCTTTACTGACCCATTCAACGCCATCGCCGAGTTTTTGACCAGCTTTACGTACGACATTACCAAAATTTTCAGCCGTAAATGTATTTGGATTGATATTTATGTCCAGGGAATTGTTTCCCGTTGGACAATTGGTTTGTGTGACAATACTCAAATCAAATGGATCGACATTGAAATTACTTAAAGATTGTCGTACTTTGTCAATAACAGATTTATCCAAATCCCGATATCTTGAGAGAATTGTCGCGCTTTTTCGGTGAAAGAATCCTAATTTTTGACATGTGAAGACACCGGCGTAGTTGGTGTAGTCCGTGTCGAAAACCACGTGCGACGCACTTCCGGCAACATCTAAAATTGAAGATTATGGACTTAGGAAAATTGAAATTCAATTATTTTTTACTTAAAATTGAATTTTTGATTTAAAAAAATATGATATTGAAATATTAAAAAAAATTGTTAAATGAATTAAAAAAATTATAGAGAAATATTGTGAATTTTATTCGGTTCATATTGCGGCGTAAAATTGTAGTGTGTAATCGATATTATGTTAATGAATATCTGGAATGCTTACTTAGTGGAAAACGAACCAACATACGACCTGGGGTGCTTGGTTCTGGGACTGATAATTCGCCAGTATAGTGATATTCATGTTTCAATGACGTTAATCCTGCACATTCACATAAATACAATTAAGGATAATTCATTCCACTTTGCCAACCATTTATCTCGTTAGTAACTTTGACAAGCTTTAAGGGTCTTTATTTTTTTTCTTTTCATCCATTAAATTCTTTTTTTCAATTCGCCCATTCACTCGAAAGTTTTTGCGTAAAAATTATTTATTACTACTCACTGTTTTATTGTCTTAATATTTTTATTTATTTATAATCAGTAATTTATAATTTTAGTAATCTGTATTAATCTATATTCAAAATTGTATTTCGGTAATCTGTTCGCAGTTTGAAGTTAGTTTTTGTTTGCTTCTTTGTCTCTAAACTATTATAATAATTTTTCTTCTTAAATGTTATCAATTTTTAAATTAATGTACTGAAAATCATTGAATTCTAATTCTTGCAAAGTAGTTATCAAAAAATTTGTAAATACTTGAATTCTTTCGAGAAATTTCATTAAAATTGCATTGGAAATAATTGAATTCCCGCAAAGAATATTATTTGTGAAAAGAATCGAATTCTTCCAAAGAATTTTATGAAAATTGTAGGTACTGAAAATAATTTGTTTTAAAGAATTTATTTGAAAATACCGGAGTTTTTTAAAAATTTTTAATAAAAATTTCTGAAAGTAATTGAATTTTTTATGAAGAATTTCTTTTAAGTTTTATAAAATAATCATGTATTATTATTAATTGTAATAAATAATTTTATTATTAAATTTTATTAAAATTATTGATATAAAATTAAATTCCTTTAAATAATTTTATTAGTTTTCATAAATAAATTTTTTTTTAAAGAATTTTTTTAAATTTCATGAAAATCCTAATGTAGTTTTATATTATGAATTTTAATTAAAATTTTTTTAAATAATTGAAATTTACAACGAATTTTTTCAACAAATTTTGAGAATAATTGAGTTTTTAAAAAAAAATTATTACAATTTATAAAAATAATTGAATTCTCGCGAAGAATTTTACAATTTATAAAAATAATTGAATTCTTGCGAAGAATTTTACAATTTATAAAAGTAATTGAATTCTTGTGAAGAATTTTATCAAAAATTTTGAAAATAATTGAATTTAATCGAATAATTTTATTAAAACGTATAAAAATAATTTATTTTTCTTAAGAATTTTATAAAAACTGTTAAAAATAATTTAATTTAATTAATATGTTTGAAAAATAATTGTATTGTTTCAAAAAATTTTATTAAAATTATATTGAAAATAATTTTAATGGGTGAATTGAAAAATAAATTTACTTCTGATTTTTTAATGTATATTTTAAATTTTGAATTGAATTTGCATTTTTTTTTCATTAAGTGAAAGATAAAATTCAAAGTCTCTCTCACCTAAAACAGGAACATCGGAATCTTGAGTGATTACATATTCTCCAGGTTCTTCGCCACGAGTGTAATTATAAGAAATACATTTACTGGCTGTTGATGTTTTTTGAATTACATACCAAACACCAAGGAACTGAAAAATAAACACAGTAAATTATTTATTGTTGTCTTATAATTATTTTTGGGATTTTTATTTTGAAAAAAAAATTAAATTTAGAATAAATAAAATATGAATAAAAAATTTATATTTTGAAAATAAAAAATTCTTTACCTTGCTCATTTGAAATCCTGTAGCTGGTTCGACATTCGGACAATTTCCTAAATTGTACGAATGAGCATCGATTTGCACCCATGATGCGAATATTACGCAGAACACCAGAATTATTCTGTTTAAAAAATAATCTTTATTAATAATTAATATTGTATTAAAATTGTACAAATAATTTTACAAATTTATAACAAAATTGTATAAAATAAAAATTCAAATTGTCAATTTGTAAAATTGAATAAAATAATTTGTCTTTTGTCCAGAAGAGAAAATACAAATTGACATGGGAAATTGAAAAATAAGAGGAAATAGATTTTATTTCTTCAAATAAAAAAAGTACGATTTTTAATTAGATTGACAAAGTATCTTTATTGAGTCATCCTAACACAATAAACTCATGAGTGTGGGAATTTTAGAATAACGAATTAAGTTCAAAAATGACGAATTTCAACTGAAAAAAACAAAGAAAGGACTTTTTTTAACTGAAACTAAAAAATTATCTCCAATTTATTATTGTATTATTTTTACAGAAATTTTCATTTTTAATTGAACACATTAATTGATCTAGATGACCCCTCTATTTAAAAAAGAACCGTGTTGACATCAAAACAGCTTTGATAATCATTATAACCGATGGCGTGAAGGCCAAAATCTTTTATTACCATCAAGAATTAAAATAACACTCATCAAATAAAAAAAACGATTTTTTACTTTTTTTATTTCTACTCTTTTAATACAATTTGAATTAAAAATATTCCATAAGAAGAATAAATGTAACAAGAAAATTGAAAAATGGTAAAAAAATACTTATTAGTTTCATATTTTCGAAAATGTTAAATAAAAAAATTAATTTTGAAACAAAAAAGTAAAAAGTATTTACTGTTTAAAGAAATATTTTACTTTAAATATTTTACTTGATGGAAAAATTGTTTAAATTTTTATTGTTTGGATAGAAAATGCTTGAAAGAAAGCTTAATAATTGAGTAGAAAAAAGAAATGACACGGAATGAGTCATTAAGAAGTAATTAATAAAACATTATCTTTAAAATATTAAAACTGAATTGGCATGAGTCATTTTTTCTTCTTGGAAAATTAGTTTTCAGTTAAGAAATAATTAGTAGACGGTCGTAAAAACACAGTTGAGAAATTTAATTTTTATTGTATACTCACTTTGAAGCCATTGCTCCTTTCCAGAGTTCTCCGGTCTTGTTACTGAACTTGTAAACAGAACTTTCAACGGAGAAGGTATATTTATACAACTCCCCCACTAAGACCATATAATTACAGTTTTCGCGCAGCCACTCTTAAACACACGTGTTTTTTTTTTCAAAAAACGAAAAACAGTTTCGTTCACGCTAAACATGTTTTCTCAAATTTTATGTAAGAATAAAACAGAATGCTAAAAAAAAACAATATTAGGGAATTCTATTTTTCCAGGATAATCCATTTCTTCTGAATATAATCAGAATCTAAAATATTCTGAAAGGAAACATTTTTTAAAAAATAGATTTTACCATTTAAAAATAGATTTAGACAATTAGTAAAAAAAATAATAAAAATTTATGCAAACTTTGAAAAATTTGCATTTTAAAAAATGTAAAATTTAATTTTTATTTTACTGTATTGCAGGGATGCAATAGTTTATTGAACTTGAGATAAATCAAAAAGAAAATTTATTTTGAAGTCAAATGTGTCATATATGTTTAATAACTTTGATGACGCATCGAGTTCAGTTAACATCATTAGATTCTACGAATATCATTTGCTTCAATTCCTCTATCTCGTTTGTTCAATAATAAAACCTTCAAGTGCAATCATGATTCAGTTGTAATAAAATAAGAAATTCGCAAATTTTGTTATTGACAATCAAAAATTTGTTTTTATAAAATCCGAAATAGAATTCGAAAAGTGGAAAATCCGAAAAAGAAAACTGAGAAGAATTTACAATCACTGTATTATAGAATGAATTTTATATATTTTATGTATAAAAGTACAAATACTAAGAATTAACTTATAAAAATGTACCTTTTTCTTAAACAATATTTACATTGTAATTCATTTAAAAATTGTCCCATTACATAAACGAAGACTATACTCGATAAATTTTAAGTTTCATTATATGCAGCATTTTTTAAAGCTAGCACTTCTATTGTAAATTTCACCTTCGGTGAAAATCAATTTAATTAAGTTAGTAATTCAAAAAACATGTTTTTTTTTGTTTTTTTGAGCAGTGCCAGCCAATACATAAAACAAGTTTTTTTTTTTAAACTTATCCTCATCTTCAAAATAGAAATAAATTTAAATTACTTTCCTTACTTTTTTGTATATATAAAAAAATGAAAAAATGTATTTATGAAACTTGTGTCTCCCTTATTACTATTTTAAATACCTAAGAATATCACTTAAAATAATTAAAAATAATTATTTCCCGCATTGATTTATGTTTATAACAATGTCTATACTCGATAAATTATGTAAAAGTCTACTAAAAAAAAAGAAAATTTTGGAAAGAAGAATATAAATACATTTTTATAAGTAATTGGAATAACCTAACTTCTTAAACGAACGGTATTTTGGCTTCTTTGAATTCGCACTCAATGTCCTCGAAAAATGAATGCTGAAGTACAGCTCGTGCCGATATTCTGTGCGCTGGATCGTAGGTCAACATCTCTTGCAATAAATCAATTCCATCGACGTCCAAAACTTTAACGTGTTCCTCCAAATTATTTGTCTTCCAATTTGGAAATGTGGCCTTGTAATCCGAATATTGTGATACGCCTGGCCAAATTTCTTCAGTCGGCGTTTTCAAAACACTGTAATAAGAAAAAAAATGAAAGTGAAAATTATTTTGCAATATTTAAAAAGAGAAAAAAAATCATGAAAACTTTTGATTTCTTACCGAAATATTCTGAATAATTGATCGATTTCGCTGTCACCCTGAAACAGAGGTTTCTTTGTTGCCATTTCCGCAAAAATACAACCGATACTCCATATATCGATGGCACACGAATATCTTGTGGCACCGAGAAGAATTTCTGGTGCCCGATACCAAAGTGTGACCACTTCGTGAGTATAAACTCTCACGGGTATTCCAAATGCTCTTCCCAAACCGAAATCAGCAATTTTTATCACACCCGATTTGTCAACGAGTAAATTTTGTGGTTTTAAATCTCGATGCAATACTCTGCGTTGATGACAAAAAAGAATGGCTTTTGTGATCTGAAAATGTTATATTTTTTTTAAGTATTTCAATATTATAAATAAAATTAAGAAAGTAAATTTAAATTAAATAAATTAAAAATAAAGAAATAAATAAAAATTAATTAATAATAATAATATTGATTCTATCACTCGGTTTTCAAATTAATTAAATGTTGAAGTTAACGAATTAAAAATTAATTAAGTAAATTAAAAGTAAATACATAAAAATAAATAAATTAAATAAACATTACAAATAAATATTTAAAGTATATTTCGTGTATGTATTTTCATTAATTTTTTTTTAATTTTTAAAATATGGAAAATACAATTTTTAATTAATAGGCCTCGGATCGACTTTAAGGTGCAAAAAAAAGTCGCTTTAGTCGATTTAAAATATAAAAAAGTCTAAAAAAGTCGTTTATTTAATTCAGTGTCGTCACAAAAATTTTATTTTGTATTTTCTGATCTTTCACTGATTTCTAAATTCTTGTTTGTTTTTATATGGGAATAAAATTTTCAAAAACTCTATTTAAAACCTTCTGAAATTTAATAACTTCTAATAATTACAACTTTATTCTCTTAAAATTCAATTATTTTCTACAATTTTTAATCAAACTTCTTCTCAAAATCAATTATTTTTAATAATTTTCCAAAAGTTCTTAGAGAATTCAATTATTTAAATACAAAAATTTATTTTTTTATAATGATTGTAACTGTCTACGTTTTTTAATTTATTAATTAATTTTCAAAAAATTATAATAAAGAAATTCTTAAAATTAATTTTTCAAAAATATTTTTACAATGGTTTATAAATATAATAGTTTTTAAATATTATATATGTTAGGCTCAAAAGCCGAAAACGGCCAATGGCCGGAAAAAACAGCCAAACCTAGTTTTGGCAAGTGCAATTTTGCCAAAACTAGGTTTGGACGTTTCACTTCGGCCATTGGCCGTTTTAAATTGACAAAAATAGTTTTGGCAAATCGACATTTGCCAAAACTAGGTTTGGACGTTTCATTTCGGCCATTGGCTGTTTTAAATTGACAAAACTAGTTTTGGCAATTTGACTTTTGCCAAAACTAGTTTTGTCAATTTGACATTTGACAAAACTAGGTGAGGCATTTCAAATTGTGAGAAAGACCGCTTCGTTATACAATAGGAATATATTAATTAAAAAATGTGTCATTGATTAATACTATTTACAATAAGATGAAATTTCTCTAACAAAAATCCATTGATATTTTGCACATAAAAGTTAATTAAAAAAACTTTTTTAACACTTATTTATTTTTACACAGACTAATTTATCTTTACACAGGCTAATTTACCTTGTTGACGATTTCTTATTTCATACACACAATTATTCAATACAGAAACAATATGTGACCTGGTCTATGAAAAGGGACCTTACGTGCGAAAACAAGTTTTCGAGAAAACAGCAGTTAAAGTTTAACTTAGAAAAACGCTTGTAACTTTTTTTAATATTAATATTTTTTTATCAAGTTAGGCTTATTTTCTTTACCGTGGATTACAGTATCAAAATAAAAAACATACAAGTAATGACAAACATTTTTTAATAATTGTTTATATAAATTAATAACAAACTCCCCAAACATAGAAAAAATAATCTAAGTTTTCAAAATAGCAACAATAAGTACATGCTAATTCTAAAGTTAAGTTAAGTTAAGTTAAATTTGATTGGCACTATACTGGCTTTATGCCTGTATATCCGGCCATGACCTGGTGAGTGGATGAGGCTTAACATCTGTGAACAGAAGTAAAAGGTGTCGCCGTCCGGGCGCGCGGAGGTGCAACCGGAGATCCAAGATGGGTCCCCGGTTGAACCACCGCGCACCCGTAATGAGACACGGTGGAGGAGAGAGCGAAATTTAAAAAGAGAATAAATGAAAGATAATTAAATAAGTAATAATAGTAATTAAATTAATTTAGATTTTTATTTTAGCGCGTTTTAAGAATCTAAAAATGTGAGAAACAACCCTGGGGGTGGGATTGGTAAGAAATTGAACGCAACTAAAAGGAGGGGGACATTTTAAAGCTCTCGAAAGAGATTTTATTAAGTCCACCCGAAGAGCATTGAATCTGGGACAGGCCCACAATATATGGTCTAGATCTTCTTCTATATTAGGACAGTGTGGGCAATCGCCCGACTGGATGTAATTCTTTCTAGCAAGACTCGCGTTCAGGTTGTAGTGATTAGCTCTCGCGCGGCATATTGAAACGATCCATAGTCTGCGAGCTGTAAAGTTCGCAAACCATGGTTTTTTACGCGGTTTGTAATAAAGTTGGGTATAATGAATACCCTTGTTTTTACCTACATCTTTAAAGAAAGAGTTACAACTGTCGAATAATTGTTTTTTGGCGAGGCAAAAGAAGTCAGAAAAAGGGAGAGTTATGTTAACTAAATCTGGGTTGGCAGTTGCGTCCTTGGCCGCAATGTCCGCTTTTTCATTTCCTTCAATACCTGAATGACCTGGAACCCAAACAAGAGTTGTTGGACGATTCAGGTTGTTGAGTATTCTTAATCTATTTCTAATTGCAAATATTATGTAAGATTTTATTTTGTATGTATTTTTTGAAGCTAAATTGTTGAGGACACTAAGAGAGTCTGAAAAAATAACTGTGTTAGAGAGATGAGAATTGATTATATAATCTAGGCAAAATAAAATTGCAAATGCTTCTAATGAAAAAATTGACGAGTGATCTGAAATTTTAAATTTGGAAGTTAAATTTAGAGAAGGGCAGACAAAGGCGCAACCTGCCAAGTGGTCCATATCAGATTTGGAGCCATCAGTGAAGAAAAGTGTGTGATTGGGGAAATTAAAGTTAATTAAGTCCTTAAATACGATGGATGGATTACATGAATTTTGTAATGAGTGACCCCAGTTAAGGACAATCTGGGGAGTAAATGAGTGGTCCTCAAAGAGGAACTCAAAGTAAGGGTCAAGGTCCTTACTTCTAATTAATTGGCTGTAAATTTTTGATTTCTCATATGCGATTAAAAGGGGGTAGTTAAATTTTACATTTGAATCATTGGTAACGCGAGAAAGCTCTGGAAGTTTATTATTTAATGGATGAGTTGAATTTGAAAAGACTCTGTACAGATATTTTTTAGCAAGGAAGTTAAATCTTGATCTTAAAGGGGGTTCACAACATTCAGCTAACATTACATTAATAGGAGTGCTCTGTCTATAGCCTACGGCTAGTCTCAGAGCTTGATTACGTACTTTTTCTAAACGGGAGAAATTTTTATGAGATTTAAAATTGGAAGCTTGTGAACCATAATCGATAGGACTTCTAAGTAATGAATCATAAATACGGAGGAGCAGATGTGGGTCCGCTCCCCACCAAGTGCCTCTAAGAACTTTTAATACATTTAGAATCTTTCTTCCTTTGTCACATAGATAGTTAAAGTGAGTATCGGAAGAACCTGATTCATGAAAATATACACCAAGATATTTAACTGTGGGAGATGGTTTAATAACTATTTCGTTTAAGGTTAGAAAAAGATTAGGGTCTTCTGAATTAATCTTTTTGTTACTAAAGATGATATATTTAGTTTTAGCTGGGCAAACTTCCAGACCCTTATCGGCCAAAAATTCAGAAATTATGTTAAGACAATTTTGAAGAGAAGTAACAATTTGATTGAGGTCAGGGGAGCGACAAGTGACGGATAAGTCATCCGCGAATTCGTACAGTTCACAGTCTGCAGGAATGATGGTGTTGAGGTTTCTGGTGTAAATTGAATAATTGATTGGACTAAGTATGCTACCTTGTGTGAGGCCAACCGTACTGGTTCTCGGGCCTATAACTTCGCCGTTGATCTTGACAAACATATTCTTGCATTTAATTGAATTATATATAAAACGAGCTATTGACTCAGAAATACCAATTTCTTTAAGATCTTTCATTAAAATGTTTGGAACCACACTAGGAAAAGCCCCCTTTATGTCCAGAAAAAGTGCACCCGTGAATTCGCGTTGTGCTAAACCCGTCCAAATCTCAGTGGAGATCAGAGAAAGATTATCCGTGCAGGATTTACCTTTTCTGAAACCAAATTGATTTGGACTGAGGATCTTATTACGTTCGATAAGCCAGATAAGTCTGTTGTATATTAATTTTTCAGAAATTTTGAAAAGGCAGGATGCTAGGGAAATTGGGCGAAATTTACCTGGTGAGGATTTTGGAAGGAAGAAAATAAGGTAATTATTCCAAGAAGAAGGGAAAACGCCATTTGAGATTATTCTGTTGATAATTGATAAAAGAGTTGATAAAGCTATGTCTGGAAAATGTTGGATAATATTGTAATCTATTTTATCAAGACCCGGGGATGATTTAGTTTTACATGATTGGATAGCTTTTGACAATTCGAAAATAGTAAAAGGGGCTTCTAAAAATGAATTTTTGTCAAAATCAACGGGAAAGTCGTCATGGAAGACAGTAGGTGGATAAAGTTCGTCAATAAGTGAGTGTAGTTTATCCACAGTCTCCTTGTCTGCCGAGCATGAAGAAGAGGAGGGTTGTGTGTATCGATTTTTAAAAGATTTAATAACAGACCAAACCTTTGTTAAAGGTGTGTGTCTGTCTAAGGAATCGCAAAATTTTTTAAAAGATTGGCGTCTGGCTTCGCTAAGAGTACGCTTAGCTACAGCTTCAGCCTTTTTATAAGTAAGAAAATTAGGGTAGTTTGAGCATTTTTTATAATTTTTTAAAGCTAATTTTCTGTTTTTTATTGCTTCGTCGCAATCGTTGTCCCACCAAGGCGCAGGAACAAACGGTTTTTTAGAAGAGGGGGAATTTTGTCTTGTGTTAGGTGAAGTTACGCGTTGGGGGCAAATTGTATTAATTGTCGTGTCTACAAGGTGTACAAACTGATCATAGTCAGAAATAGGGCTATCTGTATTGAGGGTGTTTAGATTTGAGTCTATGGATGAATGGAGTTCAGAAGAAAAGAGAGGCCAGTCTATACCTCTCAAATTATATTTATGTGATGTAAATTTGGAAATAGGTATTGTAATGCCTAAAGATGAGAATATGGGAAAATGATCACTGCCTAAAGTGTCATTGTGAACGCTCCAAGAGGAGGACGTGAATAAATTGGAAGAGACAAGGGTGAGGTCTAAGACTGAGCCAGGATTTGGTGGGCGGCCTACTAAAGTAGGTGTTCCATTGTTTAGAAGGATAAAATCTGTAACATCCAATTCGTCACATAGGTTGCGTGCATTCGGACAAACATGGGAGCTACCCCATAGAGTGCTGTGACAGTTAAAATCCCCCCCTATAAAAACCGTCTTGAAGCCCGAGTTTTTAATAGAGTTAAAAAATTTTTTCCAGTAGGAAGGAGGAGTTAATTTACCGGGGACTCTATAAACCGATACTATCAAAAGTTTACCTATGGAGGAATCAATTGAAACAGCGAGTGTTTCAAGTTCATCCTCGCGAGTAAAAATAGATCCAATTTTTGAAAAAATTAAGTTTTTGCGAATTGCAAAAGCAAGGCCACCGCCTTTGTTTGTTGTTCTATCTGATCTAATAATGTTAAATTGTTTAAGTATATTGAAATTAACGCGCTTTTCAGGCTTCAAGAAGGTTTCGCAGAGGAGGAGAATGTCGAATTTGTTTGAAAGTTTGTGAACTTCGGGTGTCTTGTTAGAGACACCACGACAGTTCCATTGCAGAAGATTTAATTGGGAAAGACTAGCCATTTTTGTGGGCTGGAAGAGCTAACAAAGAATGGAGGCTAGTCGTAATGTTAGAGAGAGTTTCTAAATTTTGTTTCGTAATTTCTGGTGAAGAGTTGGAAGAAATGTGAGTGATATGTGTTTTTAGTAGTGAGAGGAAAGAATTGAGTGATTCTACGATCTGGGTGTCAGAGTTAGGTGTGTGTGATTGAGTCGGGGTAGGAGAAGGAGAGGTAGATGAAGGATTCGAAAGAGCAAAACCGTTAGGCATGGAGATCTCGGATCTGCCATTGTTCCAGTTTGCAGCGAAGAAGGTTGAAGAAGAAGAGTTTTTTGGTGTTCGGTTTGTGTGAGAGTGTGGTGCTTTGTTTGTTGTCTGTTGAGAATGGTTGTTGTGAACTGTTGTCGCTTGAGAGAATAAACGTTTTTGGAGGTTAGAATTTTGTGTGAAGGTTGAAGAAGGGGCAGGTTGATCTGCCAGATCAGGAAAGTCGGAGAAGTTAAAAGCGTCCATGCGACGAGTGTTTCTTTTTGGTTTGAGGATTTCCTTTGCTTCGTCAAAGGACATTTTATGTTGAGTTGCGTAGTAGCGAACTTCTTTTTGAAACGTGAACTCTGGACATTGTTTTGACGAAGGTTTGTGTGGACCGTTACAGTTTGCACACCTTGGGGGGCCTGACGCGTTGGTGCAAGGGTTGGTATCATCATTGTGGGGGGCTGAACCGCCACATTGTTGGCATCGAGTTTTTGACCTACAGTGTTTGGCTATGTGACCAAATCGCAGACAATTCATGCACATGCGTGGGTCTGGAATGTAGGGGCGTACTGGAGATGAACCTTTATAAATTGACACACGCTCTGGAATGGTAGTTCCTTGAAAAGTAAGAAGGACGGTGGTAGAGGGTTCAAACGTAACTGTGTTTTTCTCGTCAATTTTTCTGCGGTTAAACCTCAGGGCATTGATAATTTTACAATCCTTACCGTAGTTACCAATAATTTCCGCGTTCTCTAAAATCTCTTCCGTGGAGATGTCTAGCCCGATATTGTTAATTATTCCCTGACACGTGACGAAACTCGATGGGATTATAGCTATTAGACCTTTTGATTTAAGAGTCGGATCAGAAACAATTTGGTTGGCTGCTCTGCCACCATTCATGATAACTCGGACTTTTCCGCGACCGCTTGGGTAAATTCCAACAACTTTACCGGGATAAAGATTGTGGATGATTTTACCGACTGACACATGATTCAGGTCTTTCGACGCATCGTTTGATTTGGGATCGCGCTGTAAGAAAACCGGGCAATTTCCCTTATTAGAATTTTCGTATTTGACGAGTTTGACTTCTTTTTTACCTGTCTTCTTACCGGATTGATCTGCACGCACTGTGTTAGGGTCAAGAGGCGGTTTGAATGGGTCTGGTTGATTCTCACATTTACGTTTTTTGTCTTTTGTTGTTTGTTGTTTTTTGTCCGAATCTAGGGACGATGTTGAGTTTGTCCGCGATCGAACATTTTTTGACGATTGTTGTTGATAATACAATAAATTTCTTGCAGCTCTCTGCTCCTCCGTCTCATCGGAGAAATCCATTCGGAAGTCTGAATTTTCGCTAGAGGCCATGCCTCTGCGATACGCGCGCTCAGCCACGAGGCTGGCTAACCTAAAAGGAAACGAACTACTAATAAAAGGGTTAGTACACTATGAAATAGGTACAATAAGACACGATGTGTCTTTAAAAGGGATCCCGGTTTTAATCGCGTACAATAATGAGCACCACTGAATTAAATAAAGCCCGTAAATCTATATATATTTCGTAAGCAAAATAACGCGTCCGCTCGGTAACGCATTCCTTACGGAACTCCGCTAATTCTAAACAAATTTCCTATTAATACGGCGGTCTTTCTTTTTCTATTCTTTCTTTCTTTCAATTTCTCACAATTTGAAATGCCTCACCTAGTTTTGGCAAATGTCAAATTGACAAAACCAGTTTTGGCAAATGACAAATTGACAAAACTAGTTTTGGCAAAATTTAAATTGACAAAACTAGTTTTGGACAAATTTAAATTGCCAAAACTAGTTTTGGCAAATGTCGATTTGCCAAAACTAGATTTGTCAATTTAAAACGGCCAATGGCCGAAGTGAAACGTCCAAACCTAGTTTTGGCAAAACTGCACTTGCCAAAACTAGGTTTGGCTGTTTTTTCCGGCCATTGGCCGTTTTCGGCTTTTGAGCCTAACATATACAATTGAAAAATTTCCAAAACAATTAAATTTCTTAAAAGAATTTTTGTATAATTAAAAAAAAAATTTTTTTTTCAAGAATTTTGATTAAAATTTTTGAACATGATTGTCATATGTTATTAAAATGTTAAAAATAAATGTAAACAATTTTAATGTTTTTTATTTTTTGTATGTATGTATTTGAATTTTTTGAAATTTGTAGTTGAAAATATCGAAAATAATTGAATTTTAAAAAATTAGAATGCAAAGATTCTAAGAATTATTTTCTTTAAAAATATTTTTAATATAATTTTTAGAAGTTAATTTTCATTAATAACCATTTTTAAATTTACATTTGAAGATTTTTCATTAAATTTTTGAGAAATCAATTATTTTCAAAAATTTGCAATTAAAATTTTTTAAAAGTTGATTTTCAACAATTTTTATAAAACGCTTTGAAAAAAATCAATTATTTTCAATTAAATTTTACAAAATTTCAATTATTGAAACTCTTTTTTATTGTAAATTTTGAAAATTTATTTAGTATTTATAAAAATAGTTGAATTGATTCGAAGAAATTATTAAAATTTTAGGAAATAATTGAATTTTATGGAAATATTTGAATTCTTCCAAGAAATTCAATTAAAGATGTTTTGAAAATAATTTAATTCTTGCAAAGAATTTTACTATTTATAAAAATAATTAAATTCTTGCGAAGAATTTTACTATTTACTATTTACTATTTATAAAAATAATTGAATTTATTAAAAATATATTAAAATTTTTTTTAGAAATTGAATTCTTCCGAGGAATTTAATTAAAATTGAATTCAATTTCAATTATTTTCAAAATTTGCAATTAAAATTCTTCAAAAGTTGATTTTAAAAAATTTTTATAAACACTTTGAAAAAAAATCAATTATTTTCAATTAAATTTTATAAAATTTAAATTACGATTGAAACTTTTTTTAATTGTAAATTTCGAAAATTTAATTAGAAAATTTATTAATAAGTTGCATTTTATAAAATTATTGCAATATTTGGAAGAAAAGTCGAAAAAAGTCGCATTTTTTGTAAATAGTCTAAAAAAGTCGATAAAATTATAATATCCGAGACCTGAATTAATGAAAATTAGGAAGTTTTAGAAAAACAGTTTATTTACTTACTTGATACAAGTAACATTTGACTACTGAAGGATTCATAAGTTTTCCACTGCCTAACGTATCCATATATTTTTTCAAGTCCATCGTCAAATATTCGAAAATCAAATAAAGTTTTGATTCCTCCATCAATACATCTAATAAGCTGACAATATTTGGGTGCTTAAGTTCCTTTAAGAGAGAAATCTCCCTTATTGCTGTCGATGGAATACCCTCGTCGTCACTTTCCAAACGAATTTTTTTCATTGCAACTATTTCACCAGTTTTTTTATGTTTACCTTTGTATACAACGCCATAGGTTCCTGAAAACGGAACATTTTCCATCATTTACCTAAATTCTTTCAATTTCACGATTTTCACCAATTTTACATATAATTTACATAAAGATCGTAAAAATCCTTCTAATTTTCCATTTTCCTTCAATCCCTAATTGAAGGGATTGAAGGAAACCGAGGAAAACGAAAAAATACAACTGACAAATAACCTCTAAAGTGTCCAATGTTTTAATGTATTTATTTTTCACATAAAATTTCAATTCGACGTTAAGTTTTTAGGGAAAATGAATAGATAGTCGTCTGATAAAGAATAATGTAAGAAAATAATTTGTAGGGGAGAAAGAAAAATATTTTATTTATTATAAATTTGATAATGCACGCGTGATTATGAAAACAGACAAAGCAATTTACAAACCTTCTCCAATTTTCTCGATTTTCAGGAAATTCTCCATGATGACTGGTTCTTAATTCACTGATCACAAGAAACACAAATTAATAAAGCACTTAACTAACGAAAAATTTATTACGCGAAATTCCTCTACGGATATTTACTAGACTCGAACAAACTTTTAACTTCAACGGACAAATTTAAACGTCCTTACAACTGAACGGCCATATTGATAAACAAGTTTGAAATTAATACTAATTTTCTAAAGCGACACTGCGATTGGTTGAAAACACGAAATTTGCAAGCTGCTTTCGTGGAAATTTACCTATCAGCTGTCACAAAAAATAACACCTGCTCTCTTCTTGCTTGTATCAGTCACCAATCAGAGGCGAGCTTTGAACGGAAACTCTCTTAATCGCGCGCGATTATTTAAAACTAGCAAATTATTTTTTTTTATTATTATTTTGTAAATTAAAAAATTTTATATTTTTGAGAATAAATATCAATCCACTTATTAAATATTCTTGTTTGTTATTCAAAAACAATTTTTATTTATTATTCTCATAAATAATAAAATTCTTTAGAGCAATTGAGGCCTTGGATCCAATAACTCGCCCGACGCTTAGAGGAACGCGCAACTGCCAGTCAGTGAGCAGTGAGCGCCTCTGGGCCACTCACTGCTACCCGACTGGTATTAGCGCGTGCCTTCGAGCGTCGGGCGAGTTATTGGATCCAAGGCCTCAATTTAATTAGTTTCAATACAATTTTAATAAAATTTCTCGAAAGAATAAAATTATTTTTAAAAATATTAATTAAATTCGATTATTTTTAACAATTTTAATATAAATTAAATTATTTTCAACAATTTTGATGAAATTCTTTTTTAAAAAAATCGAATTATTTTCAACATTTTTAATAAAATTTCTCATTCAATTATTTTTAAAAATTGTAATAAAAAATTTCTAAATAATTCAATTGTTCTTAAAATGTTTTTAATAAAATTTTTTGTAAATTTCAATTATTTTCAAACTTTTCAATTAAAATTACTTTTAAAAAATTAATTATTTATAAGAAATTTAATGAATATTCATAAAAAAAAAGAATTGAATTGTATTAAAACGTTTTTAAATAATTGAATCCCTGTGAAAAAATTTGTTATTTCTACAAATAATTGAATTTTTAGAAAATTTTTTTAAATAAATGAACTGTGAAAAATTAAATTATTTTTTAGAATAATTGAATTTTCTCGGAGAATTTTTCCAAGATTCTAAAAAATAATTGAAATTTTCGAAGAAATCAATTAAAATTGTATTAAAAATAAGTGTAAGCCTAATAAGAATTTTATTATTTATATAAAAATAATTTAATTTTTTACGAAGATTTTTATTATTTATAAATTGACTTTTAGCAAAGAATTTTATTACAATTATTGAAAGTAATTGAATTCTTCATAAAATTCAATTACTTTAAAATATTTCAGTAAAAATTATTTTAAAAAACTCAACTATGTTCAAGAATATTGAAATATATTCTTAAAAACAATTCAATTATTTTAAAGAATAAAAATAAAAATCTTGCCAATAATTAAATTATTTTCAATACAATTTTAATTATATTTTCTCGAAAGAATTCAATACTATTGAAAATAATTGAATTCTTTATAAAATTCAATTATTTTTAAATTTTTTTATAAATACTTTACAAGAATTCAATGATTTTCAGTACATTAAATTAAAAATTTTAAACATTTAAAAAGTTAGAAGACAAAAAAGAAAACAGTAACTAACTTCGAACTACAAACAGATTACCGGAATACCTACAACGATTATTAATATAGATTGTTTAATATTTGAGAATATATTGATTTGCAAATAATTAAAAATTGCCGAGAACTAAAAGAAACAAGAAAATTATGTTGAATATTTCCAAATTTTTATTGAAAGCCTTTGTTAAATTACAATAATAATGCCTATCATCTGGCTTCCTCATTTTTCTTTTTTCTCAATTCAAAATTTGAAATCTGAGGACAATGAGACTTTTTTTTTAAAGAAAATACTTATCACTCTCTTTGTAACTGGTAATAATACGATGAAATATCACTTTGAATACGAATAATCAACTGTGTTTATAATCAATTACTTTTTCATTTAACGCGTCTCTGTACATAGTGAAACTTGCGCCAAAAATTGCCGAAAAGACAAATAAAATGAAAAATTAAATTTGAAATTCGATTATTGTTCTAGAGTTTAACTTAAATGATAATAACAATCATTCCGCTCACACACAGCATTCAAACAAAAAAAAAATATTCCTTCTTTTTTTATACAACTTGGCGAATAATTTCTAAATATAGTAGTGAAAATGCATTCTCTAAAGGAGGGAATAAATTTTATCGCGGAAATTGATAGCCTCCTGTTGCATAACCAAGTCCAACGCCACGTTGCGTGTGTGTTGTAGCACGAGCTACTTCGTATTGTTGTTCCATATTGGTGAACATTTCTTCCTGTTTTTTAAGGATATCGGGTTTTGAACCTTCTGTATTTGTATTCGCGGGCGAATCGCCTTTGATGCCCATTAGTCGTTTGAATTTCGCCGTCACTTTTCCATCTTGATCGTGCGTGAATGTTGTACCCACCCAAGTGTTCGATGTTGTTGTCGTTGTCGTTGAAGTTTTACTTTCATCCGGTTTCTGAAGCGAGAAAAATGCACAAAATTATTAATTTTAATAAATCCTTCAAAACAATTCAATTATTTTTATTAATAGTAAAACTCTTTGCAGGATTTCAATTATTTTCAAAAAAAAAAATTTAATTTAATTACACGAAAGAAATCAATTTTTTAAAAAAAATTTTAATTGTATTTCGAAAAAAATCAACTATTTTCCAAAATCTTAATAAATCATTCAAAACAATTCAATTATTTTTATAAATAGTAAAGCTCTTTGCAGGATTTCAATTATTTTCAAAAAAAATTTAATTGAATTACTCGGAAGAAATTAATTTTTTAAAAAAATTTTAATATATTTCGAATAAATTCAATTATTTTCCAAAATCTTAATAAATCATTCGAAACAATTAAATTATTTTTATAGGTATATGGTAAAATTCTTCGCAATAATTCAATTATTTTTATAAATAGTAAACTTTTTTGCAGGAATTCAATTATTTTCAAAAATTGAATTCCTCGAAAGAATTGAAATATTTTTAAATATTTCCATAAAATTCAATTATTACCTAAAATTTTAATAAATTCTTCGAAACAAATCAATTCTTTTCATAAAATACTAAAATTTTTTGCAGGAATTAAATTAACTTTAATACAATTTAAATAAATATTTTCAAAAATTTCCATAAAACTTAATTTCAAGAAAAATTTTAAATTCTCTAAAAATAATTCAATTATTCACAAAATATTTTTAAAAAATTTTATATGAAAATTAAATTACTTTCAATGCAATTTATAAATATATTCGTCAAAAAAATTAAAAGAATTCAATTATTTAGAAAAAATAATAAAATTCTTCTGAAGAATTTAATTATTTTTAAAAAATAATCAAATTCTTCTGATGAATTCAATTATTTTAAAAATACTTCATTTTAATAAAATTCTTTACAGAAATTCAATTATTTTTAGAACAATTTTAATTGAATTTCTCGAAAGAAATTAATTATTTTCAAATATTTCCATAAAATTCTCCAAAACAATTCAATTATTTTCTAAAATTTTAATAATTTCTTTGAAACATTTCAATTATTTTTATAAATAGCAAAATCCTTTGCAGGAATTCAATTATTTTCGAAACAATTTTAATTGAATTCCTCGAAAGAAATGAAATATTTTTAAATATTTCCATAAAATTCAATTATTTCCTAAAACTTTTTGCAGGAATTAAATTAACTTTAATACAAATTAAATAAAATTACATGAAAGAATTTAAATCTTTTAAAAAATTTCCATAAAACTTAGGTAATTTCAACAAAAATTTAAAATTCTCTAAAAATATTTCAATTATTCTGAAAATATTATTAAAAAATTTTATATGAAAATTAAATTACTTTCGATGCAATTTATAAATATATTCGTCAAAAAATTGAAAGAATTCAATTATTTCCCAAAAATAATAAAATTCTTCTGTTGAATTCAATTATTTTAAAAAAAATAATAAAATTCTTCTGACGAATTCAATTATTTAAAGAAAATAATAAAATTCTTCTGACCAATTCAATTATTTAAAAAAAATAATAAAATTCTTTACAGAAGTTCAATTATTTTTGAAACAACTTTAATTGAATTTCTCGAAAGAATTTAATTATTTTCAAATAAAATTCTCCAAAACAATTCAATTATTTTCTAAAATTTTAATAATTTCTTCTAAACATTTCAATTATTTTTATAAATATAGTAAAATTCTTCTCAATAATTCAATTATTATTATAAATAGTAAAATATTTTGCAGAAATTCAATTCTTTTCAAAACAATTTTAATAGATTTCCTCGAAAGAATTTAATTATTTTCAAATATTTACGTAAAATTCATTTATTTCCTAAAATTTTAATAAATTCTTCGGAACAATTAAATTATTTTTAAAAATAGTAAAATTCTTCCCAAGAATTAAATTATTTTTATAAATAATAAAATTCTTCTCAGGAATTCAATTATTTTGAATACAATTTTAATAAAATTCAATTGCTTTCAAAATTTTCAATTAAAATTATTAAAAAAAACTCCATTAGTTTAAGAAAATTAAAAGTAATGCTTCAAAAGAATTTTTAATTAGAATTTTAAAAAATTTTAACAAAATTCTTCGCGAGAATTTAATTATTTTCATAAATAAAAAAAATTCTTCGAAGGAATTTAATTATTCTCTTGAAATTTTTTGATAAGATACTTTGCAAGAATTCAATTATTTTCAATACATTAAATTGAAAATCGAAAATATTTAAAAGGAAATTTTTTTCAAAAAAGTTAGGTAACAAAAAAGCAATCAACAACTAACTTTAAAATGCGAACAGATTACCGGAATACAACGATTATTAATATAGATGAAAGCAAAATTTCTTACCTTATGAGCCCAGAGTAATTTCCTCTTTTGAATTTGTTCGGCATATTTCCCTTGCGTTGCTGTTGTGAGTGGATTGTAAAAATGTTGCTCCTGTGGATTAATAACACCCGATTCATTCTCAGGTGTTTTTAATTCAATACCTAATTTCTCCAATTGAGCCAATTTACTTCTATTCTTCTCCTCTCGATAGCTCATCGATCTATTGTAATTCGACTGATTTCTCTCCCTCGATCTTGATCTCGATCTTGTTCGTTCACTCTCCTTGTGATGAGAAGTGGATTTTTCGTCGCGATGTCGATCCTTGGAGCGATCATCCCTTGAACGACGACGATGATCACGTTCACGATCTCTGTCCCTTCGTTTTTCTCTTCCATGATCACGGTCACGATCACGATCTCTATCCCTTCGATCGTCACGATGACTTCTGTCGCGTTCGTCTCGACTCGATGACACTCTATCTTTGTCCCTTCGTCTATCGTTGTCGCGCGATCTTCGATCATCGTCACGGGATTTTCTATAATCTTTACTGTCTTTATAATCGCGTCTTCTCTCGTCGTGGGAGGATTTGCGACTTCTTTCTGTTGATTGTTTACCTTTTCCATAACGATCGCCTCGTTTTGAATCTTCTTGAGTATTTTTCTCGCTTTCTGAGTGCCTGTAAAAGGATTATGTTCTGCAGGGGTATACCACACAGATTTTGTGTTATTATTCAGCTCGAGAGCGAGAATACTTTTTGCTTTTGAACTTAATTCATTTCCTTGGGAAAAAATCTGTTCCCAATTATTATTACTATTTCTATTATTATTACTATTTCTATTATTATTATTCTTATTATTACTATCATTATTATAGCTTTTATTATTATTTGTATTGTATTATTATTTTGAAATATATTGAAATATTTTTCTCGAACTTGAATCGTTTTTTTCCTTTCTAAAATTGGAAGAATTTTCTTAATCCTCTAAAGACAAGTGTAAGAATTAAGAAAAATACTTCGGAGATTAAATGAATTAAGTTCGCCACATATAATTATTCTAAAAACCGTTGAATTTGAAAATTTGTGACGCGCTCCGAAGAAACGCAAAAAATTTTAGATTATGTTTGTAATTTTTTGAATAAAAATACGTCAACACTGAATATAAAGAAATGAGGTTCAAGTTTTTTTATTAGAATGAGAATAGTGAATAAAAATCTATTTTAGTGGTAAATTAAACACAAAAAATATTAATTAAGGTAAAAAATACAAACATAACTATTGAAATGATTTTGTACTTTTTCTCCGGATGTTTTGCAGCGAGTCACAATTTTTTTTTTTCTAATTCTAATGAAAATTGAAATTTGACAATCAGAGTGGTCACAAGTTTCAGTTTATCAATTTTCCTGACAATTTACTGATATTAAAATTATTTTCCCTGACAAAATTCCTTTTTACAGGAAAATATGAAAGTTTACGAAAAATGAGTAAAATTTATGAATTTTAATAATTTCTAAAAATTACAATTGTAACTCATCCTGAAATGAATTATTTTTAAAAATAGTAAAATTCTTCGCAAGAATTAAATTGTTTTTGTAAATAATAAAATTCTTCTCACGAATTTTAATAGATTTCCTCGAAAGAATTTAATTGTTTTCTAATATTTACATAAAATTCTCAAAAAAAAAAAATTCAATTATATTCTAAAATTTTAATAATTTCTTCTTATTTTAAAATAATTTTCCAAAAGTTTTTCTAGAATTCAATTATTTAAATACAAAAACTCAATTTTTTATAATAATTGTAACTTTCCATGTTTTTTTTCATAACTTATTAAAGTAGAAAATTTTCAAAAAATATTATAATAATGAAACCCTTAAAAGAATTTTTGTATAATTGAAAAAAAATAATTAATTTTTTTAAGAATTTTATTTAGAAATTTTGAACATGAATTTTTTTCCAAAATATTAAAAATAATTATAAAAAATTTGAATGTTACTATTTTTTGTATAATTTTTAATTTTCGGAAATAAGTAATTGAAAATATTGAATTTTAAAAAATTAGAAGCAATTTCCCGGTTTTTTCCCGGCTTTGTCATAATTTTTCACGGTTTATTTTTCCCATCAAATTTAAATTTATTTGATTTCGAACATAAATAAATCTACAAATGCCTTCCAAAAATTTTTATTACAGTTTTTATGAATAATTAAATTCTTTTGACGATTTTCTTTAAATTTTTGAAAATAATTGAATTGTGGAAAACAATTTAATTATTTATAAAGATAATTAAAATTTTGAGAATTTAAAAAATTTTTTAAATATAATTGAATTTCTGCGAAGAATTTTATTACTTTTGAAAATAATTGACTTGTTTTTTTAGAATTTTATGGAAATTTATAAAAATAATTGAATTCTTGTGAAGAATTCTTTTTTAAAATAATATTCAAAAAAATTTAGTAAATCTATTAATTAAAATAATAAAACATTTTTTAATTTGGTGAAAAAATTTCCGGCTGTTTCCCAGTTAGTAGACACCCTGTATTATAGATAGAATTTGAAAATTTTAATTATTTTTAAAAAATGATTCAAAAATAATTTTTGAATCGCACTATAAAAATCGAAATAAGTTGCATTTTATAAAAGAAAATTTGGTATTTTGTTTGGAATATATATGTGGACGTCCACATGAAAAGGGCCCATATTGTCGGTTCTAGTTTTCGAGATAATCGCAATTTAGTAATTTTGGAGCAAAATCTTAATTTTTTTTTTATTTTTTATTATCAATCCACATGGTTTGACAAGTCGAATCATGCGGTTTTCATTAATTTATCGATAATTTAACTGTTTGATTTCATTGGTTCTTTAGAAAAATGAAAAGGGCCCATTTTGTCGGTCATTTGCAAAAGTAATCCGTATTTTAAAAATGGAGGTGTGGAAAAATTTAAAACCTCTTGATTTTTCATCTTTAAGGTGTCCTGGACTGTAAACAATTCTTATCTGAATAACTTCCCAGAAGAACGAGAGATATTGATGTTAGAGTCTTTTTTTCGTAATTATCGAAATGAAAATTTGGATATTTCGTCAATTTTTTCATAATAGAGACTGCCATAAATTTTTAAATAAGTTTAATATCTATTCTTTTTCTTCAAATGACACAATAAAATTGTACCTAATCATTAATCCTGTAAAAAAATGGTTTTTTAATAGAAAAACTGTCCTTTTTAGAAAAGGGCCCATATTGTCGGTTTCTCGTACTTAAGTACGAAATTTTTCAAAATTAAGAGGGGGGAAGGTTTTAAAAATTAAAAACTTATTGGTTTTTCATCTTTTAGGTACCCTGGAATGTAAACAATTCTTATCTGAATAACTTTCCAGAAGAACCAGAGATATTGATGTTAGAATCTTTTTTTCGTAATTGTCGAAATGAAAATTTTAATATTGCGTCAATTTTTTTATAATAGAGACTGTCAAAAAATTTTAAATAAGTTTAATTTCGATTACTTTTCTTCAAATGACAGAATAAAATTGCACCCAATCATTAATCTTGTAAAAAATTGTTTTTTAATAGAAAAACTGTCCTTTTTAGAAAAGGGCACATATTGTCGGTTTTTAAATTAATTAATTAATTAAGGGGAGGGGGTGGTTTTAAAAATTTAAAACCTGTTGGTTTTTTGTCTTCAAGGTGCCCTGAACTGGAAACAATTCTTATCTGAATAACTTCCAAGAAGAACCAGAGATACAACAATTAGTTGGTATCGCAATCTTTAATTCCGTTTTTCTCGAAATGAGGTTTTTGGCGTTCTAAACTTTGAAATTCCGTAACTTAGCGAATTTTTAACCAAAAAGGTTCTAAGACCACTCAAAATTTTCCTAATTTTGCCAGGAATACGCCCATATAGATAACTCCAATAGTGCCAAAATGGGCCCTTTTCATGTGGACGTCCACATATTTTTAAGAAAAGTTGAAAAATTCGCAATAATTTTTGAAAATAAGTGTCAATTTTCTAATTTCCCTGACTTTACTGACATGTGGCCACCCTGACAATTTAAAAATTGACAATAATTTTATAATACCTCAGTGGTGGAGATCTTGCGGGCGAATCTCTTTTTGGTATGTTTGAATCTCGTCTATTTGGTGGAGAATTATTTCCACGCTCGCTACTTGAATCGTCCGATGTATTATTATTGTTGCTTTCCTAGAGAATGAAAAGAAATTATTTTTAGTGAAAAATCTTTTTCATGTCACAAATTTTTTGTTTCTCTTTTCAACTGAACTTAATTTTCTTTTTGTTTTGTTTTTTTTCTCTATTTTGAGTACTTGATATTGTCAAGTAAAAATGAAATTGTTAATGAGTTCCCGTTTATTAATTTTCCTGTTATGTATAAAAATTGTTAATTTGAATATTTTAAGAAAAAAAAAAGTAAAAAACATTCATTACGAGGTACATGCAAAGTGTTTTTGTATTTTTTTTTGTGTTAGGAATAATTTTTTAAAGTTCACCCTGGCTAAATTTTGTGAAAAAAGAATCCAAATTAAGGGTCTCTTGTCAATTTGGCTCAGAATTGAGGAAAATTTTTTGTTTATTTTGAAGGCTTAGAGCGGTTTTTTTTTCGTGTTAGTGTTACCTTTTTCCAGGAAAATCCTCTACTCACCTCAGTCTTCAGGTTAGGACTTGGGGGGTAGTCTTGAAAGACCCTCGCACAGCATTGACCTTGCCGAGGTGCGTAGATGTATTATCATGTATTACCAACAGAGCTACGTGTTAATATTTTCTCACGAAATGGCACTAATCCCATTTTACTTATAGTTTAAATTTTTTTTATAATAATGCCTGTCAGTTATGTCATTCGTCATTATTTAAAAGGCCACTTTTCTTTTCAATCATTTACTAAAGTCGAGTTTTGCTTATAAAAATTTTTGTCCAATTGTAAGAAAAATTTTCCCTTCTTTCGAATTTCAACATTTTTCTTCAAATTGACAATTTAGTCAAAATTTTTGTTTAGTCTATCTTTTTTTCTATTCTTTTATTTAGTAAAAAGGAGAAAAAAAATTGCAACCCTAATAAATGCCGAAATGGGTAGAGGAAAAATCCTAATTATTGACTTGGTCAAGGTCCAATTTTTTTTTTTTCTTAAAATTAAGTAAAGAAAGAAAATTTGTATACTCGTTATACCTCACTCATGTCCATTTGTACTGGATCGTAATTAGCATCACTGGCCCTTCTGTTCGTTAGACTGCCACTTTCTTCAGCAAACATCTTGAAAACAGAATAAATACTCTCCAATCAGTAATTTGATCTCCTTTACCAAAATTAGACTATCTAAATAGAAAAATGTTTTCTGCATAATAAATATTTTTAAATAGTCGAGTTCAATTAAAATTTATACAATTTTCAGGCTTCACAGTGCCCCTAAAAAGTATTTTAAGGGAAATAGGGGACTGAAAATTAAAAAATATAGGGGACTTTAATTTAATTTTAATGAAAATTATTATATTAAAAAATTTTATAACAATTTTTGAAAATAATTGAAAACTTTTTGAAGCATTTTATTAAATTTTTTAAAAATAATTGAATTCCTGAGAAGAATTTAAATAATAATTTTTGAAAACAATTGAATTGATGAGAAGAATTTTATTAATATTTTTGAAAATAATTGACTTCTTGAGAAGAATTTAAAAAAAAATTTTGACAATAATTTAATTCTTGAGAAGAATTTCCCTGTCTATTTATAAAGATAATTTAATTCTTAACGAGAATTTAAAAAAAATTTTTGAAAATAATTTAATTTCTGCAAAGTATTTAATTACTTTTCAAAAGAAATGAATTCTTCTGATGAATAGGTATTGATATTTATCAAAATAATTGAATTTCGGAAAAGAATTTTATTAAAATTCCTTAGAATAATTTATTTTATGGGAAGAATTATGAAAATAATTGAATTTTCACATAGAATTTTATTAAAATTTTTAAAAATAATTGAATTTCTAAGAGGAATTATAATAAAATTTTTAAAACTATGTAATTTAATTTTTGAGATTTTTATAATTTGTAAAAATAATTGAATTCTTAAGAATATTTTGATAAAAACTTTTTAAATAATTGAATTCCTTTAAAAGTTTTATTATTTATGAAAATAATTGAATTTTTAAAACGAATTTTATTAAAACTTTTCAACATAATTGAATTCCTGTAAAAATTTAATTATTTATGAAAGTAATTGAATTTTTGCATCAAATTTTATCAAAATTTTGAAAAATAATTGAATTTCTGAGAAGAATTTTATTAAATTTTTTTAAAATAATTGAATTTCTGAGAAGATTTTAAAAAAAATTTTGAAAATAATTTAATTTCTGTAAAGTATTTAATTACTTTTACAAAAGAATTGAATTCTTGTGATGAATTTTTGATATTTATCAAAATAATTGAATTTTGGAAAAGAATTTTATCAAAATTCCTTAGAATAATTGATTTTATGGGAAGAATTTATGTGATTTTGTTGTTTATCAAGCGAATTGAATTCTTCTGCAAAATTACTTGAAAATTTTTGAAAATAATTGATTTTCTGCGACGAATTAAATGTTATTTATGAAAATATTTGAATTATTGCAACGAATTTTATTGTTTTATTTGAATAATTGAATGTTTCTTAAAATTGAATTCTTTCCTCAAGTTTTAATAATAATTTCATTTTTCAAGGAATTTATTTAAAATTGTATTAAAAGTATTTGAAATTCTGCGATGAAAATGATTGAATTCGTAAATGAAATTTTATTATTTATGAAAATAATTGAATTTTTTCGCAGAATTGTATCAACAAATTTTTTCTATAATTAAATCTGTTGATAAATTTTATGAAAATAGTAAATATTGAAAATTATTGAATTGGAAAAAACTTTTGAAAGTAATTGAGTTTTTGGGATGAATATTGTAACTTATGAAAATAATTGAATTTTGTAAAGAATTTTATTAAAAATTCCTAAAAATTATTGAATTTCTGTGAAGAATTTTGTTATTTATCAAGATAATTGCATTAAAACTTTTGTAATAATGAAATAATATTAAAAAATTCATTCTTGTCAGACATAAAAAAAATTTTTGAAGGTTTTGTATTAGAATTAGTGTCAGTTTCATAGTTTACGAAGCTAAATTTGGTGTGAATTCATCATTAAAAGATAAAAGAAAAAAATAGGGGAAATTTTGAAAATAGGGTACGTTTAGGGGCCAAAATTAAAAAAGGGGACTTTTAGGGAAATAGGGGACAGACTGTGAAGCCTGAATAATTTAATGTCAGTGAGATTCCTTCTCTATCAGGGACACTTTTCTTTCACATACACAATATTGTCTATATTTACTATTCGTGACATAATGTAAATAGAAAACAAAATTTGTTAAATCAATAAAACCCTGTATTTGACACACTTTGAGAATTTTATATTTAACATAAACGATCGATTTTTATGTATTAAACCAATTAAACATAAAACTAAAAGTAAAGAATACTAATTAAAATCCCTTGCCAATATAAATTACTTACTGTTTGACACTTATTTTCAACTCGACATGTTCGTAAAATACTTTTGTTCTTTAAAGTTTTTTTGTTCTACTAATTTATTGTTTTTTTTTGGATTAGAAAAACAAAATTTATCTTGTTCTTACCTTTCCATCGACAGAATTATTACTGTTTTCACCGTCACTAGCATAATTTACTAACGAATCCATAATGGCGTATAGTAAATCCACAAAAGGAACAGGAAATGAAATAAAATGTTGCGGACATGCGCAGTGCAGTTTATGCGCGTGGCCCGTGCGCGCACTATCGATTCTCTTCTATCGAATATCGTAACTTGTACATTTAAATTTGAAAAGAGAAAAAACCGTGTTTTCCCGAAAAATAAAAGTGTATATTTTATTTTTTCTACTTGGTTTAATAAAAATATAAGTATTTCGCCAGATTCTCCTGGTTCTTCAGTAAAGGGAAGGAGAAATGAGGTTAGTTTCGTTTGTTTATTGTTGTTGACGAACATAACCTAAAAATAAAAGAAAAATGTCAACGTTTTCTTTATTTAATTAAAAGATTAAAAGAGTTAGAAATTAAAATATGATTAAGCAATTAACTATTTCTGGGTATAAATTATAGACGTGTTTACTTAAATTATTCGTAAGTCGGTGAAAATTAATTTGGAAATGATAAATATTGACTTGAGTACTATCGTACTTAAGTCAATATTTATCATTTCCAAATTAATTTTTGATTAATGTTTCCTTTTTTTAACAACAATTAGTTAATAATTTGTGACATGATAATTATTACCGCTATTTATTTACTTAATTTACTTTACTAACTTATTTATTTATATTTACTTTTTACGTACAAAAAAGCAAAATTGAATTTCGCGAAAATATATTACAATTTTTGTGTTTTGAAAAAATGTTTTTTTTTTAAAATACAATTTTTCTTAAATTGTCATCGACTTTTGCAGAGAAGCAATGCAGAGGAGGACGACAAGCTCACGACTTCACGAGTAAAAGCCGGGACGCAACAGTCTTGCGGTAGATTTGCTACAGTAAACATCGTTTCTTGCTGCCTTTATAGTGTTTATCATCAAGTGCGTGTTTCCAAACTTTTGCCTGCTTTTTGCCATTGCATTTTGACAATTAGTGCATGAAGGACATTAAATTATTCAAAAACAGTGCAAATCAATTTGTCTGGATTATTTTCATATTATATTCGTCTTTTTCAATATCCAAGTAAGTCACACAATTATTTTCAACATGAGATATAATTTTTATTACCTACTTCCTTATTTAATTTGACCGCATATTGTTTTTAGTTTTATTTCTTTTTGACATTTATTTTTTTGTCATGATTATCTTTAGCTAACAATATTTAATTTCAACTATTTTCTTGTTTTTATTCGCTGATACGTATTTTACCAAAAATTAAGTACACGACGTTTACTTAATTTTGAATTAATTTATTATTAATTCTTTTGAATTTGCTTTTCGAATTCTTTTGAGTTTTCAAAAGACAAAATGTTGACGAAATTGCGTTTAGTGAACGCAAAACATTTATTTCGAACTGTCAGATTTTTATCGTTGAAAGAAAAATAAAAGTAATAAAAAATAAATACTTACGAAACTATTAAAAAAATTGAAAAGAAATTCATTTTTTGAATGAAAAGAATTCTTTCTGTTTATCATTCTTATTTATTTTATTTACTTTATTGTTATTTCTGTTTAAAAACAATTTTTGGAAAATTATTCGTCAATTTGAAAATAAAATATAGAAAAAGGAAAGAACGGTAAAAAAATCCTATTTTCAATATTAAAAAAAATAAAAGAAGATAGAAAATGTACGACTTTCTTATTTCGAATTTAAAATTCAAATTCAATACAGTCGCAATGCTATTTATTTCTTTTTTCTTTTCTTTCAGCGCACATATTTATTCGTAATGCTTTCTTTTCACGAAACATTCTAGTGGAAAAAGCGATTCACTGAATCTCTTTATCATTTTTCCTCAAAAAAAAAATTCTTTCTCCCTTTTGAATTGACTTTGACACGCAAACTTATATTATACTTATGATGGTGACGAAGGTTTTTGCACGAGTCCTCTGGCAGCGTTGAAAATTCCGGAAGCACGAACCCCTCCAAAAAAAAACGGTGGCAGTTGTATATATTGCACGAGGGGTAGTTTTATTGAATTCTATAGATTGTGTCGAAATGAACTTCAAAGAGAAACGTTAAATGAGAAACTTGTTCAACAAATGAATTCGTACTTGTAAATATAACTATTAAGGGAGCGATTTAAATATATATATATATATCGTTTTATCGAGGTTGTGAATTGTGTGATTAGTCTCAAAAGTTCTCAGGTCCATTCACTGGACACTGATTGTCAGTAATGTGCGATGATCGCAATCTCACGAATTGTTATCAATTTACGAAACTATTTTAAGCTCTTCAGTAATTGTTTTTCGTCTTTTTCTATTTTTGAATCCGTTTGAGTGATTTTCTTCTATTTATGAATTCATTTGACTGATTTTTTTCGCCTTTTTCTATTTATGAAACCGTTTCAGTAATATTTATCGATTTTTTCAATTTACCTATGTATTTTATTTGAATAATTTTTTTCGTCTTTTTCTATTTTTGAATCCGTTTCAGTAATATTTATCGATTTTTTCAATTTACCTATGTATTTTATTTGAATAATTTTTTTCGTCTTTTTCTATTTTTGAATCCGTTTCAGTAATATTTATCGATTTTTTCAATTTACCTATGTATTTTATTTGAATAATTTTTTTCGTCTTTTTCTATTTTTGAATCCGTTTCAGTAATATTTATCGATTTTTTCAATTTACCTATGTATTTTATTTGAATAATTTTTTTCGTCTTTTTCTATTTTTGAATCCGTATGAGTGATTTTTTCAATTTATAAATTTTATTTGAATAATTTATTTTCTCTTTCTCTATTTCTGAATCTGTTAGAGTGATTTTTTTTCATCTTTTTCTGTTTTTGAATCAATTCGAGTGATTTTTTTCGTCTTTTTTGTTTATTAATCCATTTGAGTGATTTTTACGTCATTTTCTGTTTACTAATCCGTTTGAATGATTTTCTTCGATTTTTACAATTTATGAGTTTTATTTGAATAATTTTTTTCGTCTTCTTCTATTTCTGAATCTGTTTGAGTGTTTTTTGCGTATTTTTCTATTTTTGAATCAATTCGAGTTATTTTTTAGTCTTTTTCTGTTTATTAATCAATTCGAGTGATTTTTTTCGTCTTTTCCTATTTCTGAATCTGTTAGAGTGATTTTTTTCGTCTTTTCTGTTTTTGAATCAATTCGAGTGATTTTTTTCGTCTTTTTTGTTTATTAATCCATTTGAGTGATTTTTACGTCATTTTCTGTTTACTAATCCGTTTGAATGATTCTCTTCGATTTTTACAATTTATAAGTTTTACTTGAATTATTTTTTTTCGTCTTTTTTCTGTTTTTGAATCAATTTGAGTGATTTTTTCGTCTTTATCTGTTTATTAATCCGTTTGAGTGATTTCTTTCGTCTTTTTCAATTTATAAATTTTATTTGAATAATTTTTTCGTCCTTTTCTGGTTTTGAATCAATTCGAGGTGTTTTTCGTCTTTTTCAATTTATGAATCTGTTTGAGTGATTTTTTTTCGTCTTTTTTTGTTTTTGAATCAATTCGAGTGTTTTTTTTTGTTTATTAATCCGTTTGAGTGATTTTTTTCGATTTTTTCAATTTACGAATTTTATTTGAATAATTTTTTTCGTCTTTTGCTATTTATGAAACCGTTTGAGTGATTTTTTTCAATTTATGAATTTTATTTGAATAATTTTTTTCGTCTTTTTCTATTTCTGAATCTGTTTGAGTGTTTTTTGCGTATTTTTCTATTTCTGAATCTATTTGAATGTTTTTTATTCGAATTTTTTGTTTTTGAATCAATTCGAGTGGTTTTTTTTATCCTTTTCTGTTTATTAATTTGTTTGAGTGATTTCTTTCGTCTTTTTTGATGTATAAATCAATTCTAGTGATTTTTTTCTTCTTTCTGTTTTCGAATCCTTTTAAGTGATTTTTTTTCTTCTTTTTGCTATTAATGAATCAATTCGAGTGATTTTTCCCTGTTTTGTCTCTTCGTGAATCAATGAAAAAAAATTATTCTAAGTGAGACAATTTTTATTATTATAATTAATAATTATAAAGATCTTATTTTTTCTGAAATTTCTGCTTATTGATAATAAATTCAGTTTTAAAGAAGAACGACTCCTTTTTGCTTTATCGAACATTGCGAATGTAATTTTAATATTTTATTACGAGAGATAAGTTTATAAATGACCTCTTTTGTTTCTGTAATTAAATTCAATATTTTATATTTCTTTCTCTTTTAATTCTTCGATCAAAAACGATTTTTCTATTTTCGAGTAAAAATTGTACAAACGACCTTTTTTATTTCTGAAAATAGTATAATAAAAGTATTTATATTTCTTTCTTTCTTTTATTTTCTTCTTCGATCAAAAAAATTTCTATTTTCGAGTAAAAATCGTAAAAATTGTACAAATAATGATCTTTTTTATTTCTGAAAATAATAAAAGTATTTATATTTCTTTCTTTTTTTTTCTTTCTTGTTTTCTATCAAAACGATTTTTCTATTTTCAAGCAAATCGTTAATTAGCTCCATAAAAATGCAAAATCCTTTTTTCTGGAAATAATCCCAAGAAAACTTGAGACAGAGTGGGTAAATCTTTTTTGTTTTTTGTATTCGCTTCAAGATTTTCATCAAACTGCATTTTAATTTACAAACCCCTTTTCTTTTTTCTCCGTGCAATTCAAAGGGTTCTTCGTCGCCCGTCAACGACATTCACTACTCGCTCTCTTTCTCTCTGCGGCAATAAAAAGTTTTCGCGCACAATTGTAGTTTTTATAATGTTCCGCGTGAGTTCAACGATAAGTGTGCGTATATAACACGTGTGTAAAAAAACATTAACATCAAACATTTTGTATTATTAAATCGTTTTTTGAAAACATAGAAATTTTCTCTCTGTGAAATTATTGTTCTTGAGAAAAAAATTGAAATTATTTATTTAAATAAATAAATTCATTGAAATTTTAATAAAGTTTTTTGTACATAAATAATGAGAATAAGTTTATGAGCATGTGGCGAAGTAGAACGATATAATATAGTTTCTGGAGTAACGAAGCGAGTACATTATATATATATGTAGAATAGCGGGCACATGTTGGTTCGCTTTTATTATTATCTACTCTATCTAACTATACAAATGTCGAATACCATTGTAGACCTCGAAAATGGGGACGAATTCTAATTGAAAATGTCACGGTATTTTGCCGATAGAGAGTTTGTCCTTTCGACTATTTTTTTTTTGTTAATGATCCCGGAAGTAAAAAATAATTTTGTTTTGTAATTCATATTTGTCCATTTCTCCTACTTTTTTTTAATTCTATTTTTCTTTTTCTTTTTCTAATTCTATTTCTACTTTTCTTTTTCTAATTCTATTTCTACTTTTCTATTTCTATTTCTAATTTATTGTAAAAACAATGAAAATTACTGAAAAACTAATAAAAGATAAATTTTTATTTCTACTTTTCTGTTTCTATTTCTAATAATTGTAGAAAGTAAAATAATTTTTAACAAATTGAAATAGAGAATTTTAATTATCAAAAATTCGAAATTCGCAATGAGAGGAATTTTCGAAAATTTTTCCTCGTTTTTCTCGCGATCATTGAAAATTCGCTTTATAAAATGAATGTGTAAATATAAACGTGAAGCTTTCTTCAAAATGTAAACGCAGTAGCATTGTAAAAACACGGAAGAGACGGTTTGAGAAATGTTAAGCACTGTGAGCATTTCCCAGGTTCTTTTGCAGTTGCTCTACCTCCTGATTCTTTGTCTTGATTTTTTTTTTCTTTCTCCTGGTCACTTGCCCTCGGTACCTTTCGCGTACGTAGACCTCTCACCATATAAACGCATCACCACTTTGCCGCAGTAGATAATCGTCACATGTACAGACGATCATAAAGTCGATTCGAGAAATGTGCGATTTTAAAAAGAAACGACGAGACAAACATCTTTCAAAATCCTCGAATTCCTCCGCTTTTCTTTAATCTGCGAAATGAAAAACAAAAATTAGTAAAACTAAAAAGTAATTTAATTGCAATAAAAGAAATCAAAATCTGTATTTCTTTATTGTATTTATTTTTATTACTATTTTATT